AGGAAATGCCTTGTTTTCTCAGGATATCCAGGGAACGTGCATGAAGATGAAAACTTGCTAACTTGAGAAAGAAGAACTATTGCATATTTGACACCATCTGATAATATTCATCAACTTAATACAAGCACAGGGGGAGAACTACTGTACACCTGTACATTTGGAGTGGACTATTAGGCTATTATTATTATTACTAGGAGGACCCGTGGAAAATCCACGGGATTCTAGGGGGTGGGGTGGTTGTATTTATGATGTGCTATCGATTTTTTCAATTTTCATGTTAGATGATCTATTTTAAATATTCATGTTTGTTTTTCTGTGTTTTTTTTTCCCCTTTTATTTTCAATTTTTTATCCTTTTATTCTTTTTCTACTCTTGTTATTAATATTTAATTCGATAGAATATCAACCTTTTGTTTGCTGTTTCATATATCATTTTAAAATGTTTTTTTTTATTCGTAACATATAATAAAACTTGAAGATTAAAAGAAAAAATGAAATTAGTAATTTGTAAATAAACTGATGCAAACTATTTTACGCTTTAACTTCCGTTTTCACATTCATTATTTATGATTATTGTTTTTCATTCATTCCCATATACATGTATATCCTTATTCTCATTATCCATTTCCCGTCCAGTTTCTTACGAATACTGTTCTCAATCCTCCCATTTTCATTTTTCATATTTTCACTCATCTCTAATTAGAACTTGTTGCAATTAATCAAAACATGAGTAACAATTATTTAATTTGGCTTAACATACATTATTACAACTACATGTTCTATTAAACAAAATTATCAACAAAATGATATTTTGCATGGATGATACAAAGAACTTCAGAGAGGTCCCGGAGGTCTCAGTGAAAATACACAAATATTGACTGCTCATGAGGATGAACTTATCATTCCCAAGGTGGTGTTCAAACCGGTCCTTCTATCACCCGAGGCAAAGCCGACGGGGTGATAGAAGGGCCAGTATTTGAACGAAATCGAGGGAGTGATAATTTCCACCACCATTCAATTACAGAGCAGTCCTTATTTTTTTTTGTTTATCCCTCATGCTTTCATTAACAGGTCAGTAGAAAAGAAATCCAACATCAAGAGTCTATTTAACATATTCTTTCGGAGTTCAAAAGTTTCAAATAACCAACGCTAAACGAAATCAAACATACGGAAATCAAATCTATACAGTGTGTAGTGCAGTAACTGCAGCGCAGCGTAAAACGATGGCTTGAGCGTCGTGATGACCCGATTGAGTTGGGCGCTGGAAGGCATTTGAAATCCTGTATGCTCTGTGTGTGTGCAAAAATCGCAGATTGATTATGCGTACTATCACAGATCTATTAGCGTTATTATTGTTGTGATTTCGATGTAGTTTTCATGAAAAGACCTATAAAACAGAAGCTTGGACTATGAATATGTTGGTATAGATCACAGAATTTTTATAATTGTTTTCAGAGTAAAGATTTTACGCGAAAATAGGTCCATGGTTTGCGCCAATTGTCGCAATCGCCAAGACTCGAATCGAGTGTGTGTACGTGTGTACGGTGAGCGTGAAATACACGTACACTATGGGCGCCTGGCCTACGCATATCCTATAGAAAGACGCATAGCACGGGTCAGCTCAACCCATTGAGCGTACATATTGGCTACATCCCATCACCCGGGTGAGTCGTCTGTTAATGTGTATTTCTCTTACATGCTACAAAGCGAATCCTATAGCAAGAGGTCTTACTCGGGATACGCCGCAGCTTTTACTACGTGATATGCTACACCCGTTGACGCGAGTGGATTCTCGTCCATCGTGTGTCTCTTCGTCTCTCTTTGATAATTAGACAGAGGGCGGGTGCACGCCTTGTCGACTCGCTCTCGCGGGTTCGTCGCCTCCTTGCAATCCACCACGCCCGCCGTGCTTTCGTTCGCCCGTCCTCCCCGGCACCCCGAAACCGCGTTTAACGACATGGACGTCGATCGCGGGGTCGACGTGGCACGCGGGTTACGGGAGACATGCCTCGTGGAATTGTGCCGCCGTCCCCGCGCCACGGCGGAGGTAAGCGCGGTCGGGGAAAGACGTTTTTGAGGAACCGTTTTGGCCCGTGTTGGACCCCCCGCGGCGATTTTGCGTATTAATAATATAGATTATTTGTTAGGTGAAACTCTTCAAAAAAATTACCCTTTCCCATTTCTCTGAAAGATTTCCCTAATGCTCAGGTGCTCCATCTCTGTTACCACTCTGAATTACACACACATGGAACATATCTTATGGCCTACAAAATCAAAATCACACATTAGCAGAATCCACACTGCAGTGTACATGGTGTAAATGGGCCTATTAATTAAAATTAATTAGATTTCTACATTTAAGTGGTTAAAATTATTTTCCACTTCTTTAGAATGCAAATAAAGTCATGTCTCCTGTTAATTCCACAGCAGCCTAACACCCTAACCCCAATGAATTCTTGAGGAAGAAAATGAAATGGATGTGACACACACCAGGGAAGAGAATAAACTGGCTCTCCAGTTTCCTCCTTTTCCTCCTTCTCAATATTAGTCATTCCAAGATGAATGTTTGCCCCCAGTAATCCACCAAGCCTACTCACTCAATGTTACCAAAGAAGGTAATCAAAATGGGAGTTTATAATTATTTATTACAATTTACTTTCCTTGCCAAATTTAAACTCTTAATTTAAGCAGAATGGTGCTACAAAAAAATTATCAATTTACTCAACTAGCCAACTGACCAGTTTTCTGAGAAAAAGACATTGCTTGAACTCAATTTTACCTGCATGTACATGTACACTAAATGTGCACACTACATGTAGCTTCTCACCTCACCAACATATGGTTTGTTCAGATCCAGATGGATGTTAACTCTGTGCTAAAGTACAAGAGTGAAGGCCCTCCGGCTGTGCACAACAGTGTAATGAGGTACCCGAGTACACTCCCAGGCTCACAGGCGAATACTCGAATATTCGGACGCCATGTTTTTTTTATAATTTTTTTGAATTTTTTTGAATTTTTTTGAATTTTTTTGATTTTTTTGAATTTTTGGAGTTTTGGATTTTTTTTCTTTTTTTTCTTTTTTTGCCACTACCATACCACTCGGCAGTTTCTCAGGTCCCTCGCTGAAAACGCATGCAACTTTACTTTGAGTTGCAGTTGAAGGCGCCGATTTAATAAGAATAATAACAGTAAACAATGCTGTTTTAAAAACCAAAGATGGCAGAATAATCCATTTTCCTCCAAGTCCAAACAGAAATCTGGACATTTGGTCCCAGTTTCTGAAAGGTGAGTTTGACAGTGCTTGAGTTGGGAAACATTTTTACCGACGGTACCATGCCAGCGGACGCCGCTCTCCCTGGCACGGGTAAGCGTGGGCCTGGACATTTTTTTTTTTTTTTTTTTTTTTTTTTTTTGCGGCCGAATATTCGGGTACAAGAAATTGTACCCGAGTAGTTGTCAACCGTGCGGGTACTCGAGCATTCGACTACCCGTCGCAGCCTTACCAAGCATGAAGATAATTCAGAAGGAGAATATCTACGATATATAGACCCTACTCCAGTAAAAACGTCAAGATAAAGAAAAACATAGGGCATACATTTCGCCGGACTCCAGCAACAATTGGCAAATAAATCAATGCTAGTTCAGAATAGTATCCAGACTTTGACCGTTGACTCCGGCATGGCGATACCCTACTTCCTTACGCCTAGGCGTCATTTCTAAAAAGTGGCAAATTTCGGAGCTAGGATGGAAACAATGTTTAGATCGCTGTTTTGACCAAGATATTTTTAGAATTCCGAGATGACGCCCCTTTGGAAATATGGAGATTAACCTGCTTTTTCATACGACACCTTCAGGTAGGGTGTCTGATCGCGCACCCGATGTTGTGTCCTAAAATCCTTCACATAGAGATTGCATGCATCCCTATGCAGTCTATAGATCTACATGTGCAGTGCGCAATCATTCAAAATTGGTCAAAGTTTTTATAAATAAATCAAGATTAAAACCTTCATTTGTTGTGATCTTGAAGGTGATACAATAGAGTAAAGAAGAGGGTAATCGACCGGCGACAGTTTTCGGCCGGTCCATTGGATGCATGGTAAAATCCCTTTAAAATACATTGCATAATAGCATATCCCACACGTACCATAACATGCCATAGTCACTGAAGAACCACATTTGCAATGGAAAATATATTCTTAAATATCACATTTTAGCGATGTAATCGGCGGTCCCGCTACCCGAATCAGAAAAAAAAGATAAGAAAATTGACACAAAACAGGTAACAAACATATTAAACAAATATAGTCTACCATGCACTGAGACTGAGAGGCTTTAGTTGAAATTGTGGATCGAGGTGGCAGGAATAGCACTATTTTCAGAGGGGTGTAGGCTATTTTGGCTCGACTTCTGAACTAGCGCCAACGACTGTTAAATCATGACCCATAAAAATTTGAACAATTGATGAAGATTTAGAATCTAGTCGTTTTCGGTATGTTTACTTTTGGTATCTCCTCGCCGGAGAAATTAGCGCCAATTTGCCTAGCTCTAGTCTAGGCCTAATTTTCAAACATGTCATATGAATCCGCTGAAATTTAGTATTTTGGCCTTGGGCTTGGGCAAAGTTTTGTGGCCATAGACTAAACAATGTTTGCACAGGAGACCCTATGGTGGGCTCTTGTCTCTAAAGAGACCCTACCAAAATAAGAGGCTAACGAACGAACGAAAGAGACATACATTTTTGGTCTAGTGCTAGATATATACTACTGGATCTGGTACTAGCCCTAGGCCTAGCCTAGGCCAGTGGGCTAGGCCATGGCAAAACCAAATTCAGTTTCACGTCAATCACGATCGTGCAGAATTCAGAACCTGAGAACTGACCAACAGTAGACTATTTACTCAGAGTCAGACAGCATAGTCTACACCTCCATCATTCATACATTACTCATTAGCATGTAACCTTTGTTACGAAAATATAACAAGAATATTCTTAACAATTCTTACCGATGCACAATACAAAATGCCTTGAATTGTGTTCCCTTTTTGGTCCAAATTAGTTACATTCCTTCACCACGTGGTTTCGTAACTCCTCCTTACAAATTTTACTACGGCAACAAAAATTGCGATGTGTTTAGCATTACGCTAAAGGAGATGCTAGTTCAACGCTTCGCATTTTAGTGTTGCCACGGTCGATTCTACTATACTCTACATACACACACACGATACACACGCTAATAGTGTATGGTGCTAATTGTGCTTTGCCTTGCGCATTGGCGGATCAAGTAGGAGCGGCAAAATCGCGACTCTCGAAGCCTTTAGTTAAAAACTTGTTTTTTTATTACAACCGACATAACAACATACAAACAAAAACATTGAAAAGAAAATTGCCAATCAAGACTTGATTCGCTAGCCCAAATAAATGTAAAAGGGGCAGAATTAGATATACAATAAGTATATTTCTGACAGTGAATCGTAAATAAGCAAATACATACAGGGGCTGATCTACGGGGGTATATTTTTTATTTTTGTAATGGCGGGGGTAAAATGAAGAAAAAATGTATAGTGCTCACTACCAGGTGCGGCGATCCCGGGGGGGGGGGGGACGGGGGGGGGGGGGGGGGGACGGGGGGGGGACACGTCCCCCCTCTCAATTTTTTAGGGGGATCGTCGTCTCCCTCCCCCCCCCCCCTGAAAAAAATGAAAAAGTGAGAAAAAAAGTGTATAGCAAATACTGACTAAAGACTGCAACAAACTTTCAGGCTCTGGAGGGCCCTAGACCTAGAGTGCAGCGTTTAGACAAATAAAAATGCAAAAAATCTTCTCGCTCCCCCGCATAATATTCTTCGAAGTGTACAGTAAATATTCTAGAAAAATGAAGTGTGAAAAAAATATATTGCTTGTTTTTATACTATTCTTTTGCTAATTAAAGACATGTAATTTGTTAATACAACAAAACTTCAAAAACCTGTGAGGGGATAGTCATTGCCGTAACCTCTACCCCTCTCGTTCACTTTGCTCCCTCGCCTTGGCGTAATGATGAGGGGGGGGGGGCTTAGGGGCAGTTGCCCCCTAATAAAATTCAAACTTGATTTATTTCTAACTCGATACCAGTGATTTACAAATGTTGCTGAAATGGCATGGTTTTTCTCTGAGCTTCTGGGGGTTTGCCCCCTGGACCTAAGCTGGGGATCTAAGACGAGCCCCTGGATGCTCATCTGACCGTTATTAAATGCCTAAAACCCCTGAGCTTCATGGGCCTACGCCCCTGGACCACACGCCAATTTACGCTCCACTTGCTATGTTCGCTTTGCTCTACCTAATAAAATACTTTAGCCTCCCCCTCTATGAAAAACGTTCCGCGAGGCCTGCATGTATAAAAATACAATGTTAGAGTGGGGATGCGGATTTCCCCCCCCCCCCCTCCAACGTTTTTGTTCAATATACGCCACTGCTCCCCCGTCCCTCGCATTTCGTCCCCCCCCCCCGGTCATGAAAAGAAATCGCCGCCCCTGCACACTACCTCCCCCCCCCCCCCCCCCCCCCCCCCCCCCACTGAGCGAAATATTGGTCGGCGCGATTTTAAAATTAATTTCGGGGGAGCAAAATGAAGTATTTTTTTCTTCAAAAGTGGCCCTGATTTTTTTTTAAACTCCTAAAATGCTTGTTCTTGTTTTTTCTGAGGAAGTGGTCTCTATTTTCATGGTTGATCCTCTACTTTGTTTACTTTTCACAATTCATTGTCAAACACAGTCTTGTTTATCAGAGTGCACTGGGTATCTGCCAATAAATGTGTTCATATATTTCATGAGTTTTTTTCTGGGGCTGTCGTATAATCAAGCAATCTGCTTACGATGACACTCCGCAAATAATGTTAAAATGTTTTTTTTTATTTTATAAATCTAGTATTGTGTCAGTTTATCATTTCATTTTCTGGAAATAACAATATATATATATATATATATATATATATATATATATATATATATATATATATATATAGGGGCGGATCTGGCTTTTTGCTAAGGGGTGGGGGGGGGGGGGGGCTTAAATCTTAAATCATTTCCGATTGTAATACGATTATCGGAAAAGTTTTTTGGTTGATCCGCGATCCGTGTCCTTGATAGAGTGTACAGACAGTACAAGCAGAGGATGAATGGAAATATAGAAAGGAGATGGAAAATAGACAGAGAGAGTATGGATCGATTGTGTGTCCGTTTCAGTTTGAAACGCAAAATTTAGCCACTATGAAGAAGCAAGGGCCTGACTCGATCTGCCCCCTCAGTGATTTTTTGACTCTATCTATAGTAAAGTGTTTTTGAACCGGGTGGCCGCGAGAGCATTCTAGTTAAATCACTTCATATTATACAAATATACAATGACACTCGAGGATCTAGCTAAAACAATTCGCGTTGAAGGGAAGGAATCAAGGAATCAATAGTACTATTGATGTTCCTGAGTGCGAATAGTTTTGCCAGTTCTAAGAATGAGTCATTGAATATTTGTTTTATATCCCTTCCACCTGTATCATTCATTGGACACTTCTGTAATAACATGCACCGTACTCATTCACATCACATAAAAGAAAATTGCAAGGCTCAAATGAAACATTGAAGGATGTAAGAAACTAATATACAAATATACACTGTCTTGAGAGGTTCTGGTTAAAACCAGGCGCGCCGGAAGCAGTTTGAGATTGGGGGGGGGGGGGGCAAACATTCCAGGGGGCTCACATTCCAGGGGCAGTGACGTAATGAGAAAAAAGTTCGGAAGGGGGGGGGGGCAGACGAAAAATCTGCATCACCACCAGTCTTACACGTTACATGCAGGTCCCGCGGAACGTTTTTCAAAGTGGAGTATTATCGATCAGGTAGAGCGTAAATTGGCGTGGGGTCCAGGGCATGAGCCTCGGCAGGGGGTCAAGGGGCTGAGCCCCCGGAAGCTCAGGGGTTTTAGGTATTTAATTACGTTTATAGATGAGCATACAGGGGCCCTCTGTAAGGCAATTGACGTGTTCCAAGGGGGGGGGGGAGAGCCCCCAGAAGCTCAGAGGTTTTAATATTTAACTACGGTCAGATGAGCATCCAGGAGCCGTCTTAGGGCCTTTGGTGTGGTCCAGGGGGCAGAGCCCCCGGAAGCTCAGGGGTTTTAGGTATTTAATTACGGTCAGATGAGCATCCAGGGGCCCGCTTTAGATCCCTTGTTGGGGTCCAGCGGGCAGAACCCCCATGAGCTCTGAGGTTTTAAGCATTTAATTACGGTCAGATGAGCATTTTTTATACCTTATTTTGATAAATACCGTATAGGTGGCATGCGCAATGTCTATGAAATTTAATTCCTGTGAACATTCCTTTTTCTTTGAATGGAATTGTATATGTGATTTAATTCAGGTTTTTATTATTGTTACGTTCTTTTTGATTAAAAATGCAAACCATGTTTACTCCTTTACTGTTTTTTTTTTGGATGGGGGGGGGGCGTTGTTTTTTGTTTTTTGTTGGAGGGGGGGCGTTTTTTTTTTTTTTTTTTTTTTTTTTTTTTTTTGGGGGGGGGGGGGGCAAAAATGCGTTTTGCCCCCCACTTTTTTTACTGGGGGGGGGGCAACTGCCCCCTCTCCACTTCCGGCGCCTATGGTTAAAACTGAAGTAATGTTGTGCAGGCAGGCGCGGATACACGGGGGGGGGGGGGGGGGGGTTGGCAACCAAAAAAAGAAAACATTGAAACGTGTGCCTTGCAGCGGGGGTCGTCCCCCGGGAAAATTTGTAAAAGTGCCAACAAAAATGAAAAGCAACACATTTTTAGGCTATGGAGGGCCCAAGAGTGCAGAATTTAGACTAAGAAAAATACGAAAATCTTCTCGCTCGGTCGTTACACTCCCTTGCAAATACCCAAGAAAATATTGTAACAAATCTCGCTGCTCAGTGGCTGCCGGGGTCACGATCAATTGGGCAAAAAGAATTTCCGTTTCGGTTTAATAAAATTTGGAGTGGACTATTAGGCTATTATTATTATTATTATTATTATTTCGTCCCCCCCCCCCCGGTCATGAAAAAAAAATCACCGGCCCTGGTGCCGTGACAACAAAGAAAGGTTTCAAAACGCTGACCTAATAGACTGAATACCCCCCCCCCCCCCCCCCCCCCCGCCCCCAACCGTTAACCGATGACTGAGTAGAATCATCTTTTGAAGATGGCGCCATATCATTTCAGTCCGGTGAACGTATGAAGCAGGAACCGATCAAACAGTCGTGTCGAATTACAATACTAAGTTAATTATTCCCTTAGTATGTCCTTATTCGAATTAAGACACGACTTAAATATTACCTCGAATTGCAATCATGATTGTGTGTAATTCCAGGTAGGCGTGCATATAAAGACATGTACCACTGGTGTCGTTAGTAATTATCATACCCTTGATCCCAGAGGCCATTTGGCGTCATCTTGGTGGGTGGTGGCAAAGGGGGTTCGAATGCATGTCACTTTCATTCATCCCCCCTCCCCATTCGCAAGCACCGGTTAGCAAGTCAAACTTTGCAATGATGATGAGGAAGAGTGGTGGTGGTGGGGCAGTTGATGATGATGATGTTGACGTTAATGATGAGGGGGGGGGGGGGGTTCTCGTTATTTCTCCCAATGATATACATTGACTGTCACATTCCCTCAAATTTATGTTGACTCATAACTGCATCTCTCCCTCTCTCCCTCTCTTTCTCATTCTCTCTCCCCTCTCTCTCCCCCCCCCCCCCCCCTCTCTCTCTTTCCGAAGCCCCTCTCTCCGAGGGTCGGTAAATGCGGGGGTAAATGGTCTTAGGGCTCAGTCCGAAGCAAAAAAGCAAAGCCCAAACATTTCCCTGGATTCAGAGCAAAATTGAAATAGCTCATCGCACTCTTCATAAAGAATGTACTTGCATGTACTTATTAGTAGGTGAATGTGTATTAAGAGAGTATTTTGTGGTATAACTTCAGGCGCGGATCCAGGATTTCTATAGAGTGAGCACTATTTCATTGTTTTATTTTTTGGCCGGGGGGGGGGGGGGGGGGGGGGGTGGGGGGCACGTGCCCCCTGTGCCCCCTAGATCCACCCTAGATCCGCCACTGAACTTGATTAACGTGAAGCGTGTGAAAAGAACCCTAACCAAAACATAATTATCTATGAACCAAACAAATGACGTCACTTACGTCACTCGCTGATTTATTTGTAAACATGCATTCTATAATTTGTAACGCTATGTATCGATTAAGTGAGCACAATGATTGTATGATATGATAATTTTTTTATTATATCATATTAATGATATTAAAAAAAAAAACTCAGACGTGTTTTTAAATCTTTAAAAATTGTATAAATATATTGTCCTATTTTCATTACCCCTACAGATATAATGGTATATCCCTAATCAGCTGGTCACGGAATACTTGCCTGATTGTTGTTGTTATCAAACGATTTTGTGCTGCATTGGGCTACTTCTAGCGACCAATAGGATTTCCGGCCTCTGCTTACATGGAAACGATAGCTATGGTGTCTTCAAAAAGAGCAAACGAAAACGAAAAAAAATGTAATATGGGTGATAAAGAGAAGAAAAAATTAGATAAAGCTTTTACTAGAGTCTCCAATGTTAAAATTAGATGTGTCATATTATAGCGGAGTGCTAAAAATGGTGTTTTTTTGTTGTTGTTGTTGTTGTTATTTTAATGAATCAAAATTGTGTCTAAAAACATGATATAGTTTGGAAAGAGTTTAGCCAGGTTTTCACCCTCGAAATCTGGGCTTTAAATGTTAATCGGCCATTTAATGCATAGCGGTTACAGTGACGGATCCAGGAATTTCTTACCGGGAAGGGGGGGGGGGCACAAAATCGCATGGGGTAAAATATATGAAAAACCATAGAGCGAAGCGACAGCGGCGAGGCGACAGCGTCGATGGAGAGGAGCGATGGTATATAGGTCTGGGAGGGGGTCAGAACTCCCTCCCGTTGAGTAGGAATCATTTGCAATTTTAGAACCACATTAGGCGCATTTTCAAGCACTTCCTGGACGTTAAATTGTTTTCTCCTAAAGTCCTATACCCCCTCCAAGGCTAGGGATCTTTAGCAATTTGAGAACCACATTTGGCGCATTAATGTCCACCGGCACTTCCTGGAAAAAACGAGGCATTCTGATTGGTTAGAAGTTAGAGAAAAGTGATCTGTTACGTCGCGAGACGCTTCGTTGCTGCACAATGCACAAAGACGGTGGTCTGGTACTTCACCAATAGCTTGCAAAAATGATTATCTCGAGTGTATAAATTATCAGGATCGTCGCTAGACCTTTGTCAGTGAAAGGGGGGGGGGGGCGGGATGTAGAGGCCACCGATTACCGACAAAACTAGCCACAAATTACCGACAATATTCATGCCAATGTCTCAATGTCTACAAATTTAACCCTATAAACCTGGGGCTAGGAACTAAGTTTTTTTTTCTTCAGTTCAGCTTTGACACTTCATTGTAATGTTTTCGACTCTTCATCCCTGTCTGTCTTCCTCCCTCCCGCGCGAAGCGCAGAAGCTTTGACGTTTCATTAAATTATTATTCTCAATCCTTGTCTGAATTCCCCAGTCGCCCATCCCGCGTAAAGCGCGGAGGCTTTCACGTTTATTATTAGAGAAAGAAGACGATTCCTTGTACCGTTCTTGACTCTTACGGTCTGTATTCAGTTCCACGCCCTCCCCGCGTGAAGCGCGGAAGCTTTGGCGTTTCATTTAATCATTAGAGAAAGAAGACGATTCGTTGTAATGTCTTCGACTCTTCATACCTGGGCTGTCTGGATTCTGTAACCTCCCTCCCGCGCGACTCTTAATTCCCGTTCCCGACTTTTAATTCTTGTTTCGCCCCTCCCGCGCGAAGCGCAGAAGCTATAACGTTTCATTTAATTATTAGAGAAAGAAGACGATTCTTTGTACCGTTCTTGACTCTTAATCCTTGTCTGAATTCAGTCCCCCCCCTCCCGCGTGAAGCGCAGAACCTTTCACGTTTCATTAAATTATTAGAGCAAGAAGACGGTTTGTACCGTTCTCGACCTTTAATCCTAGTCTAAATTCGGTTGCCCCCCTCCGCGCGAAATGTCTAAATTTCGTTTAAAAATAGTTGATATCAGTCTGTTAGGTCTACACTGCAGGCAAGAGTCAGGACTAACATTTAGCATGTTATTAATTTTATTACCACTCTTATATTCTCTGAAATGTTATCTTTATTGAGGGTGACTTAAAACAGTAAATAACTTGGAAGGAAGGGGGTGCAACCTGCCACACGCTTCTACCTCTTGGTTGCTTTGATCCATTGCCGAAAATATTTTGGCACCTATCATCCCCCCCCCCCCCCCCCCCCCCCCCAAGGCTTCCACGGATACAAATCGACACCCCTGGCGGAGACTACTTTTAAATCTCTAATAATCTTGTATTGCTGACTCTTTGAATTCTGGAACGTCGCTCAGCTATGTTATGTTATTTACCTGGTAATTTTCTAGGGTGTAATATTTATAAATACAACTTTTCAACTCTAGCTTGTAATTCCAGTTGCCGTTATACCGTCAACAGAGATATGCACATTTCTTTTTCTTTTTTCGATTGGACGTTTTGGAGACATTTACGGTACAGAACTAAATATTCTGTGCTTTTGGGTCGCTGGCTTCTTCCTTATTGGTCCCTGGCTTATTGGTCGCCAGTGCAGTGCACTTGTACTTTGTGTATATGTAGGAACCTTTATTTCGTGCTGCGATATAGCAATAATAACATAAGCGAATTCACGACAAACTGAGCTGAGCCTAGATAATTTTTGTTTATGCATTTACTGTTTTTTGGAGCTATTTTCATCATACAGATGTGATCATGTTGACACCCAAATTGTGTCATTCCTTGCGAGAGAGGTGGAACTTTGGGAACTGACCGTTATAATCGTACCGGATTTCATCATCCGTGTGAAGGAAAATCAGCGGGCTCCTGTTTGCTTTTGTGTTCGGATTCGTGTGAAGTGCAGTGCACAGCGCGGCTGCGAAGCTAAGAACAATAAACTATTCTCATTGCGGGGAAGGATGACCGGTTTATGGCTTTAGCATCCGTTTATATATCGTCAGAAAGCCACCGAAAAATGCTGTTTTTGATCATGCTCAGAATGATTATACTTTCTTGAAGGCCATGGAGCACATTGACGAGTACGAGTACAACAAGAAGGATATAATTGGGCATGGAGCTTTCGCTATTGTTTTCAGAGGAAGGGAACGAAAGGTAAACGAGCGAGCTGAGCTTGACAAAAATAACCAAAATAATCGTCTGGTATGAGATTTGAGTTTTTTAATCATACTAATGGAGACATGTGTCGACCTTCCCTGTACACAGACAGACAGTAACCCATACATGTAGTAACACTAGCCGACTTTCGCTGTAATAAAAAATCTTGCACTCTGTTTTTTGTTAATAATAATGCTTTGATTTAGTATAGAAAAGGCGATGATTGGAAAGAGAATCTCATTTTCATTTACTATTAAATCAACATCGAAAATCATACAAATATAAGGACTTGCTTTCATCTGATCTTTCTGCTTCCTTGGAGCTAGTTGGTGCGATGAGATCGGCAAGAACACAAAAACTGCATGCCATTGCGCAACCTCCCCTCACTAACCCATACAAATACAATGTATTTCAGTCTCTGAATAAAGGTGGTCTGTGTAGCCAGATGTAGTCTTAATAACGAAACAACTGTTGATATCAGAGACTGAAGGCAGTTTCTACTGTGAGCAAGCTGAGGCGGCCGCTGCTAAGCTGGAGCACAAAGACGAAATGCATTCTTTGACTTTGGTTTCACTTGACTTGAAGTCGAGGACAATGAAGAAAGGATCTTTTCATATTTTTTTTTTTTTTGGACATTTGGTTTCATTTGATAAAATATGCAACCATTTGTGTATGTCTCCAAATTAATGATTGTATTTCACCTGATTTAAAGAGATTTCCATTCATTCATGTACCAGTAATAGGATATTACAAATTTATGCAGTATTTTGTGGAAAATTAACTTGAGGATACAAAATAATCTGTGTACCGGTACATTGATGTACGATTTGTTTTTCTGTGTATTGTTCTGTTATGAGTTTATATTCATGATTGTTAATTGTTATTACATGTAATTTATGTTACTATACAGGGCCTCATAGAGGACGACTACTATTGGAGAAAATGTGCTAATGTACATGTTATGTACCTAGTATTAATGTCATAAATAAATTTAATTATCAGCATCAGCATCAGTTCCCTTTAAAAATCAGTCGAAATATGTTCATGTTTAAAATCAATAAAAAATTTCTAATTTAAGATACTTGCACCGAAAATATGTTCATAGTTATGGCAGGTTGTCTACTTACCTAGAATGGGTCCCTGATGTGACGTCATCTAAACATTGCTAAATCTTCTGGCAAAGCCCTCATGGGCAATTCCGTGATAGAGCTTGAAAAATTCTGATAATTTGAAGTCGTGTTGAGTTCGCACCGATGTAGTATTAATTAAGTTTATTACCAAAACCAACTAAATTAAGTGAGTTTTCATACTTGTAACATACTTGTACGTTTTGAACAGAGACCTGACCAAACAGTTGCCATCAAGTGCATCAATAAGAAGAACCTGTCTAAATCGCAGACTTTTCCAGAGAAGGAGATTGAAATATTGAAGGTACAGTGCTTAAAGTTATTCTTTAAATTAGATTTGACCTAGACCATGTAAATCCTGCTCAAACCATATGTCAGTTTATCTTGCTTAGAACAATATAGGCAATACTGTTTTTTAGCATTGCAGAATACTTGTTGCAAGTACATGTATGCCTTGAAAAAATGTCAATAGACATACTTAAATGTATAATTAGTGGTCTTATTAACAGGCCTTTTGGCAACATTTACATGTACATGTACATGTAGAGTGTGATGACATGGTTTTCCTTTGTTCATGTAGAGTTGCTTGTTGTTAAATGAATGATGATTGCAAATCAAAAATGTTTGAAAAAATAAAATATATGAAGCATTCTCATGTACATTGTATATGTGAACATTGCATGAGTTGTTATGAATCAATCCATTTTACCTTGGAAAAGTGTAGTAAGTTTAATCGAAAGTACTTGACTGCTTGTATCTATTTTTAAATACCCCAGTATATATATTATGTACAATGTATTGACCAATTCCAACCATTCATTTGTCATTTTTATCAATCCAGGAGCTACATCATGGAAATGTGGTGTCTTTACTTCATTTCAAGGTAAGAAGAAATTACATTTAATAGCCACCAGTGAATCATGAAGGTACTATTCAACATTTTGGGGCTAGTAAATAATTTCCATACAAACAAAATCCAAAAAATTAGATAAAATGTTTCTTTCACAATATGGAAATACACTGGTAAATTCTCCCTACTCCAGGTTTATTTGTAAATACACTCAGGAAATCTAAAAAAAAATTAAAAAAATTAATACTACATGTATGTATTCTAAAGTTTGCTTGATTTTTGTTTGTTTGAAGCAGACAAAGAAAATGAATGAATAGTTCTCACCACTTTAGTATATTTTAAACCTGAAACTTATTAAAATGCTCTTTTAATCAAGTTAAATGCACAATTTGAATTCCTAAAATTTAAAGCACATCATAGATCACTGTTCCTCTTTTTCTCTCTCTCTTTCTCTCTCTTTATCTCTCTTGAACTCTTTCTCTCTCACTATGTCTCTCACTCAATCCCCCCAATCTTTCTTCTCTTGATTTCTTGTATGTAATCTACATATCATTCTTTGTGTTTTTCTTTGTCTCATACAATTTAAATAAAAATGCTGAAACTATATATATTTGAATCAGTCTAGATTTCATAAATATCATGTATTTCATGTACAATGTGCTTAGTTTCTACATATTTCCATGTAACATGTGCATGTTGTGTGATGTAAGTTTGGTTCAAAGTTCACTTGGAATATACCTTGACAATAGAGGTCATCTATGTTTGTACACTGATAAGGAGATCTCAAGTATTTACCATTTTAAGTAAGTCAGTGTCATGCCCAATACAGCCATCCTGCTTTTTTAAAAGTGCAATTGGAATATTGGATACAAAGTTTGAAGATTGTGTAATGATGGTTCACATGAATGTATACAAATTATAATGTGTGATTTGGAGCAAATCCAGGAATTACCAATCTGTACATGTACATGTACGTGTACAGTACATGTACAAGATGTCCAGTATGTTTCAATGGATGTTGCTTTCAGACTTTTTCTAAGGAATAAAAAGCATATACTGCATATATAATTATATCTTCTGAATCATTTTAAAGTATAATTTGTGTGTCTTCACAAAGAATATGGGCTTCATGAAGAATATAAACTGTTTTTAAGATTTTAGGAAAAGGCAATAGGAATCATATTAAAAGTTTAAAACCCTAAAACCTAGCAGATTTTGAACAAAATATGAACCTGAATGCCACAATGCACATGTATAACGTGTATGTATAACTGTAAACAACTCTTTTAGAGGTTTAGAGAGAGAGAGAGAAAGAGAAGGAAACAAAATTATTCCAATTTTATTCCTATTTATTGGTGTTCCTATTCCCTGTTTGTACTTGCCTGTGTATTTCTTATGCATTGCATCATAATGGGGAAATATTTTGTTGCTACAATGACCTACTTTGGTCTGTTAGTAGCTCCAAAATAATGACTCAACGTTTCCAGTTACACGTGTCTGATGTAATGTTGGAATGGACGTTGTGTCCAATACATCCCTGGTTTCCCAGGGTGGTCAGGAAGCTAACAGTCCTACGTTTGGCTTGTGATGCTATTTTATGGTGCCATGTATATATACATGTATATGAACTGAACTCAATATAAACAATTCACATTTCACAGACAAGATGGAATGTGAGAATAGAGATAAAATAGATTCTTCTGTAATACATGTATACATGTATGAAAATAGTGAAAATGAGATAAGATAGTGTTACTGTTCTGTAAAATATAATATTGGATAGAACCAAGATGATATTTCTGTGAAACAAATGGTATTTGCTCTGTTACAGTACTAGTAGTGATTTCTGTCTAAATGTACTTATGTACATGTACATGTAGGCACTACATGACTGAATGAAGGTCATAGGAGGGCATCAATTCATATACTTTAAACCAGAGTTAATGCCCTTTTTGCCCTGAACAGATGGAAGTGTTTAATTTATTAGCTGAACTGTACAGAAGCAGTTCAGAAAACAGAATTAGTAAATACTACCTCGGGCAAATTGCAAGAATGGGAGGGTAAAGCCTGAGATACCTTTAAAGTAGTATTATAATTAGGGCTGTAGATTGAAAAATGAAATGGATGAACGTCAGTACGTGTACCTACTACATTTGTGTAAACAGTGGCACAAAGCAATGTACAAAGAAATCTATGAAAAGGAAGTGTTTACTTGACTGTCAGGGAAGACGATGATGAACAAGCTTCCAATGACTAGTTATATTACTCTGTTGACACTTAGATTCTGCAATCTGATGGCATTGTTCATTTTGATAGTGCCCATGTAAACATATGGCAGGATACACATGTCTGTATTGGAGGTTGCCAAAACTGTGATGTCATCATTCATATGACACATACTGTATTGATATAAAAATAAAAATTGTGTAGTTGTTTGTAAACATGACATACATAGTGTAATAGTGAACGGGAGAAAGTGAAGTAGAGTACATATAACATTGAGAGAAAGATATTTTCTTTTTGTTTGATACATCATTCTTAATTATCATAAGAGAAACCTGCAAGTCTGCAATAGAGGATTAGGGTTGTGTATTATGCAGCGTGCCCACACACAAAACAATTTATCCCGAAACTCTATAACGAAACGTCGTATAAAGAATCATCGTATAAATTTCAGAGTGTCCACACACAAGAAACGTCGTATAAATAATCATCGTATAAATTCCAGGATGTCCACACACAGAAGAAAGTAATCCTGAACCTCTACAGCGAAATGTCGTATAGGTGCGCAGTTTGCTACTGCGGTCATGAAATGGAAGCGAAAATGAGAGGTCCGGTCTCCTTTCGCTCAAGGTCACGTTAAGCACCGCCCAGTTAGTTACACTAGTTACACTCCCCCTGTCCACACACAACATTTTCCGTGATTAGGCGTGATTCTTTATTGAGTTTCAGTTCGAAACGATGCCCAAACCTGCGTTTCGTTAGACTAGTTTCGTTATACGACGTATCGTTAGTAGGCCTGAGTCGAAACGGGTCCCCGCCCGGGCCCCGACCGTCGAGCTGAAACCCGGTTTTTGGTTTTCGGGTTTCGGGTTTTTCAAAATTAAATTTCACACTGATATTTTGAAATATAGAACTAAAAATATGGAATTCACAAACTTATATTTCAATATAATCAAATAAATATGCTTTAGAAATAAATGGATATTGTTTCAGTTGACGGTAGGTGTTTTTATCGCTCTAAAATTGAGGCTGCAAGAAAGGAATCACGCTTCGTGGTACCGATCGAGTGCGTTCAGAAACGGAAGTGGAAATAGATCTATGACCCACACAAGACTAAAATATTGATCAGACTATTGCAATTAAATCGTAATACTACAGGCATTAATTTACTTGTCAAAATATATCCACAACATAATGGTTTATCCTTGATAGTTTGATGAAGGAAAATAAATTAGAGCTCTTGAAATAACATCGAAGTGCCTTTCGTTCGTTCTAAAAAATGCGTGTATAACGGCAAGCAGAAGTTACGAGTCAAGCTTGATATGCACGTTTAAATCCCCACACCGTCATCCGACCTGATCGGAACAATAAGCATTAAACCAATTAAAAAACATCACGTAAGACTTTAAGGTACTCCAATTCAACAAAATTACCGTAAAATAATTATTTGCTTTGACAAATAATACTATAGATATTCATAATATCTTACAGAAATAATGATATTTCATGAGCTATACGTACTCGATATCGAGTTCAGCTAGCCATCATTTTGAAATGAGACGTAGTTGTCATGCATGCAGCGCAGAATGCGGCAGCTCGCAGCTAGAGAGGGAAAAAAAAAAATCACGTAATAGTCACGTGAATATCACGTGATCTCAGGCCCGCGCTTTTTCCTCTCTCTTCTGCATACTGCCCTCTACAGTCTACTGCATGACAACTACGTCTCATTTCAAAATGATGGCTAGCTGAACTCGATATCGAGTACGTAGCTCACGAAATATCATTATTTCTGTAAGATATTATGAATATCTATAGTATTATTTGTCAAAGCAAATAATTATTTTACGGTAATTTTGTTGAATTGGAGTCCCTTAAAGTCTTCCGTGATGTTTTTTAATTGGTTTAATGCTTATTGTTCCGATCAGGTCGGATGACGGTGTAGGGATGTAAACGTGCATATCAAGCTTGACTCGTAACTTCTGCTTGCCGTTATACACGCATTTTTAGAACGAACGAAAGGCACTTCGATGTTATTTCAAGAGCTTTAATTTATTTTCCTTCATCAAACTATCAAGGGTAAACCATTATGTTGTGGATATATTTTGACAATTAAATTAATGCCTTTAGTATTACGATTTAATTGCAATAGTCTGATCAACATTTTAGTCTTGTGTGTGGCATTTTCTTGCTCTGTCTTCAGTGGGTCATAGATCTATTTCCACTTCCGTTTCTGAACGCACTCGATCGGTACCACGAAGCGTGATTCCTTTCTTGCAGCCTCAATTTTAGAGCGATAAAAACACCTACCGTCAACTGAAACGATATCCATTTATTTTTTAAAGCATCTTAATTTAATTCCATTGATTATTTTATTGTTTTGAAAGCAGTAACTGTCTTTTCCGTCGCATTATTAGAACAGCAACTTAGTCTAACTCCCGCCGCTGCATGCACACGATTTTTAGTGTCAGTGCAGTGGTGAAAATTTCGGGTACCCGGTCCCCGCCCGAAATTTTCAAGTCAAACCCGGGTCCGGCAAAACCCGTGATGACTCAGGCCTAATCGTTAGTGAGCGTCCACACACACAATTTTCGTCATAAAACTATCGCGAAACGGTATAGCTAATCACGCTTAATCAAGTGTGTGGACAGGGGGTTAGGGTTGTGCATTATGATAGAGGTTTAGGTAAGGTCGAGGATGCTTGAGGGTCAGGGTCGTGTGTATAGTAGTCTAGTTTCAAAGGGGGGGGGGGGGGTTCCTCAAGACATCTCTAGGGGTGCAGTGGGAGAAATTTAGTTTAATCAAAATATCATTTTGGAATAATTTTGGAAAAACAATTTTCAGAAACTGCTTGAGTATTTAATTAGGAAATAGCATTTTAAAGATAACAAAGTGTCTTTCTTCCTCTCTCTTTTCAATTGCTGGCAAAATTTTGACAGCAAGGTGCCTCAATATATCTTTTATTTCAAAATTATATTTATTTACCACGCTTGTAATTAGGTTTATTTGATAAATCTGATAAATCTGGGCAACAAGATGCCTGAATATCCTCATATTTGTATGTTGAGGTCACGCCCGAATGTATGATTTTTCAATTCAAGTACATTCGGTGGCGGAGTGCTCACTGTCACATACAATATTTCATATCTTTTCTAGTGTGTTGATTACAATATAGTATTTTGTACCAAAATATTTCAATCCAAGCTTTGAACATTGTGCTTGTGTACTGTTATCAAATAATTTGACCCTCTTCAGGGGGTATACACTATACATACATGTACAACTTCCACTTTGACTGGGCCTACATGTACATGCATGTAAATGTGGGTAACACCCAGATACCGGTACATGTATGTAATAGTGACCTCAAATATCAACAATGAATTCATCATCCTAACCACCGTAGTGGCAGAACAATGTTTACAATGTAGGACAAGGCCAGGTTATTTCCTATTTTCCTTTGAAATGTAGGTGTGGTACACCCCATTGTCTAGTATCAAGTTGTGTCAATACAGTTTACAGATGCCTGACTGTTTCATGAAAGGTTAATCAGTGAATCATGCATTGATGCAGTTCACTTTAACCTGGGAGAATATGCATATTTTTCCTTATTTATATTATTTATGAAGCTTGGGGCAATCCAGTTTCACAATATCCATGTAATATGAGCAGACTCTTATTCCTGAGAACGAAACTATTAAAGAGGGAAAAGGAAACATATTGCTACAGTACATGGTCCCAAAGACCCTATTGTAATTGTAATAGAATCATCAGAATATAGTTTATACTGTACTTGTATACCAGTACGTTAATTAATGTCAAGTACTCAAGTCTAGACATTTCACCAGGTGATGCCCAAGGCAATCGAGATTGCCTTAGCTTAATTTTTAAAGTCTTTGGGTCATGTTTAAATAAACATGTAGAAAGAGTAGCAACAATATGTTTGAAAATGGGTGGAAAATCAATTTGTCCCTAAAAGATTTGTTGTTGGAAAAAAGATCCAGTTTCATTTTTTTTTAATCGTCCACTGGATTTCATTTCAAGTACTGGTACAATTGCGTTACCATGCGATCGTTAGAATGGAAAAAAATAGCACTGTTTTGTATGTTTTACCATCGATTTAACAATTGTACCTAATCTAAGATAATCTTACATGTACATATGTACATGAACCTTATAGCTGTCAAAAATATTCAAACACTACCGGGTATATAGATGAAAAGCTTAGAAAGCATTGTTTGCCTTTTGACAGAAGTCTTTTCAAATCAGAATACTGTAGCACCCCAAACTCAGTGAATTGTAAATGTACTTAGAAGTGCATGTATTTGTTTATCAACAGAGGACCTGAATTTCCCAGGTCAGTCTTTTGTGAGAGGTCAAGTTGTTTGGGTCATGGTCCACACACTAGTGACCCTTGTCAAGAAAGCACCCTTGTTGCCCAGACATGAATACATGTACAGGATGTATGTAGATCTATGGAAGATGACAGACCATGTGGATCATTCTTTAATAGGCCTGCATGCACTTGTACATATTAAAAATGATATTCAAATTGATATTTTATGATTTGTGAATGACAAGTCATTTGTCAAAATGGAAGCTGGAAATTGATCATTATTTGTTTCATTATTGTGTAGCATACATCTACATGTAGACTGTTACTTGAAAGTGTAATTTTCATTTGGGTATGATCTTTGTAGTGGTCATTTTAACATATTCTGTTAAGAGAAAGATGGCCCTGGGAGTGGTGGTGGTGGTGGCCCTCATAATAAAAATCTGTCAGGATGTGAGTAGAGATTGATAACTCAAGTGAACCCAAACTCCCAAGCTAGGGTGTTGAGTAAAAGGATATTATACAAAGTTGATGTCCTACTCCTGGCTGTCAAAAGACAAATAAAGGAAAACAAGGAAATGTTTGGTAGCCATCAAAATGCAGTTTCATAACATTCATATAGTATAAAAACAGGCACATACATGTACAGATAACAATAAACAAAGATTTTCTTCAATGGCTGTTACAACAATTAAAAACATACAAGTACATTTACATTCAATGAGGCATTAAATTGCATGCCTTTGTTTTGCTTCCTACGGTATCACATTGTCTTTTCCCCAATAAGTTCTTTTTCCTATTGCTGTAAGAACAATTACAGCCCACACCCTACATACATGTAACATATGTCATGATGTCACTTTAACAAGTGATTAAATTTGATCTGATCTTGTAGTGTGATGTGAACATTAATTGTCAGGTACAAAATGCATTGGTATCTAATCTAATACAAAATGTAGGAGTTAGGGACAGGATTTAAAATGTTGGAGTCAGGAAAGGATTTACATGTATCTTCAGCCAAAACTCTTCACCCTAACCTCTTCACTCTGAACAGTGCAGGCTTTAATCAATGATCAAACTATTATTCTCTGTGATAAGTTTGTGTTTACCGGTAGCCTTTTCCCCCCTTTTCTTCTCTTTTTAATTTTTTTCATGTGTGATTTTCTTCTGTAGGACCCTAACTGGTTGTCATTGTCTAGTGTTTTGAGTACTTGCCTGGAGATACAATGGTCATGGGTTTGAGAAGGGGAGGGGTGAACTCTTTCAATTTGATTGATTCCTATACAAGTTTACACAATTTATTTATGTTCATCCCTTTCTTTGTTATAAGTCTTGAATTTTAGATGCACCTTTGACATTAATGTCATTGAAAATGAATATCTGTATACTTAAAATGTGTTTATTTTCATGTCACTTTTATGGTGTACGAGACTCCCTCTTCCATGTACATCTGATTGATGTCTGTTTCTTTGAAATATTGTTAATCTTTTTTGCCACTTCATTTTTAGGAGACGACCTCGTCCCTGTTCATGGTGATGGAGTTCTGTAACGGTGGAGACCTTGCTGATTATCTACACAGTAAGAAAACACGTTTCTTTTAGCTTTCTTTCAACAAAGTTCATTACTCAACGGCAAATCCAAAACAAGGATACAGTGTACACTGTATGTTGTAAATTACTTCTGTATGCTTGTAATACTTGGATGTAAGGTATCCAGACCTGCCTACCCGATTTAGTCTTAGTTCGTACGATTTTAGAAGCAAATACGACAGTACAATTTTCCTCAATGAAGTACGATTCACAAAAAAACAAAAACAAACAATTTTTAATTTTTTTTTTAAATTTTAATTTTTTTATAAATATTATTTTCAATGTCAAAATGCCCATTCTGTCCTGTTAAGTATCCTACAAGCATCTCATATCGGCAATTTGGTGATGTTCATTGGTTCACTTCATGGAACACAACAGGCGTGATGAAATCATGCATATTCAACCAATAACCCATACAAAAATTGTCCTGTATGAAGGAACTGTAAAACGCATTGATCCGCGTAACAGTCCATGTTTATTTTAAAGAATACAACTTTTGGGATTAAAGAATACAGTTTTTGAACTCCAGAGGTTGGCAGGTCTGGGTATCCTATATATTTCTTTCTGACGCAGAATCATGTTTGTAGTAGATGATCTGACCATAGGATATATTCATTCCTCATTCAAACAATCAAACAAAGAATGAAACTTATGAGCTCCTGTGATGTTTTTTAGTAGACTTGAATGGTACAGCAAGGAGATGTGAAATCTATTCTAACATACATGTACAGTACGTGTACTTCTGCTTGCACATGTACATGTAGGTATCAAGGGTTTCACCTGAATGTGATTTTATTTAAGTTTAAAAATACAAAGACTGTCATCAAATCGTCGCTGTTTTCACGAAGTGACGGTAGTGAACAAAAATTGCATTCACTTTGCGTGACGATTTTCCTCACTACCGTCACTTCGTGAAAACAAGGACGAAATGTAATACATGTAGTTTAATCAGTAAGGGGCAATTTATGGAATGATTGGTGTCTGGTGTTGATGTATTATGTACATGATGAGAGAAATTCAATATCCTCTCAATGATATTATTAAAATGCTATTGTAAACATACAGTAGATGCAATGAATGAAAAGTCCAATGTCATGCAGTGAGGACTATTTATCAGATTGGATGCTTATGGATCTCTGTTTTGCAGCTGCCTTTCCTTAAGATATGCTTTCTTTAATTACTTCATAATGATCACGTCTTGAAATATCAGGATACCTGTACTTTCCATGTTCAACATCTATAGGCCCGGCTACATTTATGTCTTGAGATTAAGTTAAACTGCCGTGGAAGAGCGTTGGTTTGATATAAATGACTTACACTTTTATAGAGTGACACAGTATATATATGGCACACTATTTGACCCCTATCACTTTACTGAATACTTCAGCATTTGATATCATAATGCCTCATATTTAGAAATATGCTTCCCACATTAATTCATGATATGTGATATACCCAACATGCACCCCATGGATAATAATTCTTTGAAGTCCCTCTATGAGTCGGTAAACCTCAAGGCTATCATTTCATAATAAACCTACTATAATGTAGGTGCATGTCCATGCCATTTTTTAGGTATGGATGCTGAACACTTTTCACAATTTTTAATCTATATGATTACATTAACATGTCAATAAAAAACAAAATTTGATGAGTCCTATGAATTTTTAGTTTACCAAAAAGCTGTAGTTTTATAGCCTCTGTAACTCTGGCATACATGTACATGTATGCTTGTGTATAAATACCTGTATGCACATTTTTAATTTTGACTTTATATCATAAATCTTCTGGCTTACCACGAATCATCTGGTCATCTCATTAGGTCGGCTGGTCGTGTTACCACGTTTGTGAAAACATGCCCCTGTATTTTAACGAAATGTCAGGGTAACGTTTGTGAAATAAACCCGTCTCATCTACAAATGATTTAGTCCAGATTACCAGACAATTTCTGAAAACCCTATGGCAAATCTATGAAAGGTTGCATGATCTTCCGTTGAGTTTCAAGAAAAGTTGTGTAACACGTCCACATGATTGGTCGGAAAAAAGAAAAGGATGTACAGTGTACCATAATAATAGTTAAAATTAATCTATTCAAAAAATGTTCCTTCTCTACCTTCCCCGTATCTTAATTTCTTTAATTTCTGTCTCCCTATCTCTCTCTCTCTCTCTCTTTCTTCTGTCCTCTCTGTCTCTCTGTCTCTGTGTTTCTCTCTATATATCTTTACCTTGGTTTCTTCTCTTTATGTCTTTGTTTCCCCCTCTTTTGTCTCTCTCACTATTTCTCTCTCTCTCTCTCTCTCTCTCTCTCTCTCTACTTCATCCCACCTGTCTTTTCAGTCAAGGGAACATTGAGCGAGGACACCATCCGATTCTTCCTTGGCCAGATAGGTAAAGTATTACCATCATTGTGTGTGCGTGTATGCTGCGTGATGTTTACATGCTCTGTGCTTTGGGGGATTCCTCTTTGTCATTGATTGTCCAAAGTCCATAAATACATGTACATTACATGGGTCTTTGTTCATGCATGGGTTGTTTTGTTATCTTTGTTATGTACATTGTACCATTTTATCAAATATATAATCTAGTATTATTTAATGCATGGGTTGTGTTGTCATTATTACAGATCTCCATATGTTTGTTGGATTAGACAACCTTTTATGGTATGATCTACATGTACATGTAGTTCTGACAACTTCCTTTTTTTAAAAAATATATTTTTTAAACTGATGGTCGTTTCTTAATTTCATGTGTAAATATGCTTTCTATTTCATGGAAATGACCATGATGTTTCTTTGTTTAAACCCTAAGCTTTAATTTAAATTCTTTTTAGGCCTTGGAATTGGTGATATGGTGATAACAAGAGTATGCTTGTAGTAGTTTCAAAAGAATAGCTGTGAAGTTGTGTAAAAGGCAATCTTTACAGTACTTAGCAATCTGATGACATCTTTGTATATTATTGCATATTATATCCCTTCATGTTGATGCCACTCAGACTCATGTTCTCTCATCCCAGTGTATTAATATTAAAACAGATAAAAATGTCTCTCATTAAATGTCCTTGAGATACCTGCATAATTTTTGCCTACTGAACACACTACCCAAGAAATTTAGTGGCAATGTACATGCCAAATAGAATATGATTTATAGCCATATTCACAGTCTCTTTGCATCCCCTAATATGACAGAATGAAAGAATTAAATATATCTTAAAATTTGATTCAAATAAAAGATAAAAATTAAACAAACAAAAAACAGTATAATAAAACCACTTGAGTTAAAGCCCCTATAAAGTGTGGGGAGCCCCAAAAATTTGATAGCACAATTTCACTTTTACTGTATCATAATGTGAAAGAAAATGTTTTATAGGACACATTTCTGAAGGAATAAATTTTGATGAAAGAATACAAGATTTAGGTTTTATGTGTACAACAGAATATCCAAATTATGTATTCTTTTATCAATATTTTTTTTTAGGAAATCTTTGCAGAAATGTGTCTTAAAATATATGACATCCTCTTTCACATTATGATACAATTTAAGTGAAGTTTTGCCATAAATTTTGGGCGGATTTTGGGCTCCCAACACTGTACAATATATATGTATGATTAAATTTGAGAGATCGCAGTACCGGATGAAGGACTTCATTTTTTGAGAGAGGTGAAGAGTACAAAAGTGTTGATAAATAGTGTCTGCAAGGCAACCAAGGATATATATACACCCAATCCAGACATTTATAAACAATTCGTCCTTGTTTTCACGAAGTGACGGTAGTGAGGAAAAGCGTAACGCAAAGTGAATGCAATTTTTTTTTCACTACCGTCACTTCGTGAAAACAGCGACGAATTGTGTCTGGCTATACAATGATGTTATGAGTTTGTTGTTGTTATGAAATGCAGGAATGATGATTTTATGATGAGTCATAAGAGGCTAGCTTGAAAAAGGAAATACACATACCGTACATACAGTTTGTTTATATTTAGGATTAAGCTAATTTTATTATGCTTCTATCCTATAAATGTAACAAACTTTGTTTATTCATGAATATATATGCCTTAGCTGAATATATTTTGTATAAAAGCTGCGCTATATAAATTTATTATTATTATTATTTTTATTATTATTACATCATTAAATATGATTAAGTCTTCATGTGCAACTTTCATCGTTATTTTTTGAATCTGAACTGTAATTATGATAATGATAACAATCATGATGTATAATCATTCAGTTAATTATTACATAATAATAATAATAATAATAATGATGAAGATGATGATGACAGTGATGATGGTGATGATGACAATGATGACGGTGATAATGATAATGATAATAATATGTCTCGTTTACTGAGGGCCCTGCGATCATATTATTACCCCCGGCTTTAGCACAAATACACAACAAGCATTCAAAAAATGTCTTCTTAATGGGGCACCATTTACTACAGTGTACATCTGGATGCAGAGTGGTAAAACGTAGATTAATATCTTGCCAAAGGGGACTCGAACCGCGAACTATTGGATTTACAGTCCACTAAACCTCTACATTTCACTATAACGGTGAAAACAAGATATGTTTGCATGCTTTGCACAAAGCAATGAAAAATCCAGTTAAAAGATAACTATTATTAATATGACCATGGACCCTACTACAAAAGGGTTCATATAATTTAACCTCCATGATGTTTGTTTAATAACTCATTAAAAAGAAGGAGGTCAGCATGAAAGCGGATCACTTGTAAAGGGTACTATATCATCTACAGTGTGCACAAGCAGCTTTTCCACCCGCATACTGTATAGATATTATTATTTGTTATTTATGATAATAATAATAAAGATTTATTGCACCAACTCAAAATGACGGATGTGCTCAAGGTGCTAAAAGAAAAAGAAGTACATGAAAAGACACGAAAATGAAACAACTACAAGAATACAATTAGAACTACTGGAAAGCAATTTTGACAATATGAGTTTTTATGGAATTTGTAAAGTAATCTTTGCCTGAAATTGGAGATGCGGCCTTTAAGTGAACATGACCTCCTCCTCTTAGCTAGAATGAGCGTACTTCAATTTGAATTATATTGTTTGAGTAGTGTCTACTTGAATTATGCAGTCCATATAGAAATCTCTACTCCTGAGAATGAGTGACCCCATTGCATATATAAGTTATACAAGCCTAAAGGCAGAGGGACTGCATTGACGGCGGGATGGTTCGAAAGTGACATGAACTATGATTTGTTTTACAATATTCAATGCTATAAACATAAAGGATAAAGGAAATTTGATTAACCAACACGCTCTACAAATTGTCATCTTTGAGCAGTGGGCAGGTACTTTGAAAGGAACAATACTTTATGTTGATGTATGAGTCAGACACAAAAGTTGGCTTTCAAAAGAGATTGTGACTCATTTAAAACATTTAGTTGGTGACTCTGAAAACTTCATCAAACTAAGCAGAGTCTGTACATGTATAAACTATAAAGGTTATCATCCTGTCATTTAAACTTTGTATGGCCATTAAACACAACTTCATAGATGCTGTAATAATAGTTTCATGTTAATATATGGACAAGATGTTCCTGTATTTTGTTTACTTATCAAACCCTTCAGAAGTAATTGTTATGATATTCAATGTAATATTGGTAGTTTGATTTTATCTTCTTACTTGAGCTCAGTTTTCAGAGGTTTGAGATCAGCTGACATTACCGTTCATTTTAACTTAACAATAAATGTTATACTTATTTGCTTTATACAAGTCTTAACTTTTTGTATAAATTAATATAACTGAATAAATCCAGGGATATGAGCTTGTTATCAGAAACTAATGCACATTCAATATATTTTATTGGTTTACTTTAAGACCCTGAATTTCCTAGTATGTACTGATCTTAGATTCATGCGCATTTTGTAATTGTTGATTTAATATGTTTTGTCTTCCTATGTAGCTTGTGCAATGAAAGCTATTCATGAGAAAGGCATCATCCATCGAGATCTCAAGCCTCAGAACCTTCTTCTCAGTCATAACAGCAAGCATAAAGTACCTCATCCTAATGAGATACATCTCAAAATAGGTTGGTCATTATATTCTCTTTTTTTTACATTTTTTGTATAGTAAACTCATTTTGTATTCTACTATTAAATTATTCTGTTGATTGGAAATTTGTTTAGAAACCTTGGATTGGGGGAGGGGGGGGGGGATATCTCTCCCCCTCTCTCTCTCTCTGGAAGAAATATCTTGGAATTTTGTGTTCTATTTACTTTTCCCTGGGTATCATACATGCAAATATGTACATTATATCTTTGGATTACTTTCTTATTCTTTTATATTTATATTTTTTGCTTACCCTTCAGTATTGCATTCTCCTTTAACCTCTCTTTAATTTCTGTTTCTCTTGCTCACTTGCTCCATCTCTTTTATTCGCTCCCCTCACTCTTTCTGCGATCCGTCATCTTGGCTAACTTTATTAACTTTGTCTTTGTTTTTCAATTCCTTGTGCAATTTGTTTTAACCCAGCCCATCCTCTCACAAATGTTATGAAGCATCAAAGTAATGAGTCATTATCAAGTTATGAATATCCCTTGATTTTGTATTCTTTCCTTTCGTGTATCCTAGCTGACTTTGGGTTTGCCAGGTTTCTTGAAGGTGATATGATGGCTGCAACACTGTGTGGGTCTCCTCTCTATATGGTGAGTCCTGTATGACTGCAATATATATGTAATCTTAGATGCCCAAAATATACCCAACCATTGGCAAACTTGGTTTCTTTGAAGATGACCTGACCTGACCTTGTGGTATGGCTTTATAATGTGGACAAACTTGAATCTACATGCCGCACACATTAATTTAGGGGAGGAAAGATAATATGTTAATGTAGACCTCAGAAGTGAATTAGTTAGTTTTAAAGACAGTTAATTGAACAGTTGCAATACAATTCTGATTGAAAGTACATTTTGTTTGAGAAATTAAAACAAGACATGATAAAGCTACTTTGAGTTATACTCTTTAATATGAAGATAGACTACACAGCTACCTTTTATTGGCATAAAGTCATTTATTTATTTTCTATTATTGTCATTTGCATATATTCCTTATTTGCGACTGAGGAATGGAGAAGGGGGAAGGCAGAGGCTTCACACTCTGTATATGAGTGTTACGATGGTAGCACAAAAAGATCCTTATGGCTGCAAGTCTTTTGTTTTGGTATTTCAAACACTTTTGTTATGGCCCAAACCTCCAATATATCTACTTCAGTTTGTAACTTTAAAGACTTTAACCAAGATGATTGTGATATGTATACCACAGGCCCCTGAAGTGATTACATCCCAGCATTACGATGCCAAGGCTGATCTATGGAGTATAGGAACCATTATATTTCAGTGTCTCACTGGTAGTGCACCCTTCAAAGCTGCTAACCCTCCAGAACTCAAGAAGCTTTATATGAAGGCCAGGACATTGGACCCCAAGTAAGTACCATGGATCTCATTTTTACCAGAATCATCTTATAGCTATATGAGAATCATATATGTAGCTATAAGATAAGTAAATAGTTTTTTCCTTGTCTGAACATCGTACATTGAATGGCCTGTTTCAGCATTGTTTCGACAGAAAACTTGATAAAGAATCAGCATCTTGTTCTATTCTGAACGATGTATGTTACATAAATCGCGTAAGTGGGCGGTGCTTATCGCAAGCGCACACTGATGATTGGCCAACAGTCGTCTCATCTGACCTTGTCATAACTTGTTTCTTTGTGCGATGTTCTTATCCAGTCTGTACGCTCCTTACGCTTTATGATGATTCTTTATGAGTTTGGACTAAATTGTCTTCAGTCTGAACATGCTATTAGTGAATAAGTTTGATCCTATTTTACGTGCACCTGTGGGCTGTGGCTTGATTTGTCTTACACAAACACACACACTCATCTTGTCTATGACACGATTTTTGAAAAAAATTATACAATTGAAAATAGGACAAGTGTGTACACATAGGATCCCCTTATAATGTCCAGGGAAGGCCATTTAGATTGGATAATTGGCCAAGTATAATATATTTTTGTAGTTATGACCTACATAGTACAGGGAGACTGACCTACATGTTCTTCAAAACATCATACCATGATTACAGAAGATGTATTATTATTATGGAGCCTAGATAAGAAAAGTGAGACAGTCAATATACTTTGGTCATTAAAAGTTTGAAGACCCCTCAATATATAACGTAGGTTTTATGCATTGATTGATAGGACTGACCTGATATCATAAAGATGAAGTTAAAGTTTGAATGAAATCAAGGGTCTAATTTGACTGACAAATTTGGTTAATTGCTGTACTTATGTATATTGTGTGGTATACATGATGTACCTGTCCGAATTGTTACCTAAATGAAGTGATATTCTCCATTTCTTGCTAACTTGTTCATTGACTGATTGTTAGTGATGTAGGGCATTGTTTAACCCCCACAATCAGTAAGTTATAATGCAGAAGTTTGCCAGTGAGATAAAGCTTAAACATCAAACTATAAGTCGTTAAGTGTCTACTGATAAAGGTCATGTACACTTTATCCTACATTTCAAGGGAATATAAACACACTGATTCTTTGCACTGAATTTGACCTTTGACACCAAATTTCGGTGCGATGTCTGAAAATCTTTTATATGATGTTCATAGAGCTGCCATATTATTTTGTTTTATATGCATTCCACATTCCTACAACTGAAATACAATAACTGGTAGACAGATGAATGTAATAATAGTTCACATAGGTAACATGTTTAATTGGAATATATTTTGTAAATGGCATATGTTTTAAAGATATGTTGATGACTATTAATGACGCTTTCATTGTTTGTTATTGTAAGCAGTCGTGGTCTTTTGGATGCTTCACTGGACTGTGAATCACATGGTTTGTGATCCAAGTCCATTGGCAGCACCAGTGTTCTTTAGCACGTCATCAATCTACATTTGCCACTCTCCACCCAGATGTAGTAAATGAGTACTTGGTAGGAAGTTATTCCTTGAACGCTTGTAGCTCCTGGGATAAAATCAGAGTATCCCCTGGTTAAAGTGTTTGTGCAATATGAATATTTTTATTTTTCATATCTGTGATAACTAAGTTCACCTGTGATCTTCATTTTTCTTTGTTTGATTTTATTACCAGTATACCACCAGGGACATCCAAAGCACTCAAAGACTTGCTTATAAGACTACTCAAAAGAAACCAGAAAGACAGGATAGAATTCGGTATGAATCAAATTGTATTTATCAATTAATTGTTTTAGAATTAGTACTGCAACAAATTTTTGTAAGAAATAGTGTAAGAAATAGTGAATAAGTGGGATAAAGATCAACTTCATGGTAGTCAATAAATTCTGATACATGTTTATTCTAATGGCAGACTTTTTTTCATCAAGTCAAAACCTGTTCACAAACATGTTCGATATTTGTATTAGAGAATTTAGTTTGTATTGTCCTCATACCCTCCATACTCTCTCTTTCTATTTCCCTTTTGTTCATCTGTCTGTCTGTTTCTATCTCTCTCATTCCCTTCTTCTTGTTCACTCTCCTGCACATATTATCTCTCACTCTTCTTAAGATCCTTACTCAGTATTTTGAGGGGGGGGGGGGGAGGGAGGGGTGTAATTTAAAATTTTCAATTTGATAATTACTCAGTGAATCTCATGTTTAATGACATTTCATTTATATATTTATGTTGAATTAATCTTCCTTTCTTTTCTCTACAGACAAATTTTTCAGCCATGACTTTTTGGGAAAGAATCTTAAATCTACCTCAAGTAAGTGCTTTTTTATTTGGGCAAAATTTTCTTATTAGAGCAAATTTGTATCAGAAAAGATTATCAGCAAATGAGCAGTTGAAATAGTATATATATTCAGATTTCTATACATTACGTTTTATGTATAATCCTCTGAGTGAAACATAATACTTTCCCAAATTGTTTATTGTATATTGCTATTACAAGTGGTTCAGAAATATAGAATAAAATCTTGATTCAAATTACTATTTTTAACTCACAGTGGCCAAAGAAATGCAAATAAAATGCTATACAGTGACACCTGTTTATAAAGACCACTCAAGGGAGACTAGAACTTGAGGTCTTTATGTACAATATCTGTACATTTAGTGAAAAATATGAATGCAGTCTCTAAAGAAGGTTGGTCCCTGAACTGTATTTGTTTTCATAATGCAAAAGACACATTGAATTGAATGTGCATAGAACCGAATGTTGTTCTCTTAAAAATATAAACCAGGGCTCCACATTATCAGGTTACCACGACATATGAGGGTCCAAAATTGATTTCCGAACCCCCCAAATGTAAATTTGTACAAAGGGCTCATGAATACAGACTTACAGGCCTGATTTCACAAAGGAGGTTTGTCGACGAACCTTGGTTTTCGTGCGTTTCGACGTGTTTTTACAAACCAGGTTTGTAAAAAATGTGTAAAAACGCGTCATATGACGTACGAAAACCAAGGTTTGTCGACAAACCTCCTTTGTGAATTCGGTCCACAGTGTGAAGCCCTGCATAAACAGCAGTACAACATACATGTAGAACTGAATCTTGTATTTGCAGCAGTGCAACATTGATACAATTATTAAAGAGAATATGTTTGCACTCCTGTAGCTTCCCCAATGCCAGTCCCTAGCCGGACATACAGCTTCAGCTCGGACTCACCTGGTGAGAGGCGCTCCCTGTCCGTCTCCCCGCTCTCAGGACACATGCCCATCTCATCCCCTGAAGAGCCATCACCATCATCCGTTGGGTGTGGTCCCAGAGGGTATAGTATCAGTCCTCTAGCTGCCCCGCCCTTGATCTCAACAGACAGACCTTCTGCTGCCAAGGGACTACAGGAGAAGCTCAGACTCTCATCAGGGATGGGCTCTTCAGATTTAGTTGAAGATGTAAGTTTGAATATTTATGGCCTTAGACCAGAAAAGTAAATCAAAGAATAACATTCAATAATAATAATACACAACATTTATTAGGCGCTTAATACGGGTGTCTCTAAGCGCACCATTGTCTGACTAAAAAATTATTTACCAAAACTTGTAATAAACACACAAATTATAAATCTGTTCTTTATTCAATAAATCATGCATACATAATAATAAAAATAAGGTCAAACATAGGATCAAACATAAGATCAAACAAACAAGAAATAAGACGGTGTGCACCTCCTTTGACCGACTCACAACTGAAGAATATCATTCATGCATTAAAAAGGTGCGTTTTCATCAAGGACTTAAATTGGTCAAGAGAATGAATATTCAAGAGGGACATACTGAAGCTTTTCACGTAATGTTTCTGTTAGTATTGTCCTATTTTGGCTCTGTATTCATGCTTGAGGTTCACTCTGATTAATTGCAAGATAAAATGCTTCAGTATGTCTCTTCGGTGCTATTCTTTGATTTGTAGTACCTAAAATGTTATTGTGTTCATCATAGACAAGTGTGTCTTTGTATATACTGGGTATGCTAATGATTGTTATTCACTCTTTTGAATGGTGAACATTTCTGTGAAGTGTAGCACTAATTGAACTGCCTTTACAATACTATCCTAGATTCAGAATGATGTACAAGGATGATAATGATTACAACTAAATGTGAGAATGGCTGAAGAGACCAGTGATTACTATGAAGATGTTAGTCTCTGTCATGGATAAAAGATTAACCAAGCATTATAATAAAAACTTTATGTGAAGCAAACTTTTCAATTCTGATTTAAACAAAATATATACATATACGATAGGTCACTGATTGCATTGCCACTAAAATGCATTACAAAATTAAAATTGGAGAAAGTTTATGTATTTTATGATAATTCCATTACTTTGAAATTCAATGTCACATATATTTCTTGCATCCCTCATTCTGTTTTCTGTTCAATTGCTTGCACTGATTTATGATTCACTTATGCTATTAAATAAGGTTTATGATTACTTTATTTCAGGACTTTGTAATAGTACAGCCGAGCATTGTCTCAGAATTATCATGTAAGTAATGCCATCCATATCAGTACTTTCGTGTTTGAGTATTGTTTTCCCTCAGCTCAGATTTTTCTATTTTTCATAACTGAAACCCATAGTCCAAGTTATGTTGTATATATATATATTAAGTATATATATTAATGTTGGTTCTTATGCAAGATTGCTCATATGCTTATTTTTATCTTTCAATTAAATGTACATACTCCAATGGTTTCAAGCTAAGGATATTTTGCATACATCATTCATTATTATTTCATATTTTAACCATAGCTACCTGGTATTTAAATCTGACAATTGTTTAAATATAACACCAGTTGTGGGTTGTGCATATCAGTGAGGGATCATGGGGGTCATGCCAGAGCACACATTCAGAACATGCGCAACAGTCTGAATTTGACCACATGGACACTCACACAGGTCAAAGTCTTTGTAGCCAGATTGTAGGCGGTTCAGCTGAACCTAGGGCTTCCTGTGAATATTACTGCCAGGAACCTGGGTGAGAGGACCATTTCAAGGGTAGTTGGTTCTGTAGCACCATCTACCTCAAGGTTCTCAACATAGATATATATATATATATATATATATATATATACAGTGCGTCCCAGAAAAAATGAAACCGAGAAGTATCAATATTTATCATAACTTATTCACATTTATAATTAATAAATGACACATGTTTGGAAAGCTTAGACCCTCCTCTTTCATTTGATGCCATTTATATGATGCATATTTCACGCATGAGTGGTTAAAATGAATTTGAAGAGAGGGAACCAAAAAATCATTTGACGGACGGTATCTGAATTTTAAAGAGAAAATCACATTTTTAGAAAGTTGAGTTTCTGCTCTTTCGTATGACACCTCAGTCAGGAAAAATGAGCTAGGAATAACAAAGTTCTGTTTGTTTAAAGTAGTGCTTGCATTTCCATATTTCTATTAAACGCATTCATTTTCACTGGCTGTCTGCCATAGCAACAAACGGAATTAACAAAAGACTTAACTCCGTTTCGTTGACAATCAGCCGTAGACGACATACTTAATGCATGGCTGATTGTCAACGAAACATAGTTAAGTCTTTTGTCAATTCTGCTAGTTGCTATGGCAGGCAGCCAGTGAAAACGAATTTGTTTGATAAAATTATGGAAATGCAAGCACTACTTCACACAAACAGAACTTTGTCATTCCTTGCTCATTTTTCCTGATTGAGGTGTCATATGAAAGGGCAGAGACTCAACTTTCTAGAAATGTGATTTTCTCTTTGAAATTCAGATACCATCCGCCAAATTATTGTTTGGTTTTGATCTATTAGTGTAGCTTCTATTCCAACACTTTGTCATATGTTATTTCCTTTTCAGATGAAACCAGTGGTGCTAGCATTAATGTGCAAACTACAACAGATGTAATAACAATACGAAGGTGAGTCCAATTCTACTGTCCGCTCGTTCTCTTTTCAAGATTGGAAGGTAGCGTTCACAAAGTCACAACAAAGAGAGGAAAACAATACAAGATTACATCTCTCAGTCTTGCAATATTATAAAAGAAATTATGTTCCATTTAATGTTTCCATTTTCATGTACACATATAACAGATTTGAGTTCTTATGTCATGCATTGTTACATGGCAAGAACATGCTCATGGAATGTGGACACCCAATTGTAAAGTCTATTATTTTGATAAATCATTTTAGTAATGTAATCAAATTTAAAATGTCTCAGTAACATTGCCTCAGATTCTGAAACAAAATCCTGGATTTAGCTCATGTTGCAATCATAATTATAAATCTTAAGGTCAGTCAGGAACCATGACTTTTACAAGCCGATCGCCTGTCTGATTATCAAGTTCAAGTTATCAAGACACAAGCCCTTGAGGCTTTTTTCGGGACACTCTTTTCTTTCATTTATTTGTATTACTAGCTCTTATGTATGTATTACTCTGTTATTTTGATGTAAACATGAAATTATGCATGACATACTGTAAACTTGTTTGATTTTTCAATTGTACATATTGGAAGAAATAAATGAGAGCTATATGCTCTCTCAATCAATAAAAAAGATATTTATGATTGGAAATGATTTCATTCACCCGTTACAAATAATTGTATGTCAATAGTCAGAATGTGAATTTTATGCATAAGTTGTTGCTAGGTAGGACAAACCTTATGGCTTGCTCTACCTTACAACACAGAATGTATGCAATTAGCATTCTGCCTATTGAAATACAACTATTTGTAACTGGTGAAAGAAATCATTTGTAATGAGGCACTTAAAGGTAAAGACCAGTTATGGTCATGCGATTGCATTGTGAAAGAAACGTTGTGGAATCGATCAGAAAAGGTTGATCATCTAGCATCTAGCATCTGCAAGGTTCTGGAATCATCATAATGATAAGAAATTTGGCCCATTCTTCGTAAAGTTACAAGCACTATACACAAAAAGATGTATATGGGACTACCCTATATCTCTCACAGACCATGAGAGAAACAAATTTACCAAACATATGAATTAGTAGGCGGTTTCCCGGCAAATTTTGTATCATCATGTATTAGTCAAAACATTCTTTCACATGATTGGTAATGAGAGCTTCCATTTCATTTTTTGAAATTGGGGCGTTTCCAATACTGGTCTTTACCTTTAACAAAAATTACAAAACTGTCTTATCAAATCTGAATTTTCCAATACAGGCATTATTTCATTTGCAATGATTATAACACTAATTTACATTTCTCTTTCTCCTTAATCCAGCAATTCTTCTCCCATTATGTCAAGTAGTAGAGGTCATTCTGCTCAGCCAAAGTCCAGCACAAGCCCAGTGTCTGGCAGAATTATGGCTGCGGTAGTTAGAAGGAAACTGCCCTCTCCAAGTGAAAGGTCAGTGTATTTCATCTTTTGACAGTTTTACATTTAAACCTGTATATAAAGATGGCTCTAAGGGAAAAGGAAAGCAGTCTTTATAAACTGTGTATGTCTATAAGACATGTTCCAAAAAGAAAATTGTTTAAGTGATTAATTATATTTCATAAGTATTTACATGTATTCCTTGAAATCCACCATGTGTTGACAATGACTACCTGTGTCCTGTTGCATAACACTTATCATTAAAGGGAAAGTCCACCCTGAAATTAAGTTAGTTTCAATAGGAGTAGAAAAATGAGAGAAACAAGTCAGTGAAAGTTTGAGCAAATTCCGATTAAAAATAAGGAAGTTAGGATTTTTGAAGTTGTGATCAATCAAACACAAATTGGCAACTCTATGACGTATCATGCGAGCTCAACTTCCATTTGCTCAGTACTAAAAAAATCTAAAATTTTCATTTTCCCTCAAGAAAAATTTCAACCATACATGCACCCTAAATATAATAATTGCAAATATGTTTCTATACTCCCCCTGCAAGGAACAAATTTATATTCCGTCATCAATAACGAAGAAAACATGATTTTATGGAATATTATGCACAAAGCAAATGAAGGAGAGCTCGTATGATAAGTCACAGAGTTGCCAATTTGTATTTGATTGATCACAACTTCAATAATTCAAAACTTTCTTATTTTCATTCAGAATTTGCTCAAACTTTCACTCACCTGATTTTCTTATTATTCTGCCTCTATCGAAACAAACTTATTTTGGGGGTGGACTTTCCCTTTAATAGTACCTCTACAATGGTAACATTGCTCAACAGCCAATCAAAATCAAGGATTCCATGGAAGTTACCATTGGTGGCAAAGTTACCATCAATGATAAGATTCAACAGGACCCAGAGCTAAAGCAAGGATAATGATATCCAAACTCTGGAATTGCATAGGGTTGTAATATTATAATATCATGCATCATAGAAAAAGAATCTATCTACATGTATTTGTAATTTCTTGTTTTTTTCTTCTTCAATATGTTATTGTGTATCACTGTATTTTGTTTGTTATAGTGCTTAGAGACTTCGGTGGTAAGCACCGTTTTTATTATTATTATTATTATTATGTATTTAAGTTATTTGTTATAATTTTTATTTACAACCAGGCCAAGCAGCTTGCCAATCTCCTCTAGTCCATCAACCAGCCCAAATACTGGAAGACATCGAGTCAGTCCTAAACAGTCTCCGTCATCACTGATCTCTCCAAGTAGGATACATGCACAGGTAACAAATATACTCCACTCAGTCAGTAAGAATTACCAAGCATTCTGAGTTGTCATTGGCTGTGTTAGTATATGATGTGTAGCCCATGAGAAGTAGGACATATGTTAAAGTGTACCAATTACCTAAAACATTTAGCTCTGTATGTTAGGGGTTCCATGTTGCTATACTGAACTCCTAATGCGAGCTTCAAATATTACTTCTAGAAAGAGATATTGCAAGTTTTCAGTACATTCTTAATTGACATAACAACTATTTGGAGAAGACTAGTTGATGCACCCCTATGCCCCCGCATAGAATATGGCCTGCACAGAGCCTAAGTCTGACTTGGATCCTGAACATGTGACTTGGGTTCTGTTTCATGCAATCCTTTATTCTATTCATTCTCCTTCAACATGAGCCCATATTTTGCTTGGCAAAGTTTTAGAGATTGCTTTTATACATTCTAACTTGTATAGAAATTAATTTGTAGGTGATTGGTACTCTTAAAACACTAAAAAGAAGGTGTAAAACAAACATACTTTTGAAAATTTATACTTGTTCAGACAATGAATCACAGGCTGAAAGACCTTTTTAAACACTAAATGAAGTGCATGGAGCTTGAAACTAACACCTAGTCATGTTTTTAAAAATTCCTCAGCAACATTGTACTATCTCCCTATATTGTGTTGAATAATTGATACAAAAAGTTCATGCACTTTTTTTTCTACTTACATGTGCGTTAAGTTATTTGAGTTATGACTTGCTATTCAATTCTACTGTATCATAAAACTGCTCGCAGTGTATTACTTTGACTTTATGATGGTTACCATAAAATTTTATTTCCATATGTAATTATTTTGCTTCTCATCTTTCCATATTTGGTTCATGCTTGCATGGCATCCATCATTGCCCATTCCATGGTCTCATAACCGATTGTAGATAAGACACTCTTACAGTAGCAGTGGTGGCAGCCCTATCGGCAGCCCCAGCCAACGAAGACGACTACTCAGTCCTAACCAATCACCATCGTTGGCTAGACATTGCATTCTAGCTCAGGTATAACATCTGGCATGGTTGTTGTGTCCTGCTGTTTCAATCATGCTGTGCTGCTCTTATCCTTTTTATCTTTCATTGTGTTGTTCCGTCTTTCACTGGGGACCATTTGAAAGTGCGATCAGACTGCTGCAGCAATGAGAGAAAGTAGAAGCATTACCACTTAGAGGCATATTTTGAAATTGGTAGTTTTCTTTGCTGGTGCTTATATTCTCTTGAACTTTCCAAGCATGTTTCTTACAAATTATTAAACCATACTTTGACTGTTCTTCCTGCCAGCTAGACCTGTGTGATATGACAACAGTGTGACCACCAACAAATGCTTTCACAAAGAGCTATGTAAAACTCTTCTCCATCTTCTTCATTTGTTGTTCTTTCTTTCTCTCTTTCTTTCTTCCCTCCATTCTTTCTTTCTCTGCTCCATTCTTTCTTTCTCTCTTTTTTTCTTCCCTCCATTCTTTCTTTCTCTGTTTCTTTCTTCCCTCCATTCTTTCTTTCTCTGCTCCATTCTTTCTTTCTCTGTTTCTTTTTTCCCTCCATTCTTTCTTTCTCTGTTTCTTTCTTCCCTCCATTCTTTCTTTCTCTGTTTCTTTCTTCCCTCCATCCTTTCTTTTTGATGTTCTTGATGCAGTTTTTGCAGTGATTGTTTTTGCTTCTATCTCTTGTTTTTAAACCACATGGCACTTTCTGAAATCGGGGGATGGAGGGAAATGCATGTTTTGCTATGTATGTACCTGTGGTAATGCATGAGAGCACATCCTAAGTCTGTTCACTCTGGATGTATGCTTTATTTGGGAATGATAAGTTTACATGTGTAGGTTGTTGTGCAAAGATTACAAGATGGTGTATATATTTGGAAGATGTCATTAAGATCTTCAGGTGCCAATTGATCGAGTATTTTGAAAGCATACTGAATTATTTTGTTAATATTTGTTTCTTTATTTATATTTGTTTGTGTTTAAGGCTGGAGGGGTAGATAATAAGCCACCTAGTCCTGTGCAAGTTACTGGATTATCCTCCCCTGGGAGTCAATACAGTAAGTGACCTCTTAACCCTTTCCCTACTGGAGATGCATATTGTGCCCAGCGAGCATCTTATAATATACAAATAATACACAGCAGTGAGGGCATTAGTAAGAATTACCCACACAAGGTACCTTTGGAACAGTTAAACATGCATGAAGTGATAGCTGAGGGTGTTTGGACTGTTTTGAAGGTACCGAGTGTGGGTAATTTTACTAATGCCCAAACAAAATGATGTGTATTAATTGATTTATAAGATTTTGTTTTATATAATGATGTTTTATAACATGATTTTACTAATGACCGGTCATTAGAATTGGATAGTGACCGCTCATTATCCAAATTACGCGTTAGTTAGGTAAAATGAATGCCTGGTCACGTGTACGCTTTCAACCTATCATTTGATTAGGATCCACGTCATCATCTTATAATATTGTCTACTGAGAGATAAGGAGAGTGTTAACTCATATAATGTACCATAGGGTTAACACCATTCTGGCTGGTAGCAGACTGTATATGTGTTAACACTCTGCCATAGTATGAACAATCTTTGATGAAGCTGAAGCATAGTTGATTCTCTCAGAGAGTATGTTTACCTAGTAAGGAAAGCCAAGGACAGTCAAATTCAATAGTTAAACTATATACATGCAAATTAAATGCATGACAAATATATACATTCCAAATCCAGTGAAGTGGAGTACTCTTTGACACATTTTTTTTTCAATGAGAAAACCTGCATATCAGTTCTACTGGTATGAAATTTGAGGAAAGAATTAAATAATTCTCTTTTTCTCTTGCTTTCCATGACATCAGATCCAGGAGTGGTTCACAAGTTCTACAAGTTTCATGCCTCCCCCACGTCCCCTTCTCCGTCACCTCCCCATATACCCAGGGTATCTACAGACCCTAGTATGTGCTCTCAGGGGGCGGGGCTTTACAGAGGCTCCTCCCCTCAATCACAAGGATCAGGGACGTCACCTACAAACATTCCATCACCAGCTAGAAGGAAATGTAAGTTGACCAGTTCATTCATTTATAATAGATATATTTTATGTATTATTAGACAGGTGAATGTATACTTTGTTAGTGGTTAGAGGCAGTCTTGACTAAATTCTTTAAATAGTTTAGTCAGAAGTATGTGCAGTTTTCTAGTAGACTGAAAGGTATACTGTTTTTTGGAATACACCTGTACATATAATTTGTAATTTGCGTCTCGTATAATAAGGGTAAATAAAATAAAATTCTTCAGACTATTCTCTTTCTCCAAGTCGGTTCATCAAATATCTGCCTTAACCCTATGTATTTCAGAAACACTTATCTTTCAATTTTTATGTTATATTAGCAACTTTCTTTAAGTTGATGTAAATACTTTTATGAAAATAAATAATGAGACTCTCATATAATATTGCATCCCTGTGAGCAATCCTTATCAAGTATGAATTACAATTGAATTTCATTAAACATCAAACATTTTCACCAATACACTAATGATTAAATTGTTTTGATGATAGTATCATCACCAGCTAGGAGTTCACCTCAGTTCTTCACTGGACCTTCTTCACTACCTACCATCGCTGGCTCACCTACTAAGAAAGGCTTTGGTAATGAGATCACATTCACTATAGGCACGCATGGTATCAGTCCTTCAGAGGTAAGAAATCATCTCATGTCATCAATAGCAACTCAATCTCCTTATCAATGATTTGGTCATTTAGGGGGTGTACAACACTTGCTCCATCGACAATTGTTTCCTGTCTATTTCCACTCAACAAGACCTCAACTTCAACCCCAGACCCAACACTTCCTAATTCTAACCCTTAACTTGACCTAAAACCAATTGCAACCCTAACCCCAACACTATACCTTTGAAGAAATAAAGCCTGAAATTTTTGCCAAAGGAGTAAACTTCATTTAATGATTTGTTTGTGTATATAGTTGAGAGGAAGAACAGAATCACTTTGGCCTTTGGGAATCTGTGTGTACATGTACAGTACCTGTAAGATTTGAATATACAGGTGTAACAGTACAGTAGATAGTCACCTTATTCACAGAGCAATCAATGCAGCATCTATCCATAGTAGGTCTCCTAAAGATTCTTGAACCATGTTGTCTTCTTTGAGAGTCTCTAAAATTGTTCTGTCTAAATGAATTTCCAGGAATGCAAGTTTTCATACAATATTCAGACTTAAGGAGCAGTTCTTCCCATATCCTGTATGCCCTTCTTCACACATCAATATGACACATGTATTATATTTCGATTCAAGGTATGAAATAATTTGGTATTCCAGTATTTAGTACTTCTGATACATCAGTTTGATTATCAAGTGGTTTGCTGCTTCTAACAAGAAATGATCCCTGAATCAATACAGCAAGTTTGTTTTGCTTTGCAGCCTCTGAACATGCCATTTGCCAAGTCTCGTCGTGTGAGGGCATCTTCATGCTGTCTCGAAGGTGATGGACAGCAGGATATATCAGATTCACCAGGACGTGATGCTCTCATCCCAAGGAGTGCTAGTTCTAGCCGTTTGTCTGAACCGTTATGCCTCAAGGCTGCCTTTGATAACCTGGCTATGAACCCTGGAAGCAGCATAGAAGGTATCCCAGGTAAGACAATTATTTCTTCAATTTCATTCAGTTTAAGAGTTACGTCCTTTGTTCATTGAGAAACATAATTCTCACATTTTATGACTTCAATAAGAATACACTTTTTAATGATCAAGATTATAATTAAAGGATATTTCCTAAACAATTGACAAGGAATGATGCCTGAAGGCTGCCTTTGATACCTAGCTATGAACCCAGGAAGCAGCATAAAGGTATCCCTAATAAGATGAGGTCGTACTTTCTCATGGCATGAAGCTGCCAATTAAGAAACTCCAGTTTTGTAGTGATTGGTCATTTTGAAGGCATTCATTGTACATGACATTTTGAAAAGAAATGAAAAGAAATGTTGTAAATATTTTTGGTGTATTTCTTGTGTTTTCAGGTGCAATTGCTGCTAGTCCCCCCATGCACCCAACCAGCTTCTTCATAGGCAGCCAATCACGGCGTAACTCTGTGCTGACGGAGGGGTCACCATCAAGTCAAGGGTCATTGACCTTTGCCACCTCACCTCCTAATATGGAGGGACCTATCTCATTTGTTGCTCCTGAGCTTCCAGAGGAGACACTACTAGCAGTGAGTTCTATCAGATTCACTTGGAAATTCTTTCACTGGAGTTATTTCCTCAAAATATTTAGAGTAACTCCAGGGGCGACTGTGGCATATTTAGGTGTTATGCAGCCTGGGACAAGCATCGATATTGCAGTACAATTTTTGCACTTGTAACCCTAAAAAAAACCCATTTCTTTTGCAATTTACCCACATTGAAAATTTGCATGAGAGCACTAAAATCATAGGCATATACATGTACATGTAGGCATATTTTTCGGGGGGGGGGGGGGGGGGGGGGGAGCTGCAAAAATACATTTGTACGAAAAGAACTAAGGAAATTTGTGAATTACCAAAAATATAGATGCTATTCTATACATTCCTTATGGCTTTTCTAGAAGAATAAAAATTAACACAAAGTGACAAATGATATATTACAAGCCATGACTTGGGATGTGCAATTTAATAATAGTTGCTTTTCTTTTCCCTTCGATTTGCCAGGCGGAACACACAGAGACAGTTGACAGACTGAATGTTATCCTGGGTATCGTGGAGGCTATTGTAGAGGTGGCCAAGTCAAGAAGTGTTCCTCTAGCTGAATCTATCTACAATCAGGGCTCATCCATCTTCAGCAACTCACAAGTCTGCTTCGTCAGTGAGAACTATAGGTGAGCAGGGAGGAGGAGTGAAGAAATAATAATAGTGGTGGCCTCATATAGCGCTCATGTCCTTTAAACTGTAATGATCCTGGCACTCAAACGTTCTTACCCCTGTCATAGCCAATGGCTAAATATGTAGCGCTCTAGCATATGTACACATTTACACTTGGGTAGGCGAGTAGTAAACTTGGATTAATGTCTTGCCAAAGGACATTAGCGCCGGGGGAGGGGGCTTCAATCCTCGATTCGGTGACGTAACCACTAGACTGTGACACCTGTAATCCTAACAAGTAAAAGAAACATAATCACTTCCATACCAGTTTTGACACAAGATGCAATCCATGTTTATATGTTGCAGGTTAGCTGAGCAGCTTGTACTGTATACCCGTTCCCTTGAGTTACTCAATGCTGCACTCACCATGGCTAAAGAAGAGTTTAGTGCAGCAAGGTTAAAACCTTCAAATGCAGTCAGAACAGGTACGCAAAGTATTTGATGTACATTGACCAACATTAGAGAGTCTTTTCAGAAACACAATTAAAAACTGATTATCATTTATGTATATATATATATATATATCTATATATGCATTTATGTTCTTTCATGATGATGCCATGTTTCTCCTGGAAACATTTCTGCAGGCTTTATTTGATAATAGTTATAGCATTGTAGTAGGGTTAAAAGGGAAACCCAACCGTGATAGCAAACTACTCTGGAGGAAAGCAGAAAAATAGGAGAATTAGACTGGTGAAGTTTGAATGAAACAGACAAAAAATTAGAAAACTGTCAATTTGAGATTCGCATAGACTTAGTGATCCCCAATTGCAAACATTCATAATTTCTTATTATTGATCCAATTTATTTTAACTTTTGCTGTTCTGTTTATCTTGTTTTTCTGCTTTCATATAAATGAACTTTAAAGGTTGGATTGCCCTTTAAGATTAAGTTAAGATTATGTTTAGTATAAGAGTTATGAGTAGGTATAGTCTTGGGACCATGGTTAAAGTTAGGTATGCATTTAGTGACCATCTGAGCACCAAAAAGTCGCTAGATATTATTTTTCTTTTAGATTAGGTCTGATTCTTCAAGAAGAGATTCTCAGCTTTAAATGATACATAAGGAGGATCAGAACTCCATCAAAATTTCTGAGAAGGGATCATTCGGTTGTCCTAAAACTTGGCGCACTTATTGAGTGCATCCTGTTCTTTAGTTTGACTAGATATTATTGCAACAGTCTGCCCTATTTTAAAGTTATAGGAGATCCAAATGAGACCAGTATCCAGGATTGGAAAGAAATTCAGATTAATACAACAAACTCAAGATAGTCAAACATTCATCTACAGACACTGCCAAAAATAATGCTTTTAGATTATTTGGTGCTCCAAATTTTGTAATTCCACAGAAGAAATTATACTCTTTCAGGAGCCTCTAGAAACTGATTTGACCATTCTGACCAAACTGCACTTATATACAGTGTAGCTCTAATTTAAAATCACACCTTGTAAGTTTTTAGTAGTTTTGTGGTACCTATTCATATGTAGAACATCTTTCACATATGATAGTATCCCAAATAATTTGAAATGTAATTTCTCTTACCATGACAGTCCTTCAGGAACTGAATCGTGTCTATCATCTCTGCCTGACAAAGAGCCGTCAACTCTGTGAAGGGAGCCCTCTACAGTCCTTAGACATCGATCTTAACTCTGCAATGATTACTGCAGATAAGCTCATGTATAGCTATGCCATTGAGCAGTGTCAGTCTGCTGGCATGGATGAAATGTTTGGTAACACACAAGAGGTAAGCAAGGAGTACGACAGCTAGAATTACCGTATTTGCCGGCGATAAAGCCGCAGCGCCGCATAGGCCGCACCCCCAACTTTAACATTTCAAAAAAGGAAAAAATATAAAATAAAAAAAATAATCATAATTTTCTTGTAGAACACTATTTTTTTTACAAACTGATACCAAATTCATCAATATTCTTATAAATTACCAGAATTTTAGCTAAAAAATGATTGCAGGCAGATTTAGTGTCCGAAATTGCATGAAATTGCATGAAATGGATACAAATATCAGAAAATAGACTTGGTGCGACTTCAGCTGGATGCGCAATTGCATTCGTGGCAGCTCCAGAAAGGTTCCTTCTTTTTATTTTTTAGCAATGCATTGGCACGAACTGACCATGTCCTGTACCATAGTGGTATAGTTATTGTAGTCCCATATGTACAAATTTGTGCTGTTTTTTCATGGTTTTGACTTGCAATGTTTTACTCTTTCGCCGCAAAGGCCGCACCCTGAATTTTTGATATTTTCTCTTCAAAAAATACTGCGGCGTTAACGCAGGCAAATACTGTACAATCAAATCTATTTTTCTATTAGTAACTTAAAGTCACCTTTAGAGGGAGCCCTCTACATTCTTTAGACATTGATATCAACTCTGATATAATCACTGCTGAAAAGCTGATGTAAAACTTGTCTTTTTTATAACTTTTTTTCAAAGTGCAGACAGCATTATCCCCTTCTTAGAATCTCCCTTTTAAATAGCCATCCTTATTTGGATGGTCATGATGCTGTTTAATTTGCGCTTATGATCATTAAGCCTGAAAGTATAGAATACTTCTTCACAGTAGCTTTTCATTCTCTTCATATCCTATATCATATTCTCAATTGCTTGTTGTTCCGAAAACTAAGAAATCATGGGGGGATCGGTCATTTGCACACGCTGGACCTCACCTATGGAATCAATTGCCACAACATATTTGTTATATTTCAAGTAAGCCTGAGTCATTACGGTTTTTGCGCTAAACGTTTAACCGTTAAAAGTATACGGGCGGTTTCGTTTAACCGTTTAATAATAATCTGAAAAAGTGAAAATACAGTATTTGTAATAGCGATGTAGCTCGGAACGCCTGATGGTCTTCAGGCTGTCGGGCTGAGCATTCCGAGCCGGACTATGGCACAAATTGGGTCATCCTGCTAAACAGAGACCAGTAATAAACAACATAAAAAATGTCTTATTATTCCTCATCTGAATCTGATATCATGATTAACCTTGCAAAGTTACGACGTGAAGATAGCTTGATCTGTGACGTGTTTATATATGCCTTTGCAATGCAATGTTTGCATGTGGTCAGGGAGAGAGCTCCTTTCATGCAGGGACATGTCTAGCATGTCCCTGCTGCATGTATCCACATTGCCATATGAAATTATGTAGAAGTGTGTAACACTCACACCCAAGACACACCATCCTATGAGCTGATCCAAGTTAGTGACCAATCAGGAAGGTTCTCTAGCTATGTGGGTGGAGTTTGATACCAACATAAATTACAGGTTGGTGACCGCACGTGCTTTCACACAGTTCAGTGGGAGTCAAGAAGTCATGTGCTCCCCATCTGTGTGTATGCACATGTAGAGTGTATTGGGCGCCGATGTTTGAGGTTTGTGTGTACGATGTTTGAGGTGTGTGTGTACGTGTGTGTGTGTGTGTGTGAAAGAGAGCTGCATGGACCAGGCAGGGACATGAGAGAGTGAAGAAGTAAGACAAGTGAGACTAGATAGAAAGGGTGGCTGTGTGTGATCAAAAACTTAAATTACTCACAACGTCCAAGACTTTGTTGATTGATATTTCTAAAACTTCAATTATTATTGTTATCATTATTTTTGTATTTTATTTATATATGAACATTATTTTAGGGGGGCGAGTCGGCAAGGGATTGATATTAATATTGAGAGAGAGAGAGAGAGAGAGAGAGAGAGACTCGGGGAGAAGGGATGTGAGAGGAACTGACCATCGAATGTGTAAACATTTAGAACTTTGCTTGTCTGAGAGTGCAGTAATAAGAAAAGGTACATGAACACATTGCAGAGAGAAGGGAATAGAGAGGGTGAGAAAATAGGGAAGAGGGCATGGTTGTTTCATTGTTTACAAATTCATTCATGGAGATTACTGCTGCCAGAAAGCTGGCGCGCAGCGGACAGGGTGTAACATTACATTGCAGTTTCTTTGATTATCTTTATCATCGGCTATTAGCACATTCCAAAATGTATGCAAATAACGGTTAAACGGAGCAAGAAATGCTAAACGGTTTTGATGAATGCGGTCGGATAACCGTCTGTTAAATGGTTCGACTCAGGCCTAATTTCAAGTGTAGATTGCTTTTAACATGCCCTCAAAACTCATTTGTTCAAAGCGGCTTTCCAGTAGCTTTAGATTTACTTTCACGTTGTTGTTGTTCATTTTTGTGTGTAATTTTTGTGTACTTATATAGTTTTTCTTCTCCATGCGCCTCGAACACATTAGTCATGTGGAGTTGGCGCATTACAAATACTCTATATTATTATTATTATTATTATACAGTGTTTACAACGATACCGGACTGCTCAAATGCTGCTTCATGGGTTGTGTCTTCAGGCAGGGACAGATCATGACAGAAATCTACTCTTGAAATGTAAGTCACAATCACCAATTTCCTGGCTACTCTCACATTAAGGGTAGGATAGTGATAGTTACATTGTATACCAAATAGAGACATAATATTTTCCTGCAAGCTTTGTGTAAATTCTTGAAAGGGATAACCAGCAGCATAACAAGTTATATGTATTTAAAGTTGTATAAATCAACATCAATTGTTAAGGGGGAGGGGGTAACAGTGGGTATGTAGAGGAAAAGAGTATTATCCCAAATTATATTCATGATGTATTAATGAATGTATCTTTCTAGTGTACTGTGAAACAATTAATCGTCGGTCTTAAATCTCTAATTAGCTAGACATTCTTCATGCTGACATTGTTTAACTTAATAATTGTGTAATTTGAAAAAAGAGACCTTTTCATGTACACGACATAACTAGCAAACAAACCACCCTTTTTATATTCTTTTGTGACCTTCCTATATTTGTTTTCATTAATACTTTTGTTTTTCTCTAATAATATTTCTGCAGTTAAAAATGCCCTTGACCAAAGACTGCTCTTCCTTGAGAGGCAACAGACCCCTGTGACTCCTATGATTGGTCTCTAGCAATGGTCACTGCTCGGACCGTTGGGATGGTTCAAGTTTAGGAGCTGACCATCTGCCAAGATCTAAATAGCTGGTCACCTCTGGATTGTGGGTTTGCACAAAATTGCTAGGATTTCTATGATTGGTCATATCTTGACCTTGGGATGGTCACCCTTTGTACTCCTGCGATTGGTCATCTGGGCCTCAATAACTGGTCACTTCTTGATCTAGGACTTGCATAATTGGCCATCTCAAAGACGTCCATGATTGGTCAATTCTGGAACCCCTATTGGTCTTCTCTTGAAGCTGTCTTAGAAACATGTCATGGACTGGCATAGTTGGTCATCTCCTTGACCTCTGTCATTAGTCATCTCTCAATCTTGCAGTGGTCAATTCTGTGGCACCCATGACCAATCATCTCATCTCGAGCATTAGCATCAGATATCTTTGATATTCCCAAAGGTAATATCTCAAGGACTGTTCATCTGGACAAAGTGAGCGTTCAACAAGAAGCTTTCCTGGAGAAAGAAGATGATAAAACAAGTGGGAGAGACAGTAGAAGATGTCTTCACTTACTGGTCCACCTATACATGTACATGTAGGTTTGCAGGAGGATAAACTCTTTATCTGAGAGTGAGTGATGAACTGAAAGAGGGCATCCACTTCTACCCACAGAGAGGGTGTGTTAGGAGAGGTGTGATAAGAAGGTATGAAGGGGCCTGGTGAAGTATGGATGCAAATCTCCATATAATTATTATTCAGGTGGAGTTTCAATTATAGAATAAGAAGAGAGGATATGGCAGGTTAGTATGGTATTGATTGTGCAATGCAGATTAGTGGACATTCTAAAAAATTGTGGGAAGGTAGAGAAGAGTATTTATTGCTTGATATATTCAGCTTTGGTTTAAACAAAGAAAATATCAACTCTGATCCATGAGAGTTACCATTTGTGCTCTAAATTATGTGCTCCTGTTTTCTTTTGTTTTATGGAGAATTTTTTTTTGGATTAAGTTTGTTTTCGTTGCATCCCCTTCAACTGATTTCTACAGATTTACAAATTCCCTTGCCCCAGAGAAAGTCTGTTAGCCCTTGCAAAATGATTCCATCCTATGCATCGTGATATTCAAGGCGAGTGACTTTGATAATAACAAATCTGAAGAATTGACCTCAATATTCTATCAGCATTTACGCTGAGTGCCATCATTATGTAAAGATTCTTAATTTTGTTAAAGAACAAGAAGTTAAAACAGAAGTAGTGAATGGAGTTGACTCGTACTGAGTTGGGATAAGGACTTGTCTCAACTGTCATGCAGAGATTTCTCTTCGATTGGAGAAATTCTTGAGACTATATGAGATCAATATTCTAAAATCTGGTTCGACAGCATTAAATGTTTCTTTAAAAAGCAGTATATTTTGAAGAGTTGAGTATTAAAGAATATTTGCACTACTGATTGATTTTCTATGTCTATTGCATGCTTGTTTCCTGCTGCATATTGAATTATTCCCTATACTTGAATTGACATGCTGAAATACACATCCATTCTCTGTTACATACTGTCACATACATGTACTGTATTCCAGATGTGTGCAGGATGTTTTAGGTGCTGAAGCAATGGTCAGATAGTTTACACCCCTTTCATTTCCCAAATGCCATTTGATTTATTGTTAATGTTGTCTTATAGTTGGGATTTTCTTTAAATTGCATTGTACCGATTGGATTGGTGTGGATATTTGTGGTTGAGACGAAAAAAACTCTAGATAAATAAAAATATAAAAATTAAAAGATCGCATGTGGCATTACAAACTTGCTGAACTTGGTGCAACTAGCTACCAGTGCATGCATTGCTGTGTTTTAGGGATCCTTTGCTATATATTTTGAGCTTTTTAAAATCAATATTTTCAAAGAAAAACATCAAAATATGAAGGGAAAAAAATACTTGGGGGCAAATTCAGATATTTCAGAAAGTAATATTGCATTAAACCCATGTTTTTTTTTTGTTTTTTTTGCATTAAAACAAAAATGTTTGGATAATGTGTAATTGGGTCGTGCAAAGCTATTGCATGATAGATGGTTATTTTGCTGTGCCATCACAAACCCCTTCTTTGTTCATGTAATGTTTGCCATTGTATCAAGTTAAAGTTGTAAATGTTTAGCATCTTGTTAGAAAATGTTACAGTGTTAATTAGGTTGCATCTCACTGCCTGACACCTTTAAACATATAAGAGGATGTGAAGTTATGCTCATGCAAGGTTCTTTTCAATCTATTTTACTGGCTTTGTGGGTTGATTTTGATCTTCAAATACTTCTTTGTAGCTACATGTACATGGAATATTAAAAATAGCATCTTTTTTCTTTGTATGCTGTAATAATAAAATGAAATCATAGAGTAAATTCAGTAAAGATTCCATTTGCCAGCATGTGCTAGTTATACGTTTTGAGTTTTGTGACTTCTTAATCTTCATATAGAGCTAGGGATATTGAAATTGTCAATAGGCAAGCATAAAAATCATTTTGACAGTCTCCCTACCTGTTTGGATCAAGCTTCAGCAAAGTACTTTTAAAGGTGTTATGAAGAATAATCACATTTTGGAGAATACAACATATTCATGGAATCTACAGAAATAGTGCAGCTTCTAAGACTTAAAGGGGAAGTCCAAACTGGTTTTGAGTTGGTATTAATAGTAGCAGAACAATGAGAGTAACGGGTCAGTAAACGTTTGAGCAAATTTCGATTAAAAATAAGAAAGTTATCAATGTTTGAATTGTGATCAATCATTGGCAACACTGTGATGTATCTTGCGAGCTCCTGTCCAATTTGCTCTGTTCATAAAATTTCATGAACTTTCATTTTCTTTGTTATTGATGACAGAGTTGATTTTTTTTTCCATGCAGGAACATATTTGCAATGATTATAAATAGGGTGCATGTATGATCTGCAATTTACTTGAGGAAAAATCAAAATGTTTATTTCTTTTCAGTGTTTGTGTTTTTGTTTGTTTTGTTGATTGATTGCAACTTCAAACATTCACAACTCCGGTAGTTTTAATCAGGATTTGCTCAAACGTACACCAACCTGTTCCTATCATTTTTCTGCTTCTTTTAAAACCAACTTACTATCTATTGGGGTGGACTTTCCCTTTAAAATTGATTTGGGATTAATTTATCATGCCAAGTCAAGAAGAAAGTGTTCTGAGTTGAGCTTTTGACACTACCATGAAACAGTGCAATACTGAAATGTGTGTATCATACATTAATGTATGAATTTTGTACAAATGATCTGCAATTGTATATTAGGACAAAGTACATGTAAGTGGCTGCAACTCTGTATAATGAATGGCCTAGATACATGTACATACATGTATAATATGCTATAAAGACTGAAATTATGACGTACGGTACATGAGACCTAATACCAGTGTACAATACAGCATAGACATGATGTCCGTGGTGTGTTCGATTGAGATTTACAGTTTTACAGTCTCCCATTTTATAAAAACAGTATTATTTCTTTTTTTAAAACCAAGAATCGTATTCTTGTTACATATATTTACATGTATTAAATAAAATATATTAATTGGACTATTATTTACAAGTACAGTATAGGGGAGAGGAAACATTAATCTTGTCGCTGGATATTGGTCAGTGATATGTACCACTGGATGCAGCAATGATGGCTGATAATGAGCACGCACTTCCATGTTCATGCAGCTCTCTGAATCAGTGTATACAGATACATGTGTGTAGCAAGCTACTACCCAGTGGTACATATACATGTAGATGGCATTTGTTAAATACTTTGTCTTTATTGTTAAGTGATCATGTCCATGGCATTATATTCATGTTTGCATTGGTGTTGAGTATATACATGTATGTTCCATTATTTTACATTATGTGCATTAATGTTTTGAAGTATTGGACAAGCAAGTTTGTGACTTGTACCAGGAGAGTATTGGGCATAACGTGTGCAGAGGTGAGAAAGGTAGGATCCAAAATATTAGGAGAAAATTGTATTAAAGCCCCACTACACTACTTATAGCTACATGTACGTGGGCCCTCTGTATAGCAAACAATCCCTAAGCGGTGACTGTTGATCCCCCATGGTCCCCTTTTTCTTATGTTAATTGAGAGCTGATTTGATGAGATAACCACCTGTCAGTGACCATGCAGGGAGGTCTAATCCCTCTTGGCCAAACTAGTGCAGATAGGCTTTAAGTTCATTTTGAAAGTTACAATAGACCTACATGTACATTTTGCTATGTGAAGAACAGATGCTTGTACACTTCTTCAGGCTCCTAGGTAGCATGGGTACATGATGTATGTTTAGAAATATGTGATAGCGCCACCTTTTGTTCACTCTTGGTGTTATGCATGCTAGGGGGGGGGGGGGGATAAACATAACATAACCCCTCTAATGTTTGAACTAGTCTCTCAATAGTACCTTCCTCCTTTTTAATTTGTATAGGTTTTAACTTTCATTTTACAGGCTTACATTTCTCACAATAACTTCTATATAAGGCATTACATCCTACTTTATGCACAGGGACATAAATTGAATTTTGCAGTCTTGAGTGATATAATTAATCCATGGAAGATGAATTACCCTTCAACTGTTCATTTGTTATGTAATGTCTAGTATGTGTGTAATATAGCATTGAGAGCACATAAGTTGCTGGTATCTATAGCAATATAGACTTTGATAAGTTTACTCTGTCATTGAGATTAGCAAGGTACAAAAGCAAACACTGGAAATCTGTCATGACTGATAAGGTAATAAAGGAGCTGGCTTGCACATGTTGTCAAGAACTTACATGCTCACATGCTCATTTTAGGAGGGACACATTTCAGAAATTGTCCACAATTAGTTGTTTTCTCTCTTAGATGATGTTTATAGCTTTCAAAAAAGAAGCACTTGAACTTTGCTATCTTGAAGGAAACACTACCTGAAGAATAATAGTAGGCTTGCTGAAAGAATCTAATGTACAAAAATTGATTCTCTTTCATTATTTTCCTTTGTAAAATGTGCCAGTTCAAATGTTATTGAATGTCATGTACTGGGTACCTCATCTTGTCAAGAACCGGTCAAATCTAGATCTTCTAGAGGGCACACGTCGTCGGCAAAAGCCCCTATTAGTAAGCACTATGCAAACAACTACCTTAAATAACATAAAGGTTGATAAAGCATTAATGTGGTGTTAGTCCCAAACTGGCTGTTCCTTTTTGGCTTTTTATTTTTTTATTCCTGTCAGACTGTCACATTCTATTTGACTCCATAACTTTATGTTTGCAAAGCGACAGCACTTTGACCGTAATAGCCCTATGTTTACTAGATAACTCAATTTTAAGGTAGTAAGATCACTCAATTCTAAGGTGGGAAGATGTGATGAATTGTAGTTTATTTATTCAGAAAGGTAAATATTTATATCACATGACAGTGGTATTTATTCAAGTCACATATGCATCAAAGAATACTTAAAAATGCTGACCTACAATCTGCAGCAAATTATATGTACATTGATTTGTCATGTAATAAACATGAAAGCTAAATTATTGTGGTAAACATAACAACCAAAACAATCTCTCTAAAAAGGCAAAAAGAAATACCAAATCACACTTGATTTGCGAAACCAGTGACGAATAGCTTATATATTAGTGGTTGCTAAACTTTCATAGACCTATAGGTTTTTGGTTCTCAAACCTTTCCTGTAGAGATATTAGTTCTCATTTTCAACTGCTTTAAAATGCAAGATCATTATAAACCTTGTCCAGTTACTGATTAAAGTACAAGGATTGCAATCGAATGAAATGTGAACAAACTTTTTGTGCAAGGCCTTTCAACTTCTCTATCAACTTTGTGTACATAGAACCACTTCCAATATTAACATAGAAGAATCACTAGTGTATCTGAAGGAGGGGCAAGGGAGCACTTCCCCCCTATTGTCACATTTCCGATCAAGAAAATTTAGTGTACCGGTATCAACTTAAAGTGAGAGGAGACTCATTTTAAATCAAGAAACACAAAGTACAGACATAACCTCAAAAGGCTAACTTACTTCTAACCAAAATAGGTCAGTTAGAGCGACACCCTCCCCCTCCCCTGCAATGCAAACCAAGGACCTGAATAGGCAAAGTATATAGTGGTGGTTATTTTACCTGACAGCTAAGAAAGCAATAAATGCTTGTTAGTAAGCAACTAGAATACCGACGGCTTTAGGTCCTCTCTGAGGGACCTGGTAATGAGGATTAATGCCTTACCAAAGGGCACCAGCGCATCGCCTTGGTTTCGAACCCGGGTCACCGGATAACGAGACCACTGCTCTACCGACTGAGCTATCACACCTCCTATTGGTTTTCATTACAGGGGAGGGGGGGGGGGGAGGGTGTTGCTCTAAATGACATATTTTGGTAAGAAATAAGTAAGCCTTTTGAGGTGAAGTCCTTACTTGAAAATATTTGAATCTCAGTAACTTTTGTCCCTCCTGAGGCTAAGGTCTGGATATTTCTCTGCAAGGCATGATTATCCTCTCGCCCTATACAAGTGAGAAAATAACTCTACAGTATATCAAGTTACCAACATGCCTAAAAAGTAGAAGTCATTGTGACACGGGTGTCGTAATGGTGGAAGGCAGGCATTAGCTTTCCATTATTTTGCGATATTAAATTCAAATGTATGATTTCTTAATTATTTCATGTTAGTAATTTAAGCTTTGATGTAATTACCTTTGCTTTTATGTTTTAAGAAGTGCAGTAAGTTCCTTCAAAATAATTTATTTTTATTTTTTAAAGATAATATTTTAAACTGTTATTCAAAGAATTCTTGATGATCTAAGAGTGAAATGGATGGTCTGATATTGTCTAAAGCAATTAATACACAACTAAATGTACTTGACCTGAAGTAATTCTTCATTGGTGAATATAGTCTAGTTTGTGAACCATGTTCTGCAATGTTATTATTCATTTTAATGTCTTGGTAGTTTTTACTGTACACTTGTTATACTGTAATGTATCGTCCATGGTAAGTGTCATGTATCCGGCCTACAGTATTACATTAAAATGCATGCTTCTTTATTATTCTTTCATGCTTTTTTAAAATGGTGTTTTAAAAAATGGAATTTGTAAACTTGTAATGTAAGTGTACATTAGGAATCATGCATTGTGGTTCTTATCTATGTAACTAATATGTTTATGGTTTTGTATGTGAAATTGGTAGTTAGCAGTGTTATGATATTTGTTTCTTATCTTATTGTGCCACTAATAATGTAAGTCCATGCTGTCTGCTTTTGTATAGCGGTGTGGATTAAATCTCATGTGCATAATTTGATGATGAAATTAGGTGATCTTGCTTTTATCTGCCAAACTTGCTGATTTGTATGTAGTTGTACAGACTAATTTGTATATACATGAATTTTTGATCTCTTGTGTATTTGGGGACATATTCTCTCTTCTTTCTTTTTTTCCTGTCTTGTTAAATGTAAATAATGTACAGACATTAATGTAAAGATAATATTTAATTATTTATGCAGCTTGTGTGTGTGTTGTGTGTATTACAGTGAAAATTAGAAGCAGACTGAAAGTAATTCATTTCAGGTTATATGAGGGAATAATGAGAGAGAGAGAGAGAGAGAGAGAGAGAATGATGTCATTTAGAAGCAATTAACATGTGTGACTGATATTTTTTTCTTCAGTTTATGCTTGTATATGTCAACGCAAGAATAAAACTGATCAAATGATGAAATATAAAATTTTCAAGTTGTTGTTTCTTCATTTAGTACTACTTCCTTGCATTCATTTTATTCCCTAAGTTTTATAACTTTGAGTTCAGAATACATTGCCAAAATATAAATGTTTTAAATGTAGGAAATCACATTTTTGTTTGAATAAGATTGTGTAAATTGTCTTATTATTATTATTATTTATTTGGCATTTCAAACATACAATACAAGGTACAAAAGAATGGTACAAAGTATGAAAGAATAAAATTGGCTTCCCCTGCTGCACCTCCCGAAGTTGCCGGGAAGAAAAAAAGGAATGTAAAATTCCTATAACCTGTAAGTCTTTTCTTCCGACTCCAGGAGATGCATCAGGGGATGCCTAAAATATTATACATAATCATAATTAAAACAAAAACAAAAACTAAAACTTATTGATGACAATGCATAAAGTTAAACTTAAGCTTGATGAATTGCAATATGTTATCTCAGGTGTCACTGGCATGTCTGTTTAAGTGAAGCAAAAAAGACAAGTAAATAGCAGAAATTGGAATTGAATAATAGTTATTATGTTGCACAGATTTTGGAGAATAAAACTCAAGAAACGATTATAATGAGGGGAAATACAAATCAATCTCTTAATATTCAAATTATATATTCAATAAAAATTATATCCAAACATCAACTTTTGATGTTTGTTACATGTGTTCATAGTTTATTCAAAGTAAGATTTTTATTGGAAGCTCTTATTACCAATCATGTGTAAGAATATGTGTTGACTAATGCTTGATGATAGAAATTTTGCTGGGAAACCATGCACCTACTAATTGATATATTTGGTAAATTATTATATCTATTCGGACCAGATGGATAGTCTCATATACATCTTTCTGTGTACAGTGCTTGTAACTTTACCAAGACTGGGCCAACTTTCTTATCATTTTGATGATTCCAGAACCTTGCAGTACACACCAATACTTATATGCTAGATGATCATCCTTTTCTGATCGATTCCACAATGTTTCTTTCACAATGCAATCGCATGACCAGAACGGGTCTATACCTTTAAGTCTAGTAAAAATTTATATTCTATACAGTGTGAGTCAAAAAAAAGTTTACACCTAGAAAATTGCTAATTATTTTGAAAATCATTGATGAACATTAAATTGATATATGTCTTATGAAAGAGTGTTTTATCCCAAATCATTTGGTACCTTTTTTGTGTGGTATGTGTTCACGCTTGGATGAACAGGAGACATTGTTTGCGAGAGTGCAAAAATCGACTTCGGCACCAAAGTTTCCTATGTCATCATGTTTGAATAAAACAATTGGGAGTTAGGTATTAATTCGGTCTTTGCAGATCCAAATAACATCCCTAACAAAATTAATCATGCCACACATATCAAATATCGAATATCAAATACCAACGTACATTTGTGCGTGTGTGTGTGGGTGTGTGTGACTTTGCCCTTTGCAAAAAAACTTATGCAATGCATTTCATTTGATACATTCAATCCATTCTCTCACTCCGCTAATCCCAACATAATACTGTAGGCATCACTTTGGCGCAAGTTGATTTTTGCAATTTTCTAGGTGTTAACTTTTTTCTGACTCACACGGTATAATGAGAACTGATATATAGGTAATATCTTATATCTGTGAATTGATAATACATTTGAGTGCTCTTTTAAAAGAGTTTAGTGATTTTATATATCAAATATTGTTAGGTAGAGAACTCCATACATCTGGACCCCTATGTCTGATTGATTTCTGGGCTAATGTAGTGTGAGGAATGACCACATGTCAATTCAATGACTGTCTTGTTGAATACGAGTGAACTATGTTATTAGGTTAAAATATTGAAGATAATGAAGTAGGTAACAATTTTATATTGAAATGGAGCATAAATATGGCAATTTGGAGGAAGTTAATATCATTAACCTTTAAACATTTCAGTTTAACAAATAGTGGCCACTATTTGTTAAACTGAAATGTTTAAAGGTTAATGATGCGGGGTAGCCTGGTCACAATAACCAGCTCGGGTACATGCTAGCGTACAGCTTTCTTTTGCAGCAGAAGAATATTATTAGTCACACACTTGGATGTTGCCCACAAAATATTACAATAGGAGATATGTGGTAAAATTAGACTATTATATAGCATACCGTATCAGAAACAAAACATTTTATTCTAAATAGTACGCCAATATTTCTGGAGATTGGTGTAACAATGTGTTTTACATGGTCGCTCCAGTCAAGTTTTTCATTGATTTAGACACCATTAAGGAGCTTTGGACATGTCTTTCTCTCTATAGAAATATCATCTAGTTTAATATTTAGAGCAAGGTTGTCATCAGATTTTCTACCTCTAAAATGAATATAATTTGTTATAAGCACATTGAGAGAGAGAAACCATAAAGTCAACTTTGGCAGCTCCAAATTAAGTTTCTGTTAAAGAGTGTGATGAGATAAGAAAACACCTGTATCATCTGCAAATAAAGTGTAATTTAAAGTTTTAGATACATTATAAATATCATTGATATAAATAAGAAATAATAATAGGCCCAGGATGGAACCCTGCGGAACACCACATTCAAGATAAACAGGAATGTTGATTGAATATGATGAATGGATGAATGATTATATCAATGATTGGATGAACAAATGATTACATGAACAATCCAGTGACATATGATGGATGAAAGGAATCACGGATGACTTAATGGTCAAATCTACAGATTGTGAATATATTGATTGTAAATGTATTACCAGGGATATGTGAGTTTAACTCACATATCCCTGGTATTGTCACACCGCACCGCCACACTTTGGCCACACCCCCTCTCCACCCCTTATAGCTTATGGTACGTGACAGGGCCTAGGGAGCATATTAAATGCTCATTGTTTACAAACTGCTAAATTGCTAGTATTAGACATTAAGACCTTTTTATTATTGTGTATTCGGTAAGTTTTATAACTGACAAATCTAAAGGACTTTCTTATCGACAAACTGTCTTTTTCAAATAAAAATACTTATCAAGTAGTATTTTTGAGTTTTTTCAATACGAGATTGGATATTAAAATATAATATATTAGACACATATTTGTGAAAAGGGTGGGAGTTAAGACTAAGAGACCTTTTTCCTTTTCTTTGTATGGTAATGAGAATATCCGCAGCTAGCTTGTTACAGCTACCGTACCGTACTGCACTGTTGACAAACAGCAATCTCCCTTTCGTCAGATCGAACAGCTAGACGGGGAAATTTGTAACTGTAGGCTATTTTATCGCGGTCAGGATGGTGAGTTAAGAATTAATTTCATACTTCATAGTATAATAATCGTGATTCCTTTTCCAAAAATAGAACTACTCGAAGGAGGATGTGAATTTCAATGGCAATGTTGCGAACATGATGACGAAATCGATGCGAATGGCCCATGGCCTGGGTGAGCGCTGTGTGCGCCGCCCAACAAGGCAGCGTCGTCGGCCTGTTGTCCGCTGTCCGGTGCTTCACTCAGGAAATTCTATCAGAACATCTAGGCCTAGGCTATATAGTCTACTCACCTGTAGACTATAGCTGTATTGACCTTTCTCAGCTCCTTAGTAAGACAATGTCTTGTAATGCCCTCCCATAGTTCATCAATACACCACTGCAAATATACTGTTCTAGAGTAGTGGCTCCGGTCTGCGGCCGATCGGCGGGAACTGCCGATTCTATTTTTATTGGAATACTCACAGAATACTTCAATACCCTCAATAAAGAGTCCATATACTTACTTATTAAATAGAAGTCACAAATAACCTAACTGACCCACAGCGTGGTCAGCATTGACCACGTTTCAAAATGCTTTGAGTTCCCCGGTTTGCGGGCACGCATTACCGGTTTGCGGCACGCGTACGTCACAAAGCTTTATGCGCTACGTCACGATGAAAGCATGTACCAAATTACTACGGGTAACCCAAATTCTCATGTTTATCTGTTGCTACGGTAAATTTGTCAAATTTTAAACAATTTCACCTTTTCCTCGAATGGATCATCCCATCCGGGGGTAAGTACTACTAGAAATTATCGGGTCATAGCGGGTACACACATCAGCACACATACCATCATACACGATCCCGCATGTTATGTGTGTATTAACACCCCCCGCTGCAAACCAGAAAAAACACGTTACGTGCCGGTTTGCGGCCACCCCATGCAACTGGCCATGCGGTGGCACAATCAAAATATCTGCGATAGGAGACAGACCACAGCCATCATACTTCCACAAAAACATCAAATTTCACCTCCAGTCGGACAAATATCGGACAAATAGAGCTACAATATTGATCTAGTCATGCCTCGATCTCTTAACTTAAAAGTTAGCACCTGCTGGAATTTTCATCGGCGACTGGTGCCGTAGATTTCCGACATCGCTGACGGATACTCCGTACCGACAGGAGCACCTGCTACGGACGTTTTCGGCAAAGCAGAACTTACCGTGGAACCCACGGTAGGTTTCAATGATTATTATCGAGTCATATTCATTTTACTTTTAAAACAAATACCCCTGGCCGCAACCCGGGCGATGCCGCAAACCGGAGACTCTACTCTAGATCTATTTGTGATGATAAGGCCAAGGGTAAAAACAAAAATTGGAATGTGTAGTTGTAGGATTGATGAATCAGACTGTCTCAGCTCAGCTCTGGAACTGTCTTATAATTCAATGTTGTTCCTGTTTTTTTCCCTTTCTTTTCATAAAACAGGAGAACAAGGATAACAAGGTGGACCAGGTCCTAATAATGGACCCATCTCTGGTCTATCGCCCTGACATCTCAGACGAGGAGAAGAAATTCCTGGGCTTGACTGACCTATCACCAGATCTGGACTTCACGCCTGGTAAAGAAGAGGATGAATTCCGAAGATTTGATGTAAGTTAGTTGTAAGGCATAATATAAGCTCATGTCCAGGGAACAACATGCAACAGACACATTGACTATTGCAGAGACGCCAAGTTCAAAGATCGGCAATGCGTGACATTTTCATGATTCGGCGCGCGAGCACGCGTGCGAGGGTATAAGGTATAGCGTTTTTTTCAAAATCTAGGGCGCGCGTTGTGCGTAAGAGCATTTTCAGACTCTCGAAATGCGTGATGTCACGCCTAATGCGTGATACTTGGTAGCTCTGCTATTGTAGAACTCGATCTACATCTACATGTACATTGCTATGCCATGCCAGGCAAGAGAGTTTGTATGTAAAAATCCCAGCCAGCAATCATGCATGCAAAAAAGGAAAAATATATATAGACCTATAACACTTGCTCCTGCAACAATTGCTAGATGTACTATTTTGAAAACAAACCAAAGTCCTGAGATCAACTCTGGACAAAATACTTATCCTTTCCTTGAAGGACTTAAACCTTTAAATCTTGTATTAGTTGTAACTTAATAGCTACATGTATCTTTGATGAAATAAAGCCATGAGCACTGGAGCATATGTACATGTACGTCTAGTATTTTAGTCTTTTCGCGTATGATGCTGTGTAGACACCCTTTGCTTCTGAGCAATTAAAAAAAAATTGATCTAAAGTGTAGGTATTCATAAATGTTGGTTTATTGTGAATTGCCAATAGAAGACTGGTATCTACATTAGATGCTGTAATTCATTTACATCATTTTTATTTTAATATTATACACACAAAAAAATATTCAATTTCATCCTGCACTTCTGGCTGGCGATGCTTGTGTATACTCATTCACTCATTTTTTAAAGAAATTTATGAGGTAGTGCACTTTATACTTTTCATAGAAATGTACGGCCACAAATTGTTCATTGTTATTATTGTTAACAATAGCTCTTTTATTACATAGCACCTTTCTACTAGTTAAGTAACTGATACTGATACATGTAGATCATAAAAGTGCTTCAGGTATTATTCGGTCACTGGATTAAATTAGCCCTTTCAGAGATACCATCTGGGCTAATCGCCATTAATAAGCCAAAACAGAAGAAGAAGAAGAAGAAGGGCATGGGCAGATGATGGTCATTTCTATGGTACACAGAGGAAGTGCTTTCATGAAGCACCTCCATCACTTGGCAGTAATGTAAGACACATAAAATGGGACTTCTCCATGTTTGAAAGTTTTTGGTTTATTGGGGGTCATTTTGTACATACATGTATGACTTATCTCCGAACTGGTCTATTACAATTCTGCACATTACAGTGCACCATCACTCCTCTGACTGAGAAGCATGCATGTTTGGAATATTCAATGGCCTATCTGTGAAGATGGAGGCATTGTATCCTCCCAGGTTAACCTTCAAGTTACCCATTGAACTCCTGGGTGGATAAGATGAAGAGAAATGTAAAATATCTTTAATACTCAAGGATCCATTTTCTTTGTGTTCCAGTCAAGTTATAAACATCTACTACACTGTACATGCACATGTAGGTTTGTTTGTTATAGAGCCTTGAGATGTTACTTTAAACTTTCAAGTAATTTATACCTTTCTGTACCAGTTTTTAAGAAATCTGAATGCTGTTTTTATAAGTTTGCTATATACTTATTAAAAGAGAGAAAACAATCAGACTTATGTACAGTACATGAAATTTAAGCTTAAAGTTGTCATACAAGTCAATAAAAATAAAATTAGGCATATAATTGTCAGTTGAAAGTATAACTAGGAATTCCTTTCAAGCACTTAAAGATGAGACAACATGGTTGAATTGGAGACCATTTTTTATTTTATTAAATTATATTACCTTAATAATTTCAAACAAGAGGGATAACAAGGCTTTTTGCTCCATAATACCATATAAGGACCAGTTGTGATATAGACAAGTATTGTTTAACCTCTTTATCTAAATCAGCTGTGAATTTTAAGATTTTAAAGTCTCTGCAATGTGAGAGAAAATGTATAATTTACATGAAGTGAATTATCAATTTCTATTCATTATAGTTCACAACTGTGCAATTACATGTTAAACGTGCCTTAAAGGTGAAATTCAAAGAAAATCACAAATATGTCAACTAATGTATCACTAGAAACTGGTGGGCTAACAGATGGCCATCGTACAAGGTTTAGGTCAACTACATATCGGGTGATTTATACAAAATACAAATACAACCACCTCCATAGCAGCTGGGATATACGAGAGATTCGCCGGAAAAATAATGATGTTTTAATGACGTCACTATATGGACCATTACTGCCCAAACAGACGACATCCCATAAAGAATGAACATAATTGCAAAGCTATTATTTGTCAAATTATAATGAGTTTAATGTATATAAATTTAATGGCATATCAATTTATTCAAAAGGGGGTATGACTCGATTCTGATAACTAAAATCTTTTTCTTGTAAATACACAGGATAGGGGTTAATTAACAATCAAAGAAACCAGACTTTCAAATTGAAAACCCCTCAGAATGATTTTAAGGACGGCATTTGTTCCCTCTTGAAACACCCCGAACATACCGCGGTGTGTGCAGCTGAATATACAATGGCGTCTTATTTTGTTTACAAGCAGAAGATTCCTTTATTTTTGTATTGCTGCATTTGTCATCAAAATAAAACCATGCGCGGGTTTAGAGTGAGGCAATATATTATACATTTAGCCTGATGGTAGTGAAGTAAGAGAAAGAACTCAAGAGAAGATGAAAACACAGGCACTGAAAATGTGTAAGAAGTCATGGGACAGCGTCTGCTTGTGCAAATCATGTCCATACTGTGATCTCACACATCTCAGCAGCATTCGGAGAGCTCTCCAGTTGCTATGCCGGGGCTGTATTTAAGTGTTTTGTAATTTATAATAATCATTACTTTGGATTTTTCCAAGCATTGAATTTTAATAACCTTGTCGAATCAAAGTTTCAACTTTGCAATAATGAAAATAAAGTTAGTTTTTAAAATCAATGAATATCTACTTTAACCCTTTGAAGACTTTTTTCTATATGTCTGGTCAGGTCGCCCCCAAGCAGGTCGCCTCCTGTACGCAGTCGCCTCCTTACGTATCGTCACCCCCAAATTGTGTGGTTGGGTCGCCTCCTACACACAGTCGCCCCTCTCCGTGAATATAATGCATTAAGACGCAACAAATTTCCTTCTGGACCAATAAAATTGAATTGAATTTAAGAGTTCCATATGTACCCCCCAACCAATTTGACAAAAATATTGATATGACTCAGAGTGATATACTAGTTTTACCCATATAGACTACCTTAGACTAATTTAGAGTTAGGGTTAGGTTTAGAGTTAGGGTAACACGGACCTTGGTGTCCTAGGGTAGACGGGCCCGGTGTCCTTTAGAGTAACGTACGTGGGGCCTGGTGTCCTAGGGTTAGGGTTAGGGTTAGAGTTAAGGTAACACGGACCCTAGTGCTAGGAACTAAAAAAACTTTGAAGTTGTAAAAGACATCAAATTAAAACAACAAATTAGAGGGCGAAATGACCCCAAAAGTTGGGACGAGCTGACCAAGAATCCCAAAATCGCCAAAAAAAAAAAAATCGGGGGCGACATGACCAATTGAGGGTGACTTTGTAAGGGGGCGGGCTGACATTAGGCGACCTGACATGGAACCTTCTATATATTCCAGCGCAAGTAATCTTACTTAGGCATCGTAGGCAACATGAATTTGATACTTGATTTGTGTGATTTATACATTGACAGGATGATGACACTGATGCAACTATGGCTCAAGTTAAGAAGACATACTATCTCATGCATACCAACCAAACATACGACTACGTGATGAAACAGGTGGGTATCTTTTAAGGTTTTCTATAATAAAAGAATGTTGGTCACACACAACTTTTTTAATTCACCAACTTGATCATTGGGCAGCACATCAAATGTTTCACAATTCAAGATGGAATCTGCTTGATACATGTGTACTGATGATAACTCTTTAAAGGCTTGTCTAGGTATGGTGGGGTAAAGGGCTGCAAATAAACCACCATGTTTTGTTGTTGTTGTGTTTAAATGAATGGCAACTGCACTGAATATAGAACTTGCATGTTTTCACTTAGGTTTCAGTTTGATTTACTATTATCCATTCAGTGAGTTAACACTAGCTGGTATTGTTGATCAGAATGAAAGGATGGTCTCTGCATATTGGAATACACTTCAGTATGCAGAGATACTGCCTCTATAGGCAGTATTTAAAGGCCCACTGCACTACTTGTAGCTACTTGCGCCCTCTATATAACAAACAATGCCTAATCGGTGACCATTGGTCCCCCATGATCCTCTTTTTCTTATGTTAACTGAGAGCTGAGTTGATGAGATAACCACCTGTCCAGTGACCTTGCAGGGCAGTCTAATCCCTCCTATAAACTACGGCAGATAAGCTTTAAAAGGAAGGTTGATCGAGTTCTGGGAAAGGTGAATAATAATTTGTGAGTTTTAGCATTCTTTATACTGTGGATGAAGGTGTTCTCTGAAAAGGATGGCTAGCTTCCAAATGCTCTCATATTCAAGATGTGATAGTAACATTTAATGGTTTGTGGACTACACTTTCTGCAACATGTTTGTGTAGTACCATGTGCATGTGACATTTATCAAGACTGGGCCAATTTCTTATCATTTTGATGACTCCAGACCTCACAGTTTATATATACCGGTACATGTATATACACCTGTGCTACGTGATTAGCCTTATCCTATCACTTCAAGTTCCAGACAGTTTTTTTTTCACAATGAAATCACATGACCAGAACTCAATCGTTATCCTAGAATACGTTTAGTTTAGGTCAAGGCCATCAGTGCTTTATTCATTATATACTAAAGGGCAGTGCATGATCACATCTAGGCAGTTCTAAGCTAATATTTCCACTGTGTTACTGAACAAGGAACACATCCCTCTTAGAATTTAGTTTATATATCTGAAGTTAGCACTACAGAGAGATAATTAGATGAGACCAAATGTGAAGTTAAATAGGTACATACATGTACACACTGAACATGACGACAAAGAAAGCGGACAAAATATACAGTTCCTCAGGTAGACAAAGGAACATCCCTTCACTGCTATTATGTAAAAAGGTGAATATGCATGTGACACCTGTTCTACACATTTGTACATAGTAGCAGTGAAGGGATGATCCTTTGTCTACCTGATGAACTGTATATTTTGTCCGCTTTCTTTTTGTCAGTCATGTTCATAGTGACATGTATATATGCAGAACTACACAATAGTCTGTATTAAACATACATGTATATGTGACATCAAATGGCTAAATCCCTTTGAGTTTGACTTGCCCTGTTGTATGCAAATTATTTCCCCAAAATATAGGAAGCTGAACTTGCTGTAGAATCAGAGGGAACTATAATAGGGAAAGGCTAAAGTTCGATTAAATTAGAAATATCTTCAGCTAGCTCACAAAGTATACAAAGTATAAGTGCCCATTTGAGGTACATATTGAGTAAAACAATGTTTTTTTTGTTCACTATTGAGTGTTAAATGTAAAGGAATTAATTTCTAGGTTCTCATCCCACCCCCTTCCCCTTTTCAGCCCACCCGTACTTAGTTATTTGGTATTTGTTTTTTGTTGTTGAAAGGGAATAAAAAAGAATTTGAACGAGGACTTGGAGTCAACAAAAACATGATTGTTATCAGCGCTCAAAATACACAGGGGCGGTGGGCGATTCGCCCCCGTAAGCTACAAAATCGCCCCCGTCAGGTTGCTCACGGGGGCGATTGCAAAATTAAAAATCACCCCGGTGGAATTATAAAATAAAGATAATCTTTTCTGTTATAACTTTAACACAATATTGAGTTTCAATTTTCAAACCTTAAACCAATGAAATGGAACTAAGATTAGTGTGCAAGATTTCTCGTTTTATGAGTAGGCCTATTATTACCGATTCAGCTCGCAGTGCAGTGCTGCCGTCAGCAGTGGTTATAGGCCTACTGCGCCGTTAGTAGCGGTGCGTGTGCACGCTGCCGCGCCATGTCTGCTGGAGCTGGAGGCGATCGGGCAAGGGCAGAAACATGGTCATGGCCTGGAGAAGTTTTTCGTTGTCAGCAAATAATGAACCTCGACCAGTAAATCAATATTAGGGACTTTTAGATTTGCACGATGAGAACGTGGACTGCAACGTGTGACCTCCTTTTAAGGCACTGCCAGTGCTTAAAAGGATGTCACATGTGATTGCCAGCTAGTGCCTTAAAAGGACGTAACACGTCCACGTCCACGCAAATCTAAAAGTCCCTTTTGTGGAGAAGAGGAAGACCAAAATGTCGTGAAATCAGGGGCGGCGATTTCTGTTAATGACCGGGGTGGACGAAATGCGATTTTTTTTTTTACGAGGATGTTATGCGAGGGAGCGTAGCGACCAAGCGAGATTTTTTTTGCAATTTTATTGTCTAAACGCTGCACTCTTGGGCCTTCCAGAGCCTAAAAGTGTGTTGCAGTCATTATTCAGTATATGCTATACAATTTGTTTTGCACTTTTTCAAATTTCCCCCCCCCCTAAAAAAATTGAGGAGGGGGGGACGTGTCCCCCCCGTCCCCCTGGGATCGCCGCCCCTGCGTGGAATGATATGGTAACATGGGCATATCTACGGCGGGGGGGGGGGGGGGGGGGGGGGTAGGGGTTTAACCCCCTCCTCCCACCCCCCCCCCTTTTGCCAAGTGAAAATGTGATATTAAAGCGTGGGGGGGGGGGGAGGGGGATTCTGGAGAGGAGGCTACTAATCTATTTTATTTTTTTCAGAAGGCAGGGGGAAGTGAAGCGCCGTTTTAGCATGACTTTTTTTAAACTCTTACTTTCACCTATCTCAGATAACCCTAAGTTTTTGGTTGCTGCTTTATATGTAGTTGATAATGCATGATTAAAATAAAGAGAGAGAGAGAGAGAGAACCACCATCCTTTTGCAATGGTTCAGGGTTCGTGTAATGTACATTTGAAACCATTTCTTAGCGTCTCAACCTTAAAAAAATAGCAAAACTATTTTTGAGGAAAAGCATTATACTGAATTAAATAAAGAATAAAAGCTTTATATTGGATCATACTAATACTGATACGGGCTAAAGACAATGTGGTATTTGTATAGAGGTATTCCAAAATGACATTCTGATAATCAACATTTGTTCTGGTATCATATGTATATACGCATAATACAACTGATCTTTATGATTTCTTAACGTGACATAGCTTCTTCTCCCTCTGCAAACAAAACAGAAAACAAGGTTATTTAATAAAAGGACCCTGCGAAAAATAATCATTGTGATTCAAATTGATGCAAGGATTTTTTTTGAATAAGCAATGCTTTTCACTAGAATCTTCTTTGTAAAAACGACTTTTACAAATCTCAGCCATGCAATTCTGCCACTGTGCTGTAAGATCACTTTGAGATTAGGAGAAGTGTATTATGTAATGGGTATTTTAAATTGAATGGAACGTCTCAACTCAGTAAGCATGGCTGAGATTTGTAAAAGTTGTTTTTACAAAGAAGATTCGGGTGAATAGCAGTGCTTATTCAAACAAATATTCGCATCAATTTGAATCGCAATCATTATTTGTCGCTTAATCCCTTTTAATGACCATGTTTTCTTTTTCGTTTGCAAGGGGAGAAGAAGATATGTCACGTTAAAGACATCATAAAGATCAGTGTTGTATGCGTTTATATTATATACACAGGGCAGTAACAGCTATGTAGCTTGTAAATTTGTAAGAGGGAAAATGCTGATTGAAATGATAATGATGAAATAGCAAATAATTGAGGAGTATCATAGGTACCAATTCAATGGATATTTGTATAAAAAAGAGCCCCCATCAGTAATAAAAGAGCCCCCGTGAAAAGGCTCACGGGGGCTCTCTTATTTCGGGGGAAGAGCCCCCGTGGACAAAAAATTAATTTGAGCCCTGATTGTTATATATGCTATTCTCCTTGTTTCAGGCCCCTGTAGTGTACCACGGTATCTACAAATTTTTATTTGAATTTACAAAATGTTATGAATTTGACCGAATAGCATCTCTATGTGCAGAAAAATGTCAAATAACTTGAGACCCCTTATTCATTTTCAAAATATCTTGATGAGAAACTAAATTTTAATTGGCCTTAGACCTATGTATACATGTACTTGTGGCCTTTAAAAAATGTACAAACCAGTATGGATGAGCTGTTTTGAACTACTTGCAATAATGAGGTCAGGTCACTTTAAGGTACATGTACATTTCTATTAGCCAAGACCGTTGAGGGCTTTTTAAAGTTCCTTTCACCTTAAAGGTGAAATTCAAAGAAAATCACAAATGTGTCAAGTAATGTATCACTAGAAACTGGTAAGCTAACAGATGGCCATCGTACAAGTCAACTACATATCGGGTGATTTATAAAAATACAAATACAACCACCTCCATAGCAGCTGGGATATACAAGAGATTCGCCGGAAAATTAACGATGTTTTAATGACGTCACTATATGGACCAATACTGCCCAAACAGACGACATCCCATAAAGAATGAACATAATTGCAAAGCTATTATTTGTCAAATTATAATGAGTTTAGTGTATATAAATGCAATGACATGCCAAACCACTCAAAAGGGGATATGACCCGATTCTGATAACTAAAATCTTTTGCTTGTAAATACACAGGATAGGGGTTAATTAACAACCAAAAAAACCAGACTTTCAAGTTAAAACCCCCCCGGAATGATATTAATGACGGCATTTGTGCCCTCTTGAAACACCGAACATGCCGCGGTGTGTGCAGCTCAATATACAATGGCGTCTTATTTTGTTTACAAGCGACAGATTCCTTTATTTTTGTATCACTGCATTTGTCATCAGAATAAAAACATGCGCGGGGTTTAGAGTGAGGCAATAGATTATACATTTAGCCTGACGGTAGTGAAGTAAGAGAAAGAACTCAAGAGAACATGAAAACACAGGCACTGAAAATGAGTGAGACGTCATGGGACATCGTCTGCTTGTGCAAATCATGTCCATACTGTGATCTCACACAACTCAGCAGCGTTCGGAGAGCTCTTCAGGTGCTATGCCGGGGCTGTATTTAAGCGTTTCGTAATTTATAATAATCATTACTTCGAATGTTTCCAAGCATTGAATTTTGATAACCTTGTTGAATCAAAGTTTCAACTTTGCAATAATGAACATAAAGTTAGTTTTTGAAATCAATGAATATCTACTTTAACGGAAAACTACTCTAAAAAAAAGCAGAAAGATCAGAGAAGCAGACATATGTATCAAGTAAACACTAATGTGTGAAGTGGAATATTTAATTATTTATACAACTAGGTCTTGACACTTAACTTCTTTGTGACTAGCTTGCTCACAAATAATATGAAACATAAATAAATAAAATAAATGAATAAATTATAAATAAATGCAAAAATGAATGCAAAAATAAATAGATGAATAGATAGATAGATAGTAAGTGATAGATTATAGATTAATAGTGAGTGGGTGAGCGAGTGAGTGACTGGGTGGGTGAGTGGGTGGGTGTGTGGGTTAGTGAGTGGGTTGGTGAGTGAGTAGGTGAGTGAGAGTGAGTTGGTGGGTGGGTGGGTGGATGGGTGGGTGGATGGGTGGGTGGATGAGTGAGTGAGTAGGTGGGTGGTTAGGTGGGTGGGTGGGTGGGTGGGTGGGTAGATGAGTGAGTAGGTGGATGGGTGGGTGGGTGGGTGGCTGGTTGGCTGGCTGGGTGAGTGAGTGAGTGAGTGAGTAGGTGGGCGGGTGGGTGAGTGGGTGAGTGGGTGAGTGAGTGAAACCCTGGCCCAATTGGAAAATAAAGTCGCGGTGACGTGCAGACGTTGTCCGGACGACATTTACCCTCTTCCAATTAAGACGCGTCAATCGGGGCAACGTCCGGACAATATCGAGGTAAATCTCACCCTAGACGAGCCAGGGTGATATTTACCTGGGTGACATTTACCGGGGTAAATTACGTCATCGCCGTGAAAAAAATGTATACATGTATACAGCGCGCGCCAGCTGATCGCTGGGTGAGGTTTTTGCGGATGGCTGATTAAGACGGTGTCCAAAAGCTCACCTCGTGTTTTACGATCAGACCCCCCACTGTTTCTCATCCACATGTTGCTCGGGTGAGATCGAAAAATTTCTATTAAGACGGGGCTTAAGTGAGTGAGCGAGCGAACAAACATACAAACAAATAAATAAATTGACCTTTTGATGATTACGGTGAAGTTGCTACTCATGATACTTATGGTACTCATGCAGCTCAGTACTAGTTTCAGGCATTGTACAGGTACTCCAATCATAGAGACCTCCATGTACAGTATATTGATTTCAAATCTACTTGAAATCTACAACACCTTCCATAATTCCAATTCCAATTTGTAGTTTTGGAGGCTAGTGTCAATGCCATTATTGATTATTAACATTTCTATTATGTTTGTCCTTACTCGCATTGATTCAGCTGCGTTACCATGCATGGTTGATGTTTGCATTAGGGTACATGTAGGGTTGGAAATTGTGACACATGTCCTGTCAACATAGTAGTAGTAGTAGTGTAAGGTACATGGGGTACATGGAGAGGATAGAATCTGGTTTACTTGATTAAAACAAGCTTCATTGTGAAAATGTAGTTCTGATTGATTATTTTATTATGAGGCAAATGATCACAACTCCAAATTCATGAGTAATAAACTTGTAGACCTACATGTAATGTAAAGGAAATTTGAAGGGACTTTGTTTTTCTTTAATACTTATCCACTCTTACCACCCAATTCCAGGTAATAAGAATAATTTTCTTATAAACTCGGTTATTGAAATCCTCTCTTGGGGTGGATATGTGCGCATTATAAATATTATTATTTATTATTATTTTTATTTGTACAGCATATATCTTTGAATACTTCAACTTACATCAAGATTCTTTCCATAGAATCTCCCAAGAAGCTTGGAATAAGAGTGGTATGATATGGTATGATATGATTTCTAGATATCTTTATTTTTTATTACAGCATGAGAAATGGCTAAGCTTCACCTTGGGTGAGATGACTGTCATGGAGGCTCTTGATCTTCTTAACAATCTCATTGATGAATCAGATCCTGATGTAAGCATACAAAATCAACACACTGGTTGGATAAAAGAATGCAGTCAAACCTGTCTATTAAGGCGATCTAAGGGAAACAGAAAAATAAATAATAATTACAGTGCTTATATAGCGCCTAACACTTACTTTGTCAGAAGTCTCTAAGCGCTCTACAATAATGCAGCATAATTACCCTGGCTTTAGCAGTGCAGCTGTTACGCGCGCTGCGTTTCAAGGAATAAATTCCTACCAGGTACCCATTTACTTCACCTGGGTGGAGTGTGGCAAATGTAGATCAATGTCTTGCCAAAGGACATATGTAAAAAAGTGGCCACTGTAAAACAGGTGACCTTTAGAGACAGGTTCTTCAACACACATTTCCTTGAAGAGGGAGGCAATGTGGGTTACCACTACAGACAGGTGGCCTTTATAGATAGGTGGCCACTAAGGCAGGTTTGGCTGTAGTTCTTGGGATGGACACCTGTGAAGAAATATTGTCTGTTTGGAGCCAGAATATTAGAGCATATGAATGAACCCTTCCAGCTCCAAACAGACAATACATATATTTTGCCACATATGTTTAATAGACCAGTTCGTAGTTAGATTTGGTACAAATGACCCTCTAATATTCACAGATCTTTTACACATATAGATGTCTCACTTTGTGCATTTTAGAATAATCACCGCCAAAGTGATGGAGGTGCTTAATAAATGCCTTTTATTTGCCCTCTTGAGAAAAATAGTTTCTCCTGTGTATCAGAAAACTTCATGTCCCATCAGTGAATATATGAATTATGATTACATAACTGTTATGAGCTTCAATCCAGTATTAATCTTGATGGGTTTTACAAGTTTGGTGCACATTACCTTTTTGATCTGCCTATGGGCAGATTGTACGAATTGGCTCATTGTAATTGAATAAAAATACATGTGTTGTTAATAAGTTCTTTGGTTTTAATGTTTCTCCCACTTGCCTTTTTACAGACTGACTTGCCTAACATCTACCATGCTTTCCAGACTGCTGAAAGGATCCGAGAAAAGCATCCTGATGAAGACTGGTTTCACCTCATTGGTCTTATTCATGACATGGGTAAAATTATGGCCATGCATGGACAACCACAGGTACATGTAAAATGGGAACAAGAATTTGACACCATTCGGGTGTTAATTACCCAATAAAAGGTGTTGTCAATCAGCAATAGTGGACTTCACTTTTATGACCAACAGTTACTGTATAGTGAACTGTGCCCTGAACCTACTGCCATAAGGAATACTCATCATAATAATATTTCCATCACCCTTGAAATATGGAGGTAAGCTGTGGTATTTTCTGGTGGGACAGTGAGGTTAGCTGCCTGAGAGACCTGTGCACACAACAAAATTTGGTGTCAACAAATTATGATGAGATACACATAGACACTTAAACTACTATGTTGATTTAACTGTAGAAACAGAAACTTTCATGAGTTCCTAAGGATGTCCACTTTCACAGTATTAGAAACATTTGCAAATTTCACAAATTTAGTGTCATGTCTAAGTCTAGTCTAACATTGTTCAGTTATATTGCGGAACATTTCATGCCCACAAAAGTTTCGGGTTTTATTGTAACTCCCTCTTGGGGAATTTTTTTGCTATGACTTGTTGTATGTAAGGAGCTGCCACAAAATTTTTGCCTTTACACCTGTATACAACACTGTGTGGGCAAATGTGACTTACTGTACACTGTACATGTAAGTGTATCTTGCAGCTTGTAATGCAAACATTTATTTGAGATGCAATAGGATATTTCATTTTGTGTCATCTTATCTCCAAAAAAGAAAAAAATTAAAATATATTATGAATATGCTTAAAATTAAGTTAAGAGACTGAGCAATTATTTTGTTTGTATGCTGTTGATGTTATTGTTGTTTTTTTTGTTTTTTTTGGGGGGGGGGGAGGGGGAAATACCTGTTAAAACTCTTTATTGTACATTGAGAAAGAAACTATTCATAAAAATCTAATGCAGCTAATAATTCTTTTGCCAGTTTTCAACTGTTGGTGACACATTTGTGGTCGGATGTCACCCTCCCCTAAGTCTTCCCTACGGTCTCAAGAGCTTCACAGACAATCCTGACCTCAATGACCCCCGTTACAACACTCGCCTTGGCATCTACAAGGAGAACTGTGGCCTTAGCAAAGTGACCATGTCATGGGGTCACGATGAGTATCTCTATCATGTCCTGGTGAAGAATAAGACCACATTGCCTGATGAGGGTCTTTACATGGTGCGCTTTCACTCTTTCTACCCGTGGCATAGGGGTAATGAGTACACCTTCCTGATGGACAATAAGGATAAAGAGATGATGAAATGGATCCATGAATTCAAGTGAGTCATTGAGTTCTACATCTTTCATATGCTTGTTATCTTTTCTTTCTTCTTCTTTTTTGTTTGGGGGGGGGGGGGGGGTCTCAGTCTACATCTTTTTATCCCTATCTCTTTTCCTATCTCTCCGAGTCTCGTTGCTATTCTCCAAATATGTATTTTGTGTTTTGGAAATCGCCTAGAATTCTTAAGGCATTATAAAGAATAATCATAATATTGATAATATCAATGATAAAAATGATGACGATGATGATGATGATGATAATAATGATAATTTTTGATATTTTGTTGCACTCATACCTAACACACAAGGTGCTCAAGGCGCTCCAATATTACCCCAGCTCTAGCTAGGCTACCAATTTCAATGCTCACAGCATTCAAGGAATTCATATTTCTAGCGGAACACTATATTGAAACACCCGGTTGGATAATGGCAAATGTAGATTGATGTCTTGCCAAAGGACTCTAGTACTACCCATCAGAAATACCTTTTTGGTCTGCTGTTCCACATGTGTTTTGTCAGTAATAAACGCTCTTGATAAGTACTTTACCCTTCTACTTCTCATGCTTTGAAGTCTTCTAACAGCTATCATTAAAAACATGCGAGCTACCATGCTTAAATACAGGTTCATTCATTATATCAAACTGTATTTTGTTTGTCCTCCCTCTCTTTTCTTACAGCCAATTTGACCTGTACTCCAAATCAGATAGCGTGCCCAACATTGATGCCTTACGACCGTACTACCAGTCCCTCATCGACAAGTACCTACCTGGAAAGCTAAAGTGGTAGATTTTAGCACAAATTCCTTTGTGATCTAATACCATTATAAAAAAAATAAAGGCCCATCCGCATTTGACATGATTGACGGCCTAAAAATACTGTTGCAAGATAAAAACGGAATGTTGACAGTCATGATAATCATCATATCAATGAGTAGACTTCAACTCTTTGATTGCTTCTTTTTTTACACTCTGACTTGCCATTCATGTATAGTTGTACAATTTTGCCGCAGCGGGTTTTTAAAAAGCGGTTTACCATGGCATGTGACAAGGCTTAAGTTGTCTCTCTTATTTCACCTTTTTTTGTCCTTCTTCTTGATATTGAATATTCAATACTGGATACATATATAAAATCTCAGGTACCCACCATAACAGTTGAAGTGGTAGAATCTATCATCGATTTGTGGAGTTTATTGTGGTCAACACTTCAACATCTGTTTGACTTTCTGACAAAAGTGTGTATTGATTTTCTGCTGTCCCCCTCTCTTTCTCTCTTTCTCTCTGTCATGTGATTTCCATGTTAACCTCTCCTTCAACCTGAAACAGAAGCAGTCATCATAGGGAATGTGTCACATTAATACTCTTTGTTTATTTCCTTCTACATTCCAAGGGAATCAGATTCGCAGCTTGTGTTGTCAACCCCCCCCCCCCCCCCGCCCTCTTCTCTCTATTTATCTGTGTCTCTCTCTTGTTGTGTCCCTATCTCACTCTCTCCCCTCTTTATCTCTCCTTCTATCATTATCTTCATGATGTGTTTAGTAGCATGGTTCTAAATCCTTGTTAGCTATATTATGTATCTACAGTGTACTTTCATATTTTATTGGTACTTCTTTGATAAAGTACCCATATGTATATCTCATTACCTATATACCTGTATGTTGTCTCCCTTATTGATTTTTTTCTTCTTTCCTTTATATTTTACTCTTCTACCTCCCCCTCCACCCCCTGGCCCTCACTTGTCCCCCTCTTTTGTGACTTACATTTATATCTACCGGTATGTGTAGAATGTTGATGAAAATTATAAAAACAGCAATGATCATGATACAGCTAACACCTTTTTTAACACGTTAACTTTTCATACAACTTGTAAATGTGTGTTTTTTTTCTTCATAACTCAAGAATGAAAGTTGGACTGGCTTTATAGGGCCTTTATTGAATACTTTTAGACTTTTATATGTCACATTATTAAGAAATGTATATCAGGACAAACCAATCTTTAACATTCTTCAAAAACTACATTATTTGGTAAGGGCATTAATAATTTAGTTGTTAACTGTATACATCAATGGTAATGAGAATGTACATATCGTGCAATTTTCTAATTCAGTCGGTCATGTGAAAGGAAATCCTGTCGCTGGAATTCTAAACTTGACAAGCTATTGCCCATTGACTTAAAGGGATAGTTGAGTTTGTTGCAGAGGGTGCTACACAAAATAATTTCTTTGTGAGATTAGAAAGAACATACAATTTAAATGACAAATCTTCTTTGTTTGATCAAAATCGGTTCAGAGACGGCTGAAATATCCATAAATATAACCATTTCTAATATTTGTGTACCACCACAAATATTAGATAATTAGAACCAGCTGTTGACAAAACAAAGTAACCCCTCATACGTTTTTCTTCTAGCCACTGCCGATGTTGGTTTTTTCATGTTGGTAATAATATGCACAACCTGCCGGCAAATGTATTGTTATTATTGTTATTATTAATCAAATAATTAATTAATGGTCACCACATTTTTTTGTAAGTGGAGCTGAATTGGTATAATCATATTGGATGATCTGTGACTGTCAGAGTGTGGGAACAGAAGTTTTAATATGGATAGCACTAGCTGTTCCCTATTTTGTGTGTGCATACAACTTCTTCCAATACAGGATGATGATCATCCTTTTATGACAAATTGCAATGCAACAACATGCACATATTTTTATAGTAAAAAACAATTTATATTCTATTTTACTGTCATACATGTACCAGTATATTATTATCAGTGTGTATATATTGTACTTACACTAACTTTCCGTACTATAATGAACAAGAATTGTTCTTGTTCAATCTTTTTTTAAGATTATGAGAAGGAATTGAAATGAGTCGATTTGTTTACTGATATGAAAGCTTGGAGGTGTTTATTGAAACTATCATTAAGACGGTCTGAATTCTTGGACATCCCATAGAATCATGTTTTATAGAATTAACATGCGTTTCTTTTGGGATGTCCGCAAACTTTGGCTAACGGCGGTTCCAAAGTGTTTATAATCAGGTCAGTTAGTGGTTTGATTTATGTGTCTGATTTTTCTCAGGAAGATGTGTAAATATCCATTTCTAACATAATGATAATTCTAAACTTGGATAACCTCAGTATAAAAATACTGTGCTTAAAGATAAACTTGAGTTATGGTAATGCGATTGCATTGTGAAAGAAAAGGTGTGGAATGGATCAGAAAAGTTGATTATATAGCATGTAAGTAATGGTGTGTAATGCAAGGTTCTGGAGTCATCAAAATCATCATAAATTTGGCAGAGTCTTGGTAAAGTAACAATCACTTACACAGAAAGATGTATATGGGACAACACACATGGTGTCGGGGCTAGTACTTCCCTGATTTCCTTATCTTTCTATGCTCATTACTCAGCCAGTATACATTTTCTTCCAAAATTGTTTGGCTCATGACATTTATTTGTAATCTTGAACATTCAGTGTAAGTTTCGTTAGATTCTGTGAGAATTCATTTTCTTTTTTACCAGAACTCAAGTTTATCTTTAATACAAAATATCATACTATTACCTGTCTGTAGCTGAACCGCCATAATAAGGCACTGAAGCATTCAGGGGATTTCTTCCTACTGGTTACCTATTTCTTTCATCAGAGTGGAGAAGGGCAAATGAGCTTGAACCGCAAACCATGTGATCCACAGTTCTGTGACGTCCGCTAGGCCAAAACACCTCTACAAATCTTTTTCTTTTAATATCATATTATATATGACTGCACTCACTTGTGTAGTGTATTTTTGTGTTCTTTCACATCAATTCTATTAATTGAATTGTTCTGGCTTTTATTGGGGGGAATTAAGAAACTGAAAGAGTACAAGAAATGAGAAGACTTAGAATGAGGATAAATCAAAGATAATGACATAATAGCAAGATAGGAAATATACACGGGCATGCAAGGGTGTGACATGAATGTGATTTGTGCATTAACTCTTTTAAGTTTTAAATTTTTATGAATCTCATTACAATTGTTGAAAGAAAACATTATGACTGAAGTCATGCTAAATTATATGAATGTTATGCAATTCTAATACATTCTAGATCTATGAAATCATGTGGTAATGATCAGTTATACACAGTTATACATGTATGGTTATTTCATATTAAAATGTCTTAATACTTTGATGATATTCATCCAACAATATCTTTAGTTTATGGTTCTTCCTGGTGTCAAACTATGTAATAGAGGATTAGAGAAAGGAGAAGGGAAAACTAGGGTGCCAGGTAAAAATGTCAGAGGTAAAAATGTCAGAGGTAAAAATGTCAGAGGAAAAAATGTCAGAGGTAAAAATGTCAGAGGTAAAAATGTCAGAGGTAAAAATGTCAGAGGTAAAAATGTCAGAGGTAAAAATGTCGGAGGTAAAAATGTCGGAGGTAAAAATGTCGGAGGTAAAAACGTCGGAGGTAAAAACGTCGGAGGTAAAAACGTCGGAGGTAAAAACGTCGGAGGTAAAAACGTCGGAGGTAAAAACGTCGGAGGTAAAAACGTCGGAGGTAAAAACGTCGGAGGTAAAAACGTCAGAGGTAAAAACGTCAGAGGTAAAAACGTCAGAGGTAAAAACGTCAGAGGTAAAAACGTCAGAGGTAAAAACGTCAGAGGTAAAAACGTCAGAGGAAAAAACGTCAGAGGAAAAAATGTCAGAGGTAAAAATGTCAGAGGAAAAAATGTCAGAGGTATAAAATAAAAACAAAAGCATGTGAAAAGTTTGTTATGGTTACACCTGGGTTATTTTATTAGGCTTATGGACATCTCACACATTTTTAGTGCCTGTGTTAATTGTCATCTTCTCTTGCGTTCTGTCTCTTACTTCACTACCGTCAGGCTAAATGTATAATCTATTGCCTCACTCCAAACCCCGCGCATGGTTTTATTTTGATGACAAATGCAGCGATACAAAAATAAAGGAATCTGTTGCTTGTAAACAAAGTAAGACGCCATTGTATATTCAGCTGCACACATCGCGGTATGTTCGGCGTTTCAAGGGGGAACAAATGCCGTCCTTATTTCCGGGGGTTTTTCAATTTGAAAGTCTGGTTTCGATCTTTGATTGTTAATTTACCCTGTCCTATGTATTTACAAGCAAAAGATTTTAGAATCGGGTCATATCCCCTTTTGAATGGTTTGACCAGGGCATGGCCGGGCGTCAATCCTTACGTAATACCTATTGTTCAGGGGCAGTGGCGGATCCAGGGGGGGGGGGGGCCCGGGGGGCCCCCCTTGAGAAAAAAAAATCATGTAAAATCACATGATTTTTACGGGGGGGGGGGGGGGTGCAAATTGAAAATTTTTTTGAGGATCAAAAAAAAAAAAAAATGTGCTCACTCCCCCCCCCCCCCCCCCCCCCCCCCCCCCACTGAGAGACTTTTCGGCCGGCGCGATTTTCAAATTTTCGGGAGCAAAAAAAAAAAAAAGTTGGGCCCCCTCCCCTAAGAAATCCTGGATCCGCGCCTGTTCAGGGGGATGAATGAATAGATCATCCCCCTGAAATATAGGTATCAATTACAGATCTACGCCCATGGACCAGGGACTTGATAGAGAAGGACTGGACTCAAGCCGGCGAAACTCTTGTAATTTATTCAGCGCATTCGTGAGTTCTAAAGCGTAACAATGGGATGTGTAACATTCCACTTGGCTTTGAAGTTCCATGCTCCGAACCGCGCTTCCACTGCGGGGACTTTCGGAAGCCAGGCACCAGTTTTATATTTATTACAAAATATTAAATTACCGGCAAAATAATAAAAAACTTTATATGGGGATTGTATTGGGAATAGTGCATCCACCCCCCCCCCCCCCCACTCCGAGAACGGACGAACCCCATGCGTGTTACCAAAAAGTCCTGTAAAGGGGTACTTTCCGTGCGACAAAGTCCGGCCCGAGAATTGTAAAAAAAGGGGGTGTATCAACTTTTCATCCGGAGATTTCTTTAAAAAGGGGGTGTTGTTTTTTCTTTTTTTTTCTCTCATCTCTTTGGACTCCTGAGAAATTATTCCGAATTTAGGGCGGTGGAGCCAGGTGTCAACATCAAAAACTAAACCATAGGTTAGGTTAAGTTTTTGAATTTTTGATATAATTTTGCAAGTATATGTTCTTATTCAATGAAGTTTGCCCTAAAGGGTAATCAAGTATCCCCAATCATGTGAGTAGAATTTCAGGTCACAAAGTCAAGGTTAAAGGTCATTTCAGGTCACAAACTTAGACTATGTTGTGGCATCATCATCAAAAACTTAACCTGAGGTTAAGTTTTGGTGGTATTCTTCTCAAGAGGGCAAACAAAAGATATTAATGAAGCACCACTTCGGCAGTGATTATTCTAAAATTCGCTAATCAGGACGTCTCCATGTTAAAAGATCTGTTGATATTTTGGGGGTCATTATATTCTGAAAGCTAACTACGAAATAATCTATTAGTGTACATTGCGAGCTTTGGAATGATCAAAATACACTTTGTGTTCTTGGAATAATGTATATCTGTACGATTTAAAACTCTTAAGATTTCTTTGGTATCCTGGTGATACAACATTATGCCACTCACAACACAATGCATCATTCTTATAGCCTCGTATACAGTAGTTAATGCAGAATAAAAAGAAACCATATGTCAAGAAAGGCAACAATAATGTATACAGACAGAAATCAATGTAACTTTTCATACTTATGTTTATTAACAATATGCACATGTGAAACCAAATAAAAGTAAGACATTGGTAAAATATAACTTAAAGCAACAATAAACAACAATAATACATCTCATACTATTTCTGACATGGTCTACATCAGCCATGAGTCTGTTATGTATGACAAATGAAAGACATTACCACCATACTAACACAACTTTATAACATTAAACGTCATATTTCACCCCCCCCTCCCCTTTCCACACAATTAAAAAAAAAAGGGAGAATGTAAAATCAAGACAATATACCACAGCTATCTGTGCATGGACAGAAACAAGTCATTTGTATGAAATTGGGAAACCCATCAAGACAACTGCTGGGTGCGTGTTAATGAAAGTTGTGTAATAATTATTCATTTATGCACCGGTGGTACATTCTATGATACACAGGTATACACAGTCAAGAAGGCAAACAATAGGTTTTCGAGAAGCACCTCCATCACTTTGGAAGTAATTATTCTAGAATGCACAAATTGGGACTTCTCCATGTTTAAAGGATATATGGATGTTTTGGGGTCATCAGTACAATTGCTATCTCCGAAGGTGCTCATTAACATGCACTTTGGAAGCTTTTGAGGAGAAAAAATAATTCATCACCATAAAAATATGTACCTGTGTCACCATAAATGATAAATTGATATAAAGGTGATTTATTTGAATGCACATTAACCTGTGTAAACAGATATTCACTTACCGGGTAGTTTAAAGCTAATTCCCCAGCAATTCCGTTGATGTTGCTACTTATATGGTTAAAGATATCACCTCACAGTCCAAGATAACCTTCCTAGCAACTAAAAAGAATAATTATGACATCATCATACAAATTAACATGATAATGATACTATCCTTTATGCACCCGGTTTAAAGATATGTAGGGTATCCAGTTGTCTATAGTAATGCTATTCAACACACAATATTGATTACACGACTATTTCAAAATATCAGATGAAATAAAACCCCAAAACAATACTGTAACTTCATAATGAAAATAACATAACATAATTAAACAATCAAGTTTAGATAAGTAACAACAACAAACATTTATTGCCTTACCTTACAACACTAATGGGTAAGTTTTTATTTACTAGGCAAATATTGTGTATTTTAGTATTTAGGAGTAAAAATATTTGTCAACAAACTAACAAATTTTCTGCTTGTACTACATGGTTATTGCTGCTTTCACGATTAACCTACACATATTCAATTTACACTTGTATAATGAGTTGCTTGTAAGTAGTTATACATGTACCTTTCTCATTTGTAGCACTGACGTTTAATTAACCTGTGTACAAATAAATAAAATATTTAACATTTAAAAATTAACTAAAGATTCACAGGGATCTTTTTTTCATCTGAATAATAAGATTAAAGTACGGCAAGGAATATTAGGTTTGATTTTGGTAACAAGATAAAAACATTTTAAAGTAATAAAGGAAAGTATGTGTAAATGTGGGTAAATAGATTAGCATATCAAATGTGTAGCACTATCACTTTGAACAATAATGCATATCATACAGCCCAAACTTTTGAGTTTAGAGTCTCAGCTGAATGATGGGAAGAAAGAAATACAAATTGGGGAAAGAGAAGCAAAATGAAAGTAGAGACAATGATGAGAGAATTCCATTCCTTAAATGCTTCCCAATTATTTAAAATACACACTATGTAATATCTATGAATTCTATTTTGTTGTTTTGTTGAAATATGAAATGTCAAATATGTCCCTTTTAAAAAGCAGTTTTCCCTTAGGCCTAAACGAAAAAGATGTTGTATTGCCCTTTGCAACCGACCCAAAAATCTTGAAATCTACAGTCGGCTTTTAAAAAAAGTTATTTATTTTTTCAAAACCGTTTTTTAAAAGAGAAAAAAATGTGGAACCAAAGGGAGTTGAAGAAAAAAAGAAGAAGAAGATTTCTGACTGACCGACCCATGTTTTGGCACCTTAAAGGGCAATACATCTTTTTTTTTTTTTAAGGCCTTATGCCTATGCATAAGATCATTAAAGATATCGTTTTCTATACACCCTTTTATGTCATTCATTGATTAATATTCTTCATAAAGTTTCAAGAGCAAGGATAATTTTGGTAATTTCTGTTTACTAAAGGGTTACTATCTGATGGCAAGATTTGTTTAAACTTCCAATTTTGAATTCATGTATCTACATGTAGCATTTATAATAAAAGGTTGTAAAGTTTGTAAACATTTTATAAACTGATCATTAAACTTAAATATACTTTTGACCTATATTTGTGATTTTGTGATTTTTATTCAGACACAATCCAAATTTAAGGTTTGGTTTCAATTTAACCATGCATGAAAAAGATTGAACTGTGGTCATGCTCCATAGTTTGTGAATCTAAGGAAATATTTGAGTATTACTACATTCCTATTCAATCAAGGGAAATTCTTTGATGAATCCTTTCCTCTTGTCAACTCAAACCTTGCCCATGAAACCGTATTTAGGTTGAACTGAATTTGCACTCCATCATGTGACATTAGGCTATAGCAAGTAACATTGCCTGTATTGTTTGTTCATGTTGGAATGATTACGAACCAGTTTGGAAATATTCTATGACTGAAAAACACAAATGTGTTAATGAACAATAAATATTAAATAGGAGAAGGCATCACATCCTACAGGCGAATTTTCAAATTGATATATATCAATAAAAATATCAACAGAGTAATAAAGATGAACTATAAAGAGACATTGAATACCTAAATAAACCCCTCAATATTTTTTTTGAAACTCAAGCTTGATCAATAATAGCTCTTTTATCACACTGCATAACTGCTTTGGTATTATCATTAGAAACTGTTTTTATTCTTCATTACCATAATTGTTATGATTTTCCAGCCATGGAGTGAGCAGTACATTCAATGTGCATAATCAACAGTGAGAAGTTGCAAAATAAACTGATAAGCCTGGACATGCTGATATTATTAGGCAGCACTCTTCTTTTTTGACATAACTAAATAAGAGAGTGTGATTTTGTGTAAATGACAGTGGGTTTATTGTTCCCAGGCCCAACTGGTCATCCATGAATGCCCAATTGCAAGGAATCTGAAATGAAAATTTATGCACTATGGTCACATGTCATGCAAGATTTGCTACTGTTTGGTTATCAACTGTCTGAAGCATCATGCCTAGGACCCTAGGTTAACAACTGTTGACAAGGACCACGCAATAGGGCAATTTGAATGCACAGTTAAGCAAGAGCAGTGCATTGTGCAACTTTTCCATTTGACCTTGCTCCTTATTTTGATCTAGTGTACATTCCATGACTGAAAAAATAACAAATAAGGTATCCTTTTAAAAAGCAATAAACCCACTTTCCAATTGTACTAAACATAGCAATGATTATGCCATGACAAGTGAGATTAATTGATCATACTTGAGTTTCCAACCATTTTTTTAAATGAACTGTCCATTAAAAATAATAAATGCTTCTTTATTCTCAACAAAGACAGAAATGAGTCTGATTACAGGGTAAGTACAACAGATGCTATATAACTGAAAATCTGGATAAATGCAAGTAAAAATTATCCTTCATTTACATCAGTAAATCCGCAAGCCTCATTCTTTTTTTTAAACTCCAACAACTAATCTGGATCAGACATTCTACATAAAACTTCAGAAAAATAGGGATTTCTACATATTTACAACATCAATATTAAATACAGCACATTTGTAATATATATATGTATTAATTTTTATCCCCACTAATCTTTAACCAAGCTTAAACTATGGCTGACAGATACAAAACATTCTATAAAATGGCAGGATAAACTTTTACTCATTATTCTTCACATCCTTTTTTATTTGTAAATAAAACAAACAGATTGAATTCATATAAAACGGAAAAAAACTTTCTAAATAACCAGGAAACAGAATCTGGACCAGAACTACTAATCTCAGCATCTTTTATCTTCATCTTGTTGATAATGCAGTCGACCTAAATAGGTCATTTAAAGTTGTCTATATCCAATATATAAACAAGATTGTACTACATGTATATTTCTTCATAATTTCTGCTACAGCGTATATACTGGACTTTCAGAAGTAAGATAATACGCATCTCAACCGAAATTCCAAATAAAAAATACAGTAATCTTTAACAAGACAAGAAAGTAAAAAAGAATATCTCTATAAATGTAAATGGAATCTTTTTTTGTTGTTTTTGTTTGTCAATACATAAAAACTGTACTGAGGTCATAAATTTTATACACTTTATACACTGGGCCCTGTAACATAAAAATTATAATCAATTGAAATTTAAAGATCTTCCAAATAAGACAATGCATTGATATAATTGGTCGTATTTACAATTGATTGGCAGCTCCTATGATACAAAGTCCAAGTTTCCAGTCTTTAGACCTTCGTTCACATATGCCGCATATTGCAACTCTTTATAAGACACGGCCCAAAACTCAACTTCATCTTTAACATCGCATATCTACATAGGGTTTCTATTTTTGGTACATATAATACATACAAATCCCTCTTGAGAGTGGAACAGGAAATTTAAGTCTGTACAAATATACAAATACATTTTCATTCATAGTCAAATTTTATTCTATCAAATGATAATTAATAGATTTAGATACATGTAAAATTAAAAATTTGATAATTTATGATTTGCTCATACATCTGATTCATAACCACCGATTGTAATTATAACATAATTATCATGTTCACTGCTGGTCTATAGATGTCATTTTTAAAGATCAAAGATATCATTTAAAATGATAACAAAACTTAATTTGAGACAGTTTTGAGCTTTTTAAATTTTGTGCACACGTATCTAATACCTGTACAAGTAATTTGGCACTTTCAAAATAGTTCACCTTCTTTAGTAAACCAAATATTTAATCATCTTCTCAAAGACTTTTCAAAAATTAATATCTATATCCAGAAATAATTTCCTTCAATCTCTATAATTTTGTATTTTTTTTTAAAGGCAGTTATTTTCCATATATGATTCTTATTCAGAAAGAATGAATTAACTATTGTTGGCAGCACAGCGATGAAAGATTGTATTTGCTGCTCAATTTCCCCATCTTGATTCATACATGACAATAATTGGGCATTGTATTTGACATGATTTTGATATGAGCTCACATTTGTTTCTTAAACTTTGGGATTGAAAAAAATGGCTATCAATAATAACCATAATTGAGTTGTGAATGTAAATCAGCAAATATATCAATATTCTACAAAGCAGGAATGACATGATCATTACAACAACACAAAAAAATTTAACAAAATAAGTGCAAAAAACTGGGAGGAAGGATATCAACAACATACTAAAAAACTCTCACTCTTTATCACTCTATATGTTTACCTTTCTCTCTCTCTTTCTTTCTTTCTTTCTCTCTCTCTCTCTTTCTCTTTCTCTCTCTCTCTCTCTCTCTCTCCCTCTCATGTTTCCAAATGCAGTTCATCACGGTTTGAAAACATTTTGCCTTCACTACATGTACTTTACAATTTTAAACCTCCTATGTTTATGTCTTTTGAACATTCATAGGGAGGATGTACATGACGAGGCTGGGTTTGAAAAATGATCTTGTTTCTTCATCAAGCAATATAGCATACTGCAAGGACCATCTAGATGCAGACTGCCTGAAAGTACAGCTTGTCATCACTCCACCAAGGAATAAACAAGAGTATCTCAATTGTTGTACTTAGCAGAGAAAACAAAGGAAGTATGAGACACAAAAATAGGATAATTAAATGCATTTCCCAACTAGCCAAACACACACTATACATCTGTATGATAATATTCATCCTGCTATCACCCCTCGGCATGCCTCGGGGTGATAGCAGGATGTAACGTTCCCTTGAGCCTATACAAAAAACTATGTCTTTCATAGCAGTCATATCTATACCATCATAATTTAGTGTAAGTTTTTCCCCAAGCTATTAAGCCTTCTGGTCTTCAGCATGCACCCACCAGGCAGGGTGAGGAGGCAAGATGCTCTAACATCTTGTTCTAGTGTCTCCTTCCAGGTTTGGTATATTTCCTATATATACAAATAAAAACGGTGCTTTACAGTATAGAGACACACCATACAAGAGGAAAAAGTGGTGCTTTTATTTGGTGTTGGTGTTAGTCTGTTCCTTTGTATTGCCTGTCTTGTAATCATTATACATGTCAGTCATTCTGAGATGCAGTGAACCAATTGATTGGCCCATCAGAGCTCTCAGTCAGAGTCTGCTGTTTCAGCACATTTTAAAAGATAATGATGTTTGATGATGCTATTGTTTACCTTTTGTAACTTATGTAGAATATGTATATATATATATATATAGGAATAGGTATAAAAAATCTGTTTTTATGACCATTTTAACACAAGGAATCATTTGACAGCAAATGAGTGTTACACTATTAAATAAAAATGGCAAAACAAGCATAAAGAGTAATATTGAAGTGAGTTGAGTTATACAAGCATATAATATGAAAGGAAACAAAAGTATATAAAATCAACATCTACATGTAAATATTAAATATAATTAATTATTCTATTAAACATCACTTGAAATAATACTGATTGATTAGGATTCCAAAAGCTGAAGTAAAACCAGACACGATAGCATCTGAGCTCTCTTTGCATTTTACAACAAGTCCACCGCCATTTTGAATCACAGCGCGCTTCCATTCAGCTTGAGCATTGGCACAGACATCCCAAGTTTACTACTCTCCATCTACTACACGGTTGTGTTTCTTACAAGTGTAGGTGACCTTACTGGTGATTGTCTTGATGATCGAGTTTGTGATCGTGTCGGTGACGATCGTGGCATTGTTGAGTGTGTTGGTGATGATTGTTGCGGGCTTGTTGCTCTGTGTGTGGTGTTGATTGTTGGTAACATGGGACATGTTTCAGCAGGTGTCATTGGCATGCTATCGGATGACCGACAGCGATCGTACGGTGGTGGACTTGCTAGAGTTGATATTGTACCTGCAAAAAACAATCATTGATTGAATTGAATCAATATTTCATAATGCAGAAAGAATAAAACAAAATGACAGACTGTGATTAACAGTTGAAATCAAAAATATTTTGCCCCTGGAATGACTACAAAATCCATTTAAGGTCCTCCAAATTTCCTCAAGGATATAAGTTCATTTTATCTATTACTACATAAGTAGGAACAAGGGTGCTTAAAGAAAAGGAGAAAGTCCCAAACTAACAATAGTATGAGCATGAATGATGTAGAATGGTTTTGAGAAATCCACTAAATAGAAAATTGAACAGATGTTTGGAAGAAAAAAAAGTTATACAATCATTTTTCATGTACGGGCCAAGATAAAAGTTTGATCATTATATGGATAGGAACACCTCCATCACTTCATTTTCAGTGTATGCATAGAGGCCTACCTTTTCTCTTCTAAGATATTTTGGGGTATTCTAAGAATATGCAAACTCTATCATCTGAATTATATCTGAAGGTGTAGTAGGCTCAGAGTCAGGTAGTAGCCTAACATTATCAAGTTGGTCTGAACATCTGGAATCACATGAATGTCATGATTCATCTCCTGTCTACCAAAGGATTCGGGTCAGGGTTAAGGTTACGATTAGCTAGCATTATTTGCAGTAGTTCCAACAATTCCATGATCTTACTTATATCTGAAGGTGTAGTCGGCTCTGAGCCCGGTAATAGCCTAACATTATCAGGTTGGTCTGAACCTCTGGAATCCCGGTTATGATTAATCTCTTGTCTGCCACTACGTTGTGAAGCATTCTGCTGTCCGTTGTATGGAGGCGGCATCTCAATTCGGTTACAGTCTTTGAAAAAACTATAAAACACAAATATTGAAATGATGAATAACAGATTGTAAAATGTTTGAAAAAAGTTTGGACATCTCATTCTGGAAATGGTTTCAAGGGTACCAATCAACAACAAATTGTTAATGTACACATACAATGTATAAACCTTCTCTGATAGTTTAAACAGATATCTGGGCCACGTCTTTTAAAGAGTCCTCCAATCAATCGCAAGTTTGTAGTCTGTCTCCTATCTCTTATGCACTAAGTTGCGGTTAATATCAACTCTTCATAAGACTGGAGTCTTCTCAGCCCCTCAATCTTAAAGGGGAAGTCCACCCTAAAATTAAGTTAGTTTTAATAGGAGTAGAAAAATGAGAGAAACAAGTCAGTGAAAGTTTGAGCAAATTCCGATTAAAAATAAGGAAGTTAGGATTTTTGAAGTTGTGATCAATCAAGCACAAATTGGCAACTCTATGACGTATCATGTGAGCTCAACTTCCATTTGCTCAGTACTAAAAAAATCTAAAATTTTCATTTTCCCTCAAGAAAAATTTCAACCATATATGCACCCTAAATATAATAATTGCAAATATGTTTCTATACTCCCCCTGCAAGGAACAAATATATATTCCGTCATCAATAACGAAGAAAACATGATTTTATGGAATATTATGCACAAAGCAAATGAAGGAGAGCTCGTATAATAAGTCACAGAGTTGCCAATTTGTATTTGATTGATCACAACTTCAATAATTCATAACTTTCTTATTTTCATTCAGAATTTGCTCAAACTTTCACTCACCTGATTTTCTTATTATTCTGCCTCTATCGAAACAAACTTATTTTGGGGGTGGACTTTCCCTTTAAGTATCTAGATTTGCTTTGGTTTTACTCACGAGTATGGAGGTGGGGGTTCTCTGAATATAGCGCCATCTAGGTCGTCTAGAGCAGGAACGGGTGGGGGACCTGACCCTGGCTCAAAATCTCCTTCTTGAGTGTCTCTCAATTGCTGTACTCCTAGATCAAGAGAAACAGAACAAATATACACATCAACGACCATTTGTATATAAACTTCTTAGAGATTCATCTTCATTGTAAAATCCTCCAAAATAATGATGCACACTACATTTAACCTGTGTTTGATACAGACATTTTCACTTTTTTTTAAAAACACAATCTAGTTTACCTACATGTATAAAGACAATACAAAATAAATTATCACAAACTTAACAATAACAACAACACCTTGATATTGAGAAAAACTAATTGGTTTATTGATCTATTTACAGATGTATTAATGAAATCTGAATCATGCAAGCGCAAACATGTCTAAATGAATGAAGCTTCATATTCAAACTACCGTAGAACTGACAGAGCGGTCATTATTAAAGTCCATTCAAACCTATGCACTCTAACATTTTGTTTTTCAAATTGAAAGAGCTGTAATAAAGTTTGCTCCATGTAAAATATATGTAGGCCTACCCATGTATCTGATTAAGCATTACAGGTAAATCTAAGAATGCAACAATAGGGTCTATTTCAACTATTACTCCTTGAGGCTTGTCTATGAGTATTATTAGGACAAGTAGTAGAGTCAAAGATATACTTACTGTATCTGAGATAAGCTATTCTCTTTTGTCTCATCCTATACACCATGAAGAGCATCATACCAAGTAAGAGGAAGGATGTTATCATTGTCAAGACCCATCTCATATTCTCAGACATTATAGCTGCTTCAGTAAAGAAAGGAAAAAACAAAAATATTAAAATAACAAATTAGCATTTACATGTGTATGACTTCTTTCCTATACTAACCTATAATTGTTTTGAAATATAAACAGCAAATCATGAAAACAAACGTAGAATACCAATTGATTGAATGTACATATACTTACTCAATAAACTTAGTAAGACTAGATCTTTGAGCAGATCATTTACAATTTACCTAAATGTACGTGAATGAGTTGATGAATAGTCATTAAAATCAATGTAGTGAGCAGCAGAAGAAAAATAGAAAGAGAATGGTAAGTGATTTAACCCTGGAAAGCTCCACAAGAACTTAGGTAAAAAATATTTTAAAAAAATCAAAAGTGTATAAAACTGCAGTGAGAAATTTGCACTTTACACAGAAGAAAAGAGCTCCTGTGAACAGTAAGGTATCACTTTCAAAAATTATCTTTCCTTAATCATACTTTAAACCTCTGCTAAAAGATCAAGATATAAACAACATATGAAGAGATATTGAGGAGGTTAATGAACTTACGCTCAGTGGGTTCATTGTTCCCTGGGATGGTAGGATCACCTTCAAGGCATGTATACTGACAGCATTCATCTGGGTTATTCTCAAACTTAGAGCAGGTCGGAGGTGCGCATCCCGCGATACTGCAGATGTTCGGTACACCATGAAGACAGGTACACTGGGTGCATCCATCGTGGCCTGGGGGTGTAAACGTGTGACCCTCTGGGATAAGGTGACCCTTGCGATCATAGCAGGACTTGGAGGCCACTGAAAACAAGAAGATAGGATGAAGGTCAGAGGTTATATTATATTTAAACTATTATTAATTATTATATCCCACATACTAAGAATCTTGCTCTACGATTGGTCAAAAGTACATCACTTGATAAAAAGATATTTCGCCCATCATTGATGAGAGAAGACAAGTTTGTTACACTGTGTAGAAAGTACTACTATCTACACAGTGCATCACACTTTCACCAAAGACAGTAGTACTTTCTTATCCAAAAGCGCACTAAACCAGGCGTAAATAAGCGCGCAATTAAAGAAAACACGTGCGCGCACCGTACCCACAAGGGTTAAACTTAACCTTTTTGGTGTGAATTTGAGCCTAGGTGTCTTTTATGTAGATGCACACACGTCCTTTTCTTTCTGTAGTTAAATTGTTTCAGATGTGGAATATAAAGCAAATAATCATCTTTTGGTTTCAGGCGATTTGTTTTTTTTCTTCTTTTTAATAATATTATAGTTAATGTTTTGTTTAACTTTGTTTAATTGAACTCAAGATCGATCCCCAAATCAAAATTTCGTGCACATATTATTGAGTGCTCTTCATCTTTCTTATAAAGTTGTTCTTAAACCACCGTGTATAATTCTGCTGCAATCTCTTCTCATCTTTAATTTAAAATGTAATGTGGAACCTCAACAGTTATAAGAATTTGTTTATGCTCATAGGCATTATACATCACTTTATATGAAATGATTTAATGATATATTTTTATGATGTAATAATTCCATTCGACATAATTTGACCTTACCTGTCACACTACAGACACACCTGCATGTATACTTTTTCAGTCTATCGATCTCATTTTAACAATTGCAATATAATAATTTCCCCCTCTCTCTCTTTCTCTCTCTCTCTCTCTCTCTCTCTCTATATATATATATTAATTTTTTTCATAATTTTTTTATTTAAAGAATATTTTTACTTGCAATAATTGGTCCAATATTTCAAGTAACTGTTATAGGTTGTTCATCCATCTATTATCATTTATTTATATATGTATATAACTTTCCTGTTTTTTATGCACATTTTATGTAAACATTGCATTATTGGTCCCTGGACTACTGCATTGTACATTGTATATGTTGATATTAATAAACCGAAATTGAATTGAATTGAATTGAATTGATGGCAAACTATCACTTCCTCGTCGATCAGAATGTATACGCTATCTTTCCTCAGCTTCGCTTTGGAAAGATAGCTACATCGAGATCGTGTCGGAAGTGATAGTTTGTCCCATTACCTTCACCAAAGGTAATTATTTGCTTACTATAATAAAATGGCTTTTCAAATGTAAACAAGTCAACACAAAGCGTAGCATCCCCTCGCAGGGTACAAATGGCCTTGATACGTCAGAACAAGTTACCTCCATTGGACCATACTATTATATTACTATGCAAGGAAGTTAACCACATTTTCACATACATAATTAGGTGTTTTTGCATATGAGCTATGACCTACATACTCAGAAATCAAACTTAGGCTGTACATGTATTTTTATACCATGTACCTTTATATTCAATTTCATTAAAATTTGTCAAACATTACTCAAGTTATCAAATGGAAACCAGATTCGCATATTTAACGAGCTATGAACTTTGACCTACATACTCAGAAATTGAACTTAGGCTGTGTTTTGATACCATGAACCTTCATATCAAATTTCATTAAATTCTGTCAAACAATACTAAAGTTATGGATCGGAAAACAGATTCGCATATTTAATGAGCTATGACCTTTGACCTACATACTCGGAAATCGAACTTAAGCTGTGTTTTGATACAATGTACCTTCATATCAAATTTCATTAAAATTGTCAAACATTACTCAAGTTATCGAATGGAAACCAAATTCGCATATTTAATGAGCTATGACCTTTGACCTACATACTCCGAAATCAAACTTAGCCTTTATTTTGATACCATGAACCTTCATGTCAAATTTCATTAAAATCTGTCAAACATTACTAGAGTTATCGATCGGAAACCAGATGTACATTTTTTCGCATATTTAATGAGCTATGACCTTGGACCTACATACTCCAAAATCGAACTTAGCCTGTAGTTTGATATCATGTACCTTCATATCAAGTCCCCCTACGGCGCTAATGTCCTTTGGCAAGACATTGATCTACATTTGCCACTCTTCACCCAGGTGTGAAATGGGTACCAGGTAGGATGCAAAAGCTAGTGGCCCGTAATCTGAAGTTTTGTCCAACTTAGCCACGTCTAAAGTTAAACAACTGTTTAGTTAGACACGACTTAAACACGAGGTCGTGTCTAAGTCCTGTCTAACTTAATTTGGTATTCTGAAGTCGTGTCTAAGACCGCGTTCATGCTTGATTTTGAAGGCAGAATGAGCGATTTGTAATGCTCATCGTAATCGCAGTTCCACGGTGCACTGTTCATGCTCACTTCTCCAGGCAATTCTCCTTGGGTGGCCTTCAGCTGGATTCGCAAACCTGTGTGTGCATGCTACGTAGACCCACTAGAGGTCAGTGCGTTGACCCCATTTAAACGCGTTTACAAATTGTAAACGCATCTTTTTGTGAGTTTACGATCGGCGATCGTGATCGCCGTTTTTCGGTGATTCTACAAAAGTGAGCATGAACGCAAGCGTGTTTTAAACTAAACGCGTAACAGATGCCTGATTCTGCCTTCAAAATTTAAGCATGACTAAAACAACTAAACAACTGTCTAAGTCCTGTCTAAGTGGTGTTTAACTAAACAACTGTTTAAGTTCTACGCAGGTCGTGTTTAACTTTTAGTCACGACTTCTGCACATGCCCAGTAGGCATTAATTCTGACGAAAGACCCAAAGCGCATGCATGCGCGCACCGGATAAATAAATTAACGCGCACAGCTACCTGTGCGCGTGCTGGTACCATGGTGATGTGATCGTGACGTAACGACTAGACTGCGTGTACGTACGTACATGTACATACTACATGCACGTACTGTACACTGAGATTGACAAACACACTACTTATCAGTGCCTCATAGTGCTCGGAAGAACCAGAAAAGAAACTTCTCCAACAAAATGGTTAGTTTATTATAGATTATGGAATTTCCAACATGTCACCAGTAGATAAGAATAGTTAATATTATCGAGAAAAAAAATTAGGCTACACAAGAACAAATCCTGCAAAACGTATTTGAAATTTTAGAGAATTCACGTACCATCATTCTCCCCCGCAAGTTCCCGAACAAGTAGAGTGTACCATCGACGTTGAAAAGCAGCAGAATCGCGCCCTTAAACAGGACTTAAACAACCCCTCGCAGTTGTCTAAAGTTAAACAGGACTTAGACAGGACTTCGTGTTTAACTTTATTTAAACACGACTTCAGAATACGAAAAAAGTTAGACACGACTTTGTGTCTAAAGTTAGACGGGACTTAAACAACTGTTTAGTTAAACAGGAGTTAGACACGACTTCAGAATACGGGCCAATGTGTCTAGATTAGCAAGTGTGCGCATGTAAAGATGACGCCTGGCTGGAATGCTCCCCAGGGAGTGAAGAATGTGCATACATTGTGTGCAGGTAAGCCTGAATCCAATGACCGGAGTAATAATATATATATCTAGCGCTTTGAGAGGACCTTGTGTCCTGAAAAGCGCTATATAAGAACTAGCTATTATTATTATTATTATCAAATTTCATTAAAATCCGTCAAACATTACTGAAGTTATCGATCGGAAACCAAATTTGTTACGGACGGACGCATGCCAGCAGGCACCCACAGAAGGACGGACGGCAGCCTGGCAACAACTAATGTATGCAATTCGGATTCTGTCTATTGAAATACTATTATTCTTTTCAGGTGAATGAAATAATTTGTATTGAGGCACTTCACAAAGCCTACCGGTATTGTCATGTCATGATGCTCATTTCTTGACTTTATACCCATATTGCCAAACCGTTTTATCATAGACCTATTACGGATGGACATTCATCGTTTTCTTAACGAATTCATTGTGATTGTCTCCGTCAATGTCATCTCAATAACATTCCGTTCAAGTTTTGTCACTTTGATCCCATGATGGTCACCGCCAAAAAGCCGGGACAGAATCAAGATAGTGATTTCACACATGTTAATCTACATGCGCAGAAGATAATAACTCGCCTAAATCATGGAAAATCGATGTGCAGTTCTGACTTATAATTAAAAATTGTTGTTCCGTGTACTGTACATGTATTTTATTTTGAAAAACATGTTGATATTGCCAGATAGAGGTTATTTTTGAATTTTTGGGTTGTGATTTAAAATCCTGTTTCCCCCTATTTCCTCATAATATTCCAGAGTTACAAAGCACAGGGCTTATAAAGATCATGGCCTTCTAACTGTTTTATAAGGTCATATCATGGGTGTGTACGAAAGTGTGCGAATCAGTAATAATAGATTTCATATCACCAAAATCGTCTGCTTTTCAACTTTGCTGCTCCCCATTGGGGATGCTTTCATTTAAGACACACTCTTACAGAGCACACCATCCAAACAAAACCCAAGAGAGGGAAACTGCTCCTTTGTCAATGACTGAAAATGCTTACGCAGTCATTATTGTTAAAACAGCTGAATGTTCTCATTAAGATGCACATAATCAGAAGGCGGCGACTATCATTGGATCAAAGAAAGAATCACGTTGAATGTCCATCCGTAATAGGTCCATAGTTTTATAAATCATATAATTCACGAGCATTTAGCAATATGCACGGCACTTGGTTATTCACTAGTCACAATAGGCCGGATAATGAACTCAACAAGTCTTGCCCATTATCCAATTGTGACTTGTGACCTGTTTGCAGTGCATTTCTACTAATGCACTTACAAACAGATATTATTTTTATAATACGCAGAAACTTCTACAGGATTCTATGTGATAATACAATATTTCCCTGTTTTGACACAATAATGAACAATTTTACACATGTTTATAAATCAGGAAGTACATTTGTATTTAAGAGGAATTTCATACCCCCCCCCCCACCCCTTACCTTTTTCTTTGGTTGACTTTGATTGGCATAAACCCAACCAACTCTGCTGCCCATGGACTGACTTGCTATTCAAGTCCTTTGTGCTTTATGTGATCTGAAGTGCCAATTGGTGATTAGATGAGTGACAAGTAACCGAACAATGATAGCTTCTTCTCCTCAAAAGCTGCTTGGTACGATTACCTACATGTATATTCAGTAATGCAAATGCTGGAGCAGACTCACACTCCTTCTTAAAACTCATGAGAGTGACATATAAATCGTCAGTACTTATGTCTTCAATCTCCAAAAAAAAAAAAATAACAACAACAAAAAAGAAAGAAAGAAGTATGACAGCATCTCTAACATAAAACTTCTCCTAGCACACATAGAAACTTTCTGCATCGTGATATAACAGTGCCTGGGTTCATATTTCTTCTTCTCATTTCTCTGACAGGAGCCTGAGTTGCATGGATCCATCCTACTAGAAAGAAAGTGACTTACTTTTCTTACAGATGAATGGTACACTCTCATCACACTGTGCCAGGTTCCAACCCCATTTCTTCAAGAATCCTTCAATGTACACTAGCTTGAGTTGTATACAGACCACAGGCTGCCCCTGCAAAACAAATATTTATGTTTGAGAAAAGATTCATTTGCTGATTATATAAGAGAGCTTTGATTTAGAAAAAAGTTAGATAATGTGTTTCCTTGACCATTCCATTTCCCCCTCACCCTCCCTCAAATAAAACTTGATGTAGATTTAATTTTTTTTTTAAAGGCCAACTGGACTATTTCAAGAACAATAATTTCACTATTTTTGGCACATTTCTTTAGAAGAAAAATGATTAAACTTTTTAGTTTGTATTAAATCACAGGCTAATCCTTGATCCTTTGTAAATAGCTGATATTTCTAGTAAAACTAGGTAGTGAACTCACATTACAATTTTAAAAGAACATCAACTGTAAGTCCCACTGCACACTACAAATTTTGACTAAGATAATAATTTCAAAGAATATGGTATAATAATGTTTAATATTATAGAGAATTCAACTGGACTTGTTAAGTTTTAGCTTGTGATGTTTCACATCCGCTTTGGGACGCTTCATAAGGCCGAATAGTCTTTGGTGGCAAATGGTGTTGACCTGTGACAGGGTCAAAGAACTTTGGGAAACGTTGAGGGAAAACGAGTTGCCGCCAAAGTCCAGTCGGGCTGATGAAGCGTCCTGGAGTGGACATGAAGCGTCACAAGGTAAGTCCAGTTGATTTGCATATATATATATTTAACGTTATTTATAAACTACCTGGATGATTGAAATATTCATAGACATTAGATATGGAAATTGAATCTTCATCATGTAAGTTCTGAATTGTTAGTTCTGAATCTATCAGAATTTCAGAGCATTATAAGTGTCAGTTGGAATAAAGACCAAACCAACTTGGAATTGAAAACAATTGCATGACTGGTTTTACGTAACTACACTTGGAGCTGATTTGAAATAGGTTTTTCCTCTTTCCTCCTACAAGGAAGTTTAGAAACCCCTGGTACTTATTATCAAAATTACAACTCTGAAATTAGATGTTTGAATGTTCATCTAAATGTGCGTATTCAAAAGCTTCTTGCCTCAAACCATAGTCAGATCATCACATAGTAGTCAGTGGGCTTAAAGGGCCCATGACATCGAAATACAAGTGTATTCATGTTGGTGTGCAGTCCTGTATACATCTCATATTTTGATATGTTAATTTCTGAATTTGTTTCATATATTTTTAAATACCGGTATTTTTTTGAAATATTTGTTTTTCAAACTTGCTAAGCTCCACCCCAAAAACCTCCAGATCTCATTCCCCTTGTGACATCATCTGTCAGTCATCAATGAGCTAACTTGAGAAAGTGGTATGTATCTTTGCCGAAGTCGACCACCTGTTACAATACGTAATACAATAGCAACATACAAGTTGCTATGTCAGACATGCTGTAGCACTACCAGGAAGACATAGGCAATGATGATGTATTGTACATATGTATGAAAGCATGCAATTCTATTATGAACGTATGTTTAGCTGGAGGAAAATACATACCATTGTTTATTCTAGAATATTAGTTTAGTCTGACATGTCTGACATAGCTACTTATATGTTGCTATTGTTTGTGGTATTGCAACAGGTGGTCAACTTTGGCAAAATTTCATGCCACTTTCTCAAGTTAGCTCATTGATGACGAACAGATGATGTCACAAGGGGAATGAGATCTGGAGGATTTTGGGGTGGAGCTTAGCAAGTTTGAAAAACAAATATTTCAAAAAATATTTAAAAATCTATGAAACAAATTCAGAAGTTCAAAAATTCAAAAATCAACAGGAATGCACTTGTATTTCGATGTCATGGGCCCTGTACATCAACATTTCAGAAGTTTAAGAAACTACCTTTAAATCCTCTGGCACCGTGGTAGGAATGTTTGCGCTGTTGTCAAGGAGTGGCTCAGGTCCTGTCTGTTCCTCTGTCTGGACCTGCCACATGGTGGTGGCGGCGGTGGTATTGTTGGAGTTGTTGGAGTTGCTGCCATCGGTACCCGCTGGCTTGTCTACATCACCGGATACGCTCGGAACCAACATGTAGCCCATCCACCATACAAGTGTACTATTGCTTGGATCAATAGCCTGTTAAGAAGTATAAAGAGAAATAGTATTCCTCGCATTACATAGTAATAGTTTTACTATTAATACTAATCAGATACACTGGGAACCAAAATATATCTTAGCCTATTCACCATACTTGGGTACTATTCCTTGGAGAAATAACCTGTAAAACGAGGAATAGTATTACTTGCAATACTTAGTAATAGTATTACTGTCAAAATGCGCAAGCTATCAATGCCAGTCAGGTGTTTATAGGGAAAGGAATGCGATGCGTTCAAGCATGTAGTTGCTATTGTTGCTATGTGGGTTGAAGGCAAGGTTCGCACCACGTAGGCAGAGCTCTACAAGTATAAGTCTGTATAGCGTAAGGACTGAGTGAGAGTGAGCTAGTACATGTACATAGGGCGTGGTTGGAGCTTGGTGAAAACGTGTCAGGCTAATGGTAATTGTCTCAGAAATTACTTTAATATCCTTAATAAGCCACAAGAGAAAACCAAGCCTCTACAGGACCACACCAATGCTGCTCTGCAGTCTTTGGACCATGTACAGAGGAGATAAACTCGTACTTTTGGGCTTGCCTGGACACCAGGCCGCTATTAATCGCCCGAACTGGATTCTCACTAGCCGGGCTAGCATTCTACGGCTGCATGGACTAGAGGTCACATGCAGGTCACGCAGCATCTCTCAACCCGACCGGACGTAGCACAGTGGACATCGATGTATCAGATGTTTTTGACCTATTCATTCCTGGGTATATTATTATTATAATTAATCTACGCTTCTGCTTTAATAAAGAAGCTTGGTGTTTGCTTATTTCATAATCATACACAAATTGTGCAGATTCTGTTAATTTACGAGTACGTGTTTCGTGGAGACTGGTGGTGACGATTACTAACTACACTAGAAACCAACATATAGCCCATCCATCAAGGGTACTACTGCTTTGATCAAAAACCTGATATGAAGAAGTAAAGTAACCAGCGGTAGCTGAAACTATAGTTTCTGAGGTGACGTGACTACAACTATGAACAAGAGGTCCGTGGACCTTACGTTCACCTGAGCAGATGAAAGTAGGAGCCTCCCAATAGGCGACCTAGCTCCCCTAGCTCCCATCCCCCTTGCACCAGGAACAAATGATTTATTGGAACAGTTGGGTAATTTAGAGGTGCTGTTTCCCAAGTCCCCTGCAGGGGTATGTATCCCATTCACATAACTTTAGGTCTTCTTCACATAAAAATGATTCCTACAATGTTTAGTCAGAATCCATACCAACATTTTGTATAAAATCGTATCTTCACTTCATAATCTATAAGAATATGAAATCAAAACAAATGAGGGTAACCAGGCATTTTGAAGAGATATCCTTGTGCGTGCGTAGATTTTTCAGTTTGCTATGCTCACATTGCTGTTTGGATGGTGGATATTGAAGGCTGCTTCCCAAGCCCCCTTGGGGGTATGTACCCCATTTAACAACTTCAGATCTCCCTTGCCTAAGGATTCTTAGGATGATTCTTACCAAGTTGGGTTAAAATCAGGCAACAGATTTTTTAGAAGAAACTGAAAATGTAAAAAGTTTACGAATGGCGGAAGATCGCAATAGCTCTGAGTGCCCTGAGCCTTGGCTTGTGCTTCACATTTCTTTATCTTATAACCAGGGTTCCTACACTTACACATTTTAAAAATTCCATGACTTTCCATGACTTTCCAGAGCAGGATAATGTAAATTTCCATGATTATTTTCAATGATGAACATGTCTTAATTTAAAGCGTACAACTATACATCATCGCAATACTAGGAAGCAAATCACAAAAATATAAGGCGCACCCCTATTTTGAAGATCCCCCCCCCAAAAAAAAAAAAAAAAAAAAAATCTAAAAAAAAAATTTGAAAAAAAAAAAATCTGTCATCTTTAGTTTAAAAACAAAATTATTACTAGACCTAGGTCTAACTTAGTTCACAAGCACTTCAACTGTGCCTCGTATAATGAAAAGTGAAAGTATTTTTCGAACACTGAAATATGACGCGATCTGATCTGGTTAAGAAAAAGACACCAAAAAAAAGCCAACATTGGTCTTTTTGTTAACATCAGATCGGCTCTTATTTCAGTGACAGTGTTCGAAAATACTTTCATTTTATTACGAGGCACAGTTGAAGTGCTTGTGAACTAAGTTAGAACCATCAGTAACAATGTTGTTTTTAAAACTAAAGATGACAGAATTTTCCTCCGAGTCCAAACAGAAATGTGGACAGGCTAGTTTTTGTGTGGTGATTCGTTATCCCCTGTGTAAGTGAGCTGCATCATACAGGTGAGTGAGCTGAAGACACGGGAGAGCTTCGGCCGGCAAAGTGCTTTGTGACAGGGCATAATTTATCGAGACTGAAAAAAAACTCTCTTCCTTTCAAATTAGGAAAGTACTTTAACTTCAAATAGTAGATCCTATTCTTTATTTGCATTATGTAATTCATGTTGAGACGCAGAGATTTTTGAAAACCACTAAAAAGTAGCATTTGAGGACTCAAATATCCTGTACCTGACTATATAAGGCGCACCCCCGACTTTCGATATTTTGCTGACGGAAAAAAAGTGTGTCTTAATTGCGGACCTTGGGGAAAGCAGCAACCACGAGGCTAGGCTAGCTAACTACTGGCTGTATGCTTGCGCTCGCACAATGGACGCCAAATGTGGAATCAAATGCGATTCAGGGTTGCGATATTCGAGTAACGAGCAACACAATTTTTAAAGCGGTTCACAAGACAAATTAAATGCCATTTTAACAAACATCTTGAAGAAAAAAAGATTTTCCCTGACTTTCCAGAAAAAATGGATGAATTCCCCAACTTTCCCTGACTTTTTGCTTCTGGAAAAAACATTTTTTTAATTCCCTGACCCGTACAAACCCTGTATAACACACATATTAAGTGAGTAGGAAAAGGATCTTTGTTTTGCACAGCTAAAACTGTTGTGGTTTACCACCTCATGTTAACTAGCCTTTATATATAATAGAGTTTGGTACACAATGAATGGATAAGTAATCCAAATCTGACATTGCACATCTTCACTGACTTGCTAATTAGATGATCTCTATCAATAATGATGAACACTTTTGAAGGTTTATAACTTCCTTTTTTCTTTGTCTAATTCATCTCAACTTTTCACAAAACATTTTCTTTCCTTCTTCTGCTGTAATTCTGGCCAAATTTGTTTGACACTTCAATTACACTTCATATCCCATTCACATTGGTGAAATCAACAGCACGACACCAATCGACTGAAGAAGAAAAAATGTATGTTATCCCATGGCCAACAAATCAGTTGGTTTCAAGTTGATTTGGAGTTTGACTAGAGAGTACACGGTAAGCTTTAAAATCAACATTAGCAAGGTCCCCAATACCTGTTTAGTGAGGACATCCTGTAGCTCTTGCCCTGTGACTGTAGCCAGCGATCCACCTTCATGCCTGCAGAACTCCTGGGCAGCTGTGTGCTTCAGGGTATCGTGCTTCTGAGGCTTGCGGAAGCACGAGTTGGTCTGTGGGTACAAGTACCACCCCTCAGGACACCATGGCAGATTGGCTAAAATGAATCAAACACAGACAAAAAATGAAGAAGTCTCAAGTCATTTATACTTCTTTAAATGTCTCATTCCCTTGTGTCGACTCACAAAATGAAGTTTCATCTGGGCATTATTCCCCGAACCATAATCATAAGTACTTGGTAGACATGCTAGTGAACGTCTGACAAATATGTCTTGACTTATACATCCCAACTGTCACATATGTAAATCATTTGTGGATGTGTCATACCTGTAGAACCCTATATCTAGTCAAAGTACAAGTTTGCAGGCATCCCTTTGAAATGTTTGTTACTACACACATTCAATGGGATGTCTGCAAAGTTATACTGATGACGATTTTGTGAAATGATACCTTGATTGCTATTTTAGAAATTACACGTACACATGTTGTACATGTATGCTTATTTAAGTAAGCAACCAGATGACCTGCATGCCAAGTCCTACTAACCTAAGGACTTAGAGGTAATGAGAAGTAATGTTTCATCAAAGGGTACTAACCTATCAAGTTGGATCTAAATCAACGACTTTCCAGTCTGAGACTACTACTCTACCACTGAGTCATCACACTCCCTTCCTAAGTGTCACATAAACTTTTCCATAAAAGGCTTTTCTGTACAGTCAATACCGGTACTTTAACAGGAAACTACATGTATTTGAAGGGCTTCAAACCCAATAAGAAAAGCAACAACCCCTTGTTATAAAAATAATCAAACATCATTTTTGTGTAAAATATTCCTAGACTGAGTGTTTTTCCTCAATAAATGTAGATTACTTTCAAGCTAATATTCCTTTCCATGATAACTACATGTACCTGTATATCTCAAGTTATTAATCATTTCAACAGTATTCTCTCCACAATGTACATTTCAAGATCAGAACATTTGAATGAAAATAATGAAATTCCATCATTCGTACACAATCATTCCATCATTGTATCATTCGAAATTCCATCAGTTTACCTGTTACAGTATGTAATTTGCTAATTTCTACCAATTCTACACCATAAGATGCATTTCACACCCTTACAACAGGCGTAATAAATTTACTTTCTATATTTGCAACACCAATTATTCATTTCATTGAGTACATGTACATGTGTTTAATGAGGGCTATCAATCAATTCTCATTTCATCCACACACATGTATAAATACTACATGTAGTTAAAAACTTTACAGCAAGATGAGGTGTTTTGGTCTAGTGGATAAGTCTCTGGACTGTGAACTACAAGTTGTAGGGTTACTGCCGCAGCACTCATATCCTTTGGCAAGATATTAATTAGCCTCACTCGACTCAGGTGTAGTAAATAGGTACCAAGTCGAATATATTCCTTGAATGCAATGAGCACGACAGTTTTCGGAGCCAAGTCCTTTGGAAGCGCGTAGAGAGATTACATGTACATCATTATGTAATACATGCTCTATGTGTAAAAAAAGAATATTATTATCAAGACTTGGAATAGAAGACTTTGTTTTACCTGCAAAGCCAGGGTATCCTTTACGATCACCTTCTGGTGTTGGAAGCTCACCCGGTGAGGCTGATACTGGGTTCAACTCCATCCTTGCCAATACCAAGGAAAACAGGCATGCTAGAAGGAGATATGGAAAGTGGAAATAAAAAGAGATGGAAAAGGATGATGGAAAAACTTTAATTAAAATGAAAAAATATAAATTTTGTGAAAGTTTAAAGTTGTGATTAGATTGAATTGACACAATACGAAATGTTGCAATTTGGCCACTTTTCGACCCAAACTGACTATTTTAGTTGCTTTTGGTCAGGGGGTAATTTTTCCAATCATTGTTTTCAGCAAAGGAGATTTGATGGGCCTACTGTTTGCGATGTGCCCTGATGCTAGAAAATGTGGTCAAATTGACCCCCATTTTGACCATTTGTATTGATTGTTGTCCAAAATCAGGCCCATTTTTCAGTCAGAAAATGGGTAGTTTAGAAATCGAAGTTCATTATAAAAATGTGCGCAGACAATATCAAAACAATCGATCCCATTGAATGAATTTACACAGGTCGGTGGCAGCTAGCGTTGTTGCGCTCCACTGGTTGAAACTTTGAAAGATGTCGACCAGCAACATGAAAAATAGATCTGTCGCTTGACGGTGGGGGTGCTGTGTATTGTGAATCCACCATGTTGAGATAAATTGATTGCTAGTCGGGTCACAGATTTGCTGGAAATGTGTTTTCTTGATGCAAATCAAAAAATAATTTTATTGAATGATCTACATGTACATGTATTAAGGCTATCAAGTTGATAGATGAGTAAATCGGCAATGACAAAATAATCACAAATGAATAAATCTTGAAAACTCATCGTTAAACAATAAACTTGTGAATTATCAAAATTAGAGGCACTTCAGACTCTCACAGAGAACTTGTTGGGGTTTGTTTGATATTTTCTCCCCTAATTAATGTGGGAGTATCTCAAATAAGAACACCAAGAATGTAATTTTTGTTTTGATCCCTTTGATTTTACAGACAACATGTACTGTACATGTATTACACTGTACATGCAATCTCGTGCATCATTAATTATGTGCAGGGCAAGCTTTAAATCATTTTATGCTTAGTCATCAAAGGGGAGATTTAAATCAATAAATGTGCATACAAATTTTTAACAAAAATTGTAATATTATAAATTCAGCATAAAACTGGGATAGGAAAAGTGAATAAATAAGCCAACATTTGAAATTACTTCTATATTTAGATAGTCATTGGCATTGCCATCTGGTCATTTGCCATATTAATTAGCACACATTAAGTCTGTAAAGCCATGGACTTGATCCAGCTATGGGAAAACCTCCAATAAGATTACAAGGGAATCATGTAGGTAGAAACAAAATTGTATCATGTTTGCACACTTGTTACAAACATAAATAACCCTTATCAACCATACTGTACTGTAGGTACCTCTGCATGTTATGATGGTTAAAAAGAAACCCATCCTATCCCTTTCTTTTCCTAAATCTCAAGTTAATGTACAAAACAAAAATAAAAATTGGACTTGGATCATAATATCACATAAAGCAATATAAAACACAGGAAACCTTCCCATCTGACCCTATTTGTATTGGGGCATTGGAATATTTTGACAATATATAAAATTGTACCCATGCATGCATCAAATATTGTGAACAAGTACACAAATGAAGGGGGGGGGGGGGAGTGAATATAAAACAGACAGGAACAGGTTGCTGGAAACACTTTCTTTTTCTTCATTACATGTATCTATTATGAAGGGTTTCAGTATAAATGTACAATATATGCGTCATTAAATCATTGTATCGTCAGGGATTTTTTGTTGTTTTAAGATTGTGAAAGTCATACATGTAGTACATTCAACCCCTCCCCCTTTTTCCTCTAGGATTTCCATTCAGTAATTATAATCCCATGAGCTTACATGTAAATTATTCTAGATCAAAAGTTTAGATTCATGATTAGATTCAAAACCAAATTTTGCTGTATAGTGTGGAATTCTGTTCACTGGTCAGAGGCTGTCTCTAAATGATTGCTAGAGTGCATGGGCTACTCCATTTTTTGACCTTGTAACTTTCTCACTATTTTATTTCTATTTGAAAAATGTTTAACATTAGGCCTGCTATACTCGGTGCACATGTACTGTAGACACATGTAATATGTTGTAATACAGGCCTAAAGAGAGCATTATTCATTTATTAATTCATTTATTACCAAAATTTTGTGTTGTACATTAGAATTCAGCATGATAACAATTATACATTTAGTAAAAGAAGCCAACAAATACCAAGAGCTGGTCTATTTGGCCCGATGCAATACAACATAAATACAATCAATCAATCACTAAGAGTAAATATTGGATCATAAAGAAATATTTTTGATTTGCAATTAACCTTAAAACAATTCTGTTAAATTGTTATGAAATATATACTTGAAATAAACATACCGGTATCTCAAACGTACATACATGTACCGGTGTACAGGTTAATGTACACTACAGGGTATGTACATGTACATTAACCTGTTTAAATATTTAACTATTTAAATATTCATAGTAATTCTATTCATATTGTACAATTTCTTTACAATAGATGCATCAATGATGAAAATCAGTTAAAGTATATTCTTCAAGAAGAGCTGTTTTAAATATTTGTCTGAAACTTTTTCATGATTTTATGATCATTTTCATTAGACAGATCATTCTAAATATACATGTACACTGTATGTACTGTTATGTATGGTCTGTTATGTATGGTCTGTCCTATTGTATGGAGCAGAAACATGGACAATAAAGCAAGGCCATGGAAAATAGAATAACATCTTTTGAAATGTGGATCTACAGAAGAATGATGAAAATATCCTGGAAACGAATGAAAACCAACAAAGAGATATTGCTCATGGCAGGGCGAAAACAAATTGCACTAGTAGGATTAGTTAAGGAGAGAAAAATTAAATACTTTGGTCATGTCAAAAGGCACCAAAGCCTCTTAAAGGATGTATTGGAAGGAAGAGTGGAAGGAAGTAGACCTACATGTAGAGGGAGACTCAGAATCAACTGGGAAGAGAATGTCAAGAACTGGAGTGGACTAAAACTGCAAGAGTGCACCAGAATGGCAGAAGACAGAGTGAAATGGAGAGATGTTGCAATCAACCTCCAAACCAGGAGAAGATACTGAGATAGATAGACTCTATGCACCAGAATATGATATAGACTGTTTCTTACAGTATGTTTTTTCTTACTTTTATGAGATTAGTATTATAATTTTCATTGGTTGTTTGACTTGTTTCATAAGGCATGGGGGGGGGGGGGGGGGGGGGGGGGGTAAGAGTACTTTTATTTTGGGGGGGGGGGGGGTGGTCCCAACAATTTTGCAACGACTCGAGGGGGGGGGGGGGATAATGTCATTTTTGGGGTCACCCTTTTGCACACAACAAAATAAAAAACTTTTTTACCCCCCCCCCCCCCACTCCGTACGTGCCTGCAACTAATACACTTCTGGATACAAAATGTCTTATTCTTTAGTCTTTCTGTCTTTCTGTCTTCTTACTTACAACATTACATACATGTACTTCATTTCTATACTTTTTCCCATTCAGTTCCTCATTGATACTTAAACCAATTAAATGACATCGTCAAAGCAAATCCTACATTTTCCATAAAAACCACTGCCAGTGCCTTATAAGGATGTCATCTTTGATCACTGTCGACGTCAATCTCTATTCCGAGTTTCACCATGGTCGAACGTTGAGTCCGCATCCGATTGACATCGCTTTCCTTCATCTTCCATTTTTTAACTGTACTCTGATCACCGACGTCAGACTATGATCTACCAAGTACCATTATTTCTTTGACTCTCGTCTTTCGAAGAAATGAGTCCAACATCCTCTATGACTCTCGCACCTTTGCTGGAAGGACAGTTTATATAATGTACATTTTATCATGTAACTTGGATATGAGCGGCAGTCTTTCGCTATAGAAATAGACCAACTACACATTGTCGTGTACTTAAATAATTTATTATGTAATTTGATGAGCGGCAGTCTTTCGCTATAGAAATAGACTTGACTTTTGATGGTTAATTGTTTTATATATTTTGCACAAGCTATATTTTACGTGAGCTAGATTTTAGCTCGTTTGAATAAACGCTTTTTAATAAAAGTATACTTATTGTTTCCATTTTTCTTTGTTTGAACTTTGAAGCCCTATTGTCCTCTCGTTAAATCACAGTAAAAAAAAAGGTCAAGACTTGAATTGGATACAGTGAGTCAGTGATTATTTAAATAATAATCATTTTTCAACCCCCCTGATTTAAAGCTCTTGCCAAACGCACACAAAGTTCAAGGATTACCTAAGTACAGAAAAGGAAGTTCATGTTTAATAAACTAAAAATAAAACATTCCTTCAATAATTTTCAAAAGCCTCACAACCTATAGTACATGTACATGTACTACATTATATATACTTTGGACAGTCTCTTTGCTAAATTAAATCGGGATGTTTTTAACTTTTTATGCACGTATGGTTTAATTCATACAAATCAAACCCATATTATGATCAAGCACAATTTGCAACATTTTGAACTGTAGTATTCTTAAATAATTGAGCTCATTTTACATGTAGAACTGATCTATAGTTCAAAATTATATGCTTTGAGACATAACTCCTCAAAAAAGTTCTGCAATTCACATTTCAGTGTTGATAACTCTTGTTACTATATTATCATACTAGACATTGGTGTCATTGAAATTGTAATGATTATGTAATTATGGAATGTTCAGTACACCTGCATATGGGGCAGAGCCTGAAGTGAAATGTTGCAAAATGCCTTGTTATACACAGTTCTCAATGGCAAGTTTAATGTCACTTAATCGATTACTGATGAATTTTGACAAGGTCTTGCTGTATCGTAATTGATATTCCATTGGGAAGGTCATTGACATTTACATGTCTCCTCTCTCCAGTCTCAACTAGTCAATGGTACTACCTACCGTACACCCTACTAATGAATTTCACCATATTGATCATGCTACATGTACAAGTCGTACATTTCTTGTAACGAGTCAAGCAATAAGGACGCAGGATTCAAGAATTGCCATTTGGTT